GTTCAAATGTGACCTCAGACACATAATAATCACTAGCTATGTGACTCTGGGCAAGTCACTTAACCCCAAGTGCCTCACCAAAAAAAAAATGAAAAAAAAAAAAAGAATGCTGAAAGTAATATTTTAAAAAAGAAAATATCTATGATTTCTATTGGTGACAAAATCACAAGTACTGCCAAAACTACCGTGGCTTGTTGCCTACATTTGTAATTGAAGGAAATGCTAAATTTTAGTTAGAAGTTAGTGAAAATATATATCCAATGTTTTTTCCAGTACAAATTCATGGAATCTGAAATCTATCAATGGACTCCTTTGGGGTCTATGTACCCCAGATTTGGAACAGTGGCCCTAAAGGAAGCTAGATTTCTTTAAATCATGTCTACCTGCTGCTCCTAGTTCTGCCCTCTGGTGCCAAGTAGAACAAATCTAAACTCTCTTCAACGTTTCAAATATTTGACATTTACCAAAAAGGTCTTGAGAAAATTTTATTAATTCATAATTTTGTGGATAATCTATTTTCAACAATGGAAATTCAAGTATTGAAGCAATGTTGGAAATTCACAACTGAAAGTCATTAATTATGCTAGTTTTTTTTTTTCATTTCCAGATCATGCTTTGATCATGCCACTAAATCTCTAAATTAGGACACAGGACCTGCCAAGTAGCTCAGAAATGTAAAACAGAAGTATTCCTTACAAGTTAGAAGAAAATAATTAGCCATACTATGTACAGAAGATTTTGCAACAGTTTTACATAATAAAATCCACTATACATATACATAAAAAACATATAGACACATATGTTTTATATTACAATTTCATTCCCCTTGTATCTGTTTTTTTACCAAGAAATGGTAATAAGAATGGAAGTTCATGTTAGTTTATCCTATTCTTCCTAAGGAAAAAAAAATCAGTATTTATTACTGAGGTGATTTTATTATTAATTTTTACTATAAGTTTCCAAATTGTTTCTTACAAATATGCTTAAAACTCACACTAACTGAAAGCTCAAGTTTATACTATAATAATTTTGGCAGTTTAATATTCAGAAGATTTCTAAAATCTGGCTACTTTATAATCTGATAATTCAAGCTTCAAGTTCAAATTCTAACATACTGAAGCTTCCTTAGTTTAAAATATATTGGTAGGTGTACTGCATTTTCCTTTACTAAAGGGAAAATACGTATATGCTCTATATACTCTCTCTCTCTCTCTCTCTCACACACACACACACACACACACACACACACACCACTGTAATGTTTTATCAGTTGTTTTGTGCCGTATTTTGTTTTGAAAGTGGCTTGTGAGGTTGAAAAAAAGATAAAATGAAAATATAAATGCTCCAAATGTCTTAGAGAGGCACAGCAACAATATATAGAATATTACTCTTGCAGAAAATAAGCTAATGGAAAAGAGTACAGAAATATATATGCTAAGATGAAGGTTAAAGACTAAGTTCTCCCATAAAATGTAAGTGAGCAAAATTGTAGAAAGACTATTAATTATAAAAGAAGCTGTGCAAGGATTTTCAAAAGAACATTTTGCAATAACCTTGCTAGTCAGCATAATTAATGAAGTACAAGCAACTACTGCTGCACAGTGTAGTGGAACAGTATTGGAAATGTGATTTCTAGCCCTGCCTGTATTATTTCCTAGATATATGACTTTGAGCAAATCACTTGGCCTATCTATTCACTTAAAAAAGTGAGGGAGTTAGACTAGATGATTTCTAAAGTCCTTTCAAGCTCTAGTATCTTATGTTTCTAAAAATAGCCACGTGGGGGATAAGGAATATGCCAGGTTTCAAATGGTTTTACTTAACCTTTTCTTTGTTACAAAGGAAGATTTAATGGGATGGGAAGTAAATGTGAAAACAAAAGGTCCCAATAAAACAAAGAGGACTATAGAAAAAAAAAATGTCCCAATATCCTAGACAGTATCATAGACATTCTAAAACCATCATACAGAACTAGATTTATTGTCTATGGTATTAGTATTTTCTAGGTGGCAATTTGGATAAAGCAAAGTTTATTGCTTTCACCAGTTTTGAAAAGTTTTCTATTTATTGTAAATTGTCAATTGAATCCTGAATCTGCTTATTCTCCTCCATTCCCCTTTCTCTGTTGTCTTGAATTGTGTGCATATCTCTATTTCTCTTCTCTTCTTTTACTTCTTTCTACACTAAACTGGTTACGATATACACACATACTGTTGTTACAATTATTAAAGTGTTATATTACCTATTTTTAAAGTTAGTAAACATTTTATAGTATTTCTCTATAAAACAAAGAAAATTTGCTTTTTATTTTGTGTGCCTCTTCTTTTTTCTATGTGTCACCCAGTAGCTATTTCTCAGCCAAAAAAAATAGGCTTCCTACCCCTGCTAATTATTTCATGTAATATGCTGGTACTGCAGTAAGAAAAGCATACCCTAGGTAAATCACTCTCTGAACTTGTTTCTTCATCTATAAAATGGGGAAGTTGAACCAGAAGAACTCAAAGGACCATTTCAGCTCTAAAACTATGATTCAATGATAAAATTTAAAGGATATGCTAAAACTTGAGGATACATAAAGATTAAAAAATTAAGTCTTTGGTCTCAAGGAGCGAGCACTGAGGGATATGACATGTAGTAAATACAAAGAAATATTGGGAGATGGGAGAAGAATATTCCTTGGGATCTGGAGTTCGAGACCCTGCTGAGGGAGGCAGATGGTGCGGGACAGCTCCGCACCACATCTGGCTCGTCTTTGGAGTTAAACTAAATTCCTTAGCCCGTGGGATCTTAGAATGGGGTTATTTTTTTGAGTCCAGCCCTAGGCATCCTTTTAAAATCGAAAACTATAATAGTCTCTTTGAAGGTAGGGTCAGGTTCTTCAAAAGAGCCAAAAGGAATTATGATTGTACGCTCTTCCCTGGCATTTACCTTCCTAAAATACAAGCAGAGACTTTAATTTTGGCAATATATCCCAAAGATCCATACTTGTGCTCAATATTTACAAAAATATATAGCTACTCAATACAACCAAAAGTGGAATTAACTCAACATCAAAACATCATCCCTCAATAATTGCATGGAGATCTCAAATATTTCAAGATACGTATTTTGCTGGACAATATAACCATAAAACTCTTTAACAATTGTAACAACAGTACATATGTATATTGTAGCCAGTTAAGGATAGAAAGTAAAAGAATAAGAGAACAGAAATAGCAAAAAGATACCACAATTTATGACAACAGAGAAACAACAATTATTCAGTTGACTATTTACCAATGAACACTCATTTCACTGACAAGGTTCACCACCCTCTATAATTAAGCAAATGGTATTTGGGGTTTACTTTGTCCAAAAGACTCACCACTTGGGGATATTTGTGGGGTAAACCTCTCTAATCTTATCTAGACAGGTTCTTAACACAGAAAATACTGTTCTCTCTCTACACTTACAGCTCATCCATAGTTTCAAGTCACCTCTTCAGTGAATATCTTCCAAGCTAATATCCCTAACTCTCGCCTTTCAAATTCCATATTGTCTCCATGGACATCTAAAACACATTTCCTATCTTCTCCCATGCCCAACCCTCAAAAAGCCTAATCTGTTTACAGAAGAAACGACCGTTAAATGAAGTGAAATGATTTTAATGCACAGAAACAACACCCTAAAGAATAAATTATGTGGAGTATTCATCATAGCATTGTCTTAGCAAGGCAGCCAAGTGGTGAAAAAGATAGAAAGCTGTATCTGTTGCCAGGAAAACCAGAATTCGAATTCTTCTGTTCTGGATGACCCTAAGAGAAGGATAAGGAAACTATTCTTCAGAAACTTGTAGAGAAGAAATAAAGAAAATCAGCTGTGTGACCCAGAGCCTCCTCATCTGTAAAAGAGGAATATAACAGCTCCTACCTCCTATGGCTGTTATGAGGATGAAATAAGATTATGCTTACAAACCTCAAAAAGCTGTATTGAGGCTATCAACTATTATTTGTATTAGTTATTTACTATTATGAGGCAGCTAGGTGGCAGAATGAATAGAGCTCGGAATCAGGAAGACTCATCTTCCAAAGTGCAAATCCGGCCTCTGACACGTATTGCTGTGTGACCCTGGGCAAGTCACTTCACCCTGTTTGCCTCAGTTTCCTCATCTGTAAAATGAGCTGGAGAAGAAAATGGTAAGCCACTCCAGTATCTTTGCCGAGAAAACTCCAAAATAGGGTCACGAAGAGTAGGAAAAGACTGAACAACACTATTATTTAGTCCATCTGCTGTCAGTTAGCCAAGGGCTCCTAAAGGAGGAGGTGCTTGGGGAGGGGTAGGCACCGGCTGTATTTAACCAACATCAAATACTGTGACTGGGAGAAAACTTGAAAAGGGCGAAGTTTGATCGACGGGAAGGAATTCACAAGGCCTGGAGGGTCCTTAGAGGGCCGCAGGACCGACTACCGGGCGGGAAAAGCGACGACCCTCCGAGGCCCTCCCTCCCCGACCGGGAGCTGCAAGGGAAGAAGAGCGGACGAGCCAGGCGCAGCGCCGGGCCGGCCCACACCACCCGCCTCCCTCAGCGGGGCCCAGAGCTTAGGGACAGGGCCGGGCTGATGGCGAGCCCCTTCCTGCCTCCGTTTAACGGTCACTCGGCACCTTCATCTTGCTAGAGAAACCTCCGGAGACACCAGGGGTCACTCGCCGCCCAGAGAGCCAGGAACACTGCGCAAGTGCAGTCCCCGGGCTCGCGCTACCCGCCTCCCCGAGCGCGCCCAACCATCCCTGGGACAACTAATCAAGCCAGGTCCGTCAAGCTCGCGCCCGCCCTATAGCGAGGCTTCGCTTCAATCACGTGCCATAAAATCCCATTTCCCCGCCCCCGAGGTGGGAAGGCTCTGCGTCAGTCTTTCCTCTCCCGCCTACGTCCCAAATCTAGAGTTCGCAAAATCTCGCGGAAACTCCCGCTCTCGCGTCCCAGAAGCCCCGCCTCCTCCTATCTGGTCAACGCGGGTTGGCCGAACCTGAAGAGTCTCCTGGGTGACGGGGAACGCAGGAGAAGGTATGCTTCTGCGCAGTGGCTCGCTTGGGAGGCGACTGGAGCCTAGCGATGAAGGTAAATACCTCGAGCATCCCGGGGGCGGGAGACCCGGGTGTCCCATCTTTCCTCACCCGCTCCCGCACCCAGCTGCCCTTTCAGGTGAGGAGGCTGTGTCCTCCGCCCCACCTCGCCAGGGGGTGACGGGGAAGGGGGTAACAGAGGGTGACAGGCAGGGCTTAGGTTACCTAAAGGGAAGAAGAGGAGCAAAAAAGGGGCATCCCCCCCCTTTCCTGATTGCAGGATTCTGTCTCTAGTACTTAACAAAATTGAAAGCAGGGCTTGAAGAGTAAACTGTTTAGGATGTAAGCGAAAGAAGATCCCTGAACATGCAGTTACAGGGCTTGAATTCGAATCGGGCTCTGCAGCTGACTGCCTATGTGACCTTGAACTAGTTGCTTGACTTCAATGGGCCTCACTTCCCTCATCTGTCAAACGAGGCAGCTGGGCTTTATTAAAGTTCCTTCCCACCCCACTTCCAACATCCCATTACCTTCCTATGCTCCTAAATGCTGAAAAGTCAGCACTAGGTGAAGGAACTTGGGGGTCGTGGAGTCCAGTCACCCTCATTTGGTTGATGAGCATACGCAAGTAAATTATTGTCTTGAAGATAGTTACCTAGTGAATTGTGCATTAACACAACCATCCCAACGCCAGAAATATTTAAAGACAAATCAGAGTATCACAGAGTATCCCTTAGTAAAAAGAGAAGTCATTGGCAACTATCTTGAAGTGAGGATAAGCTGATGGGGGTGTCAAAAGGATCTAAACTGGATTCGGTATCTGGCCTGCAAATTTAAGGTAATGTGTATCCCTTCACCTTCATCTCTACCCCTAATGCACAGCTATGAAAGAATATCATCAGACAGCAAAGTCATAAAATCCCAAATTGTTAGAGATAGAAAGGTCATAGGATGCTTCGAAGCTATCAATTATCTATATGTGAATTTTCCATTTTACAATGCTTCCCGTGAAATTTTAAATTCTCTGAATTATCTGTTGAATTGACTCAGCGAAACAATCTTCTCATTCCCACCTTCAAAATACAGTGTTTAAAATTATTTCATTTAATTTTCATATCAGTCATTCTTATAAAGATTCATTATCCTCTTTGCACATACACGGCAGAATCTAAGCAGCTTTTTTTGCATGAGACCCCTTATCTTCAGCCCCCAAAATAATTGATTTACTTTATTGCTTTTCTATGAGTTTTTGAAGAATAGTTTCCTTATCTTTCTAGTAGGATCATCAAGAAAAGAAAAGAAAAAAGCTATCTTCTATTGGCAGTCCAGAAAAAATAAGAAGTAATCACTTTATCTTTGGATTGTACACAGTCTTAAACTATCCATGATAATACTGCCTTTTGTTAGCATGGATAACAATAATAAATTACTTTTTATATGTGCTTTAAAGTTTACAAAGCACTTTATATGCCCAATATACTTTGATTCTTACTATAATTCTATGAGGTAGGTGTTACTGGTATTAATAAACCCCTTTTCACAGATAAGGAAACTGAGGCTTAGAAAGGCTGTGTGACTTTTACATGTTTTCACAGTAGATAAGTGCCAGGGATGCAGTTTTAGCCCAGGTGTCTCCTGACTCCAAGTCGGGGATTCTTTTACTGCATCGCGGTACCTCCCTAAGCACCACAATGATAGAAAATTAATAATAAAGGTCAAAATTTTTCTGTTTACAAAATTTATAGTATCTCATTTGATCTTCCCAGAAATACTATAAGATCGGTAGCACAGGTGTTATTATTATCCAAGTATTAACATAAGAAAACTAAGTACAAAGATTAAATGACAAAGTTACAAGCCTAGTAAGTAAATTGCAGAGTTGGAATTAGAAGCCAGATATTCTTACTCCTACTATTTAAGTATCTTGAGCTTTAAAAAAAAATTAAGAAATATTATATACATTGAATATTATCATAGCATATATTATTATCATAGTATCATTTTAATGTATTTAAATACATTTAAAGTATTCTTATAGTTTACTTTTAAGAAAGAGTAACAAATTTCCTCCTCTTCTTTCTCCTGGTTATAATGTTCAGTTTTAGTCTTTGAAAGAATACAACATGTTGCCACAGGCCAGACTTACATGAAATCATCTTTACTAGATTCAGGCTTTTACCTGCTTTTGCATATGATAAGGTTACCATTTGTTCATTACACCTAGAAATTGAGATAACTCCTTGGTACTGGAGTAAACATACATCTAGTAATCAGTGCCTCCAAGCCTCTTGAGTTACTGCTATGTTTCAAAACGTCTGGGTGAAAGAAGAAGAAATGAGCCTTTGACAAATAGACCAGTGCAGAAGGGACAAATGAAGAATTTGCAAGCTAGTAAATAATGAATGGAGATAATATAACTGAAGAAAAGGGGAAAAGAGGATTTTAAAAGAAGTATCACACACGTTTAGTTAACTTCATAGTTGAAATTTTAAATATAACTTTAATTCAAAACTTTACCATTATAATGCTAAAATTAATTATGTCAAAAAAGAGTTTCAATTTATTTAAATCCTCAGAATCTTGAGAATATGTTATAAAGCCTCACCTATGTTGATATTTGGGAGGTAGATACGATACATCCAACTTGAAGTGAGACTGTCATAACAAAATTCTTTCATCCTTCAGTACCTAAGCCTTTTTGGATGAAGTTTAAAGTATGCCTACCTTATACTGAATCCTACTTGATATGAGTAGTGTTCCTGATGAGGTCACAAGGCGTGTTTTCCAAAATTGCCATTGTATTGATTTAATATTTTTAAAATGGACCCTGAAGTATACATTTTGAACATCTGAAACTAAACTTTTGTTGTTGTTGTTGTTTCCAGAAAGTTTTTACTCTTTTAGAAAGATCTTGGCTTGGTACTCCACTACAATTCACCTGGCAAAAGACATTAGGAAACTACCTAGCTGTAACAGGGTAAGAAAACAGCATTGTCAATTGTATCCGTAAGATTTAAACAGTTCTACAGTGTCATGCTTTAAACTATCCTGCTTTAAACTAAGACCTTTTTTGATCTGGCTTTCTTCTATTTTTCCAGTTTTTCAAATTACTCCCCTTGCTCCATTCAAACTGTGCTAGCAGCTCTTCTCAGTACACAACAACTCATCTCCTGCCCCCGTGCCTTTGCATAAATGATCACTCATGTCTGGAAGGCACTCTATCATTTTTGTCTCCTAGAATCCTTGCTTTCTTTCAAAGCACAAGTACATGCCACCTACTATACAAGGCCCTTCCTACTTCTGTAGGACTCTCTCTCTTAAAATTCCTTAGTACTATTTTGTATATAATTTTTATTTATTTAAATGCATACATAATGTATCCTACAATAGAATGTAAGCTCCCTGAGGGAAGAGACTGTCTCATTTTTTAAAATCTCATATTTTTGTGTTCTAATATCATTTTAGAGCTGATCATACCATAAAAATCTTTGATCGTCATGGTCAAAAAAGAAGTGAAATTAATTTGCCTGGGTAAGTACAAAAAGAGATCCAAAAGTTTTTTTAGCTCTTTTGTTCTTTTCATATGCTTACTATTGAATGCTAACTAAAATGTTTTCTTACAACTACAGTTAAATAGAATTTTATCTGTATCTGCTATTTCATGATTATTTCAGAAGTGATTAAAGTATTTATTAACTATAAATAAAGAATTAAATTTATAAACATGAGAAAGTAAAGTTGTTGTGTATGTGAGTGTGTGATCATGAAAACCCATTTAAAACTGTAGAGAAAAACACTTTTCAACAAAGTGTCTCCCATCCATACATATAAATTATTCAAAATTCCTTGAAAGATAGAACAACAGGACTAACTGTTCAGCAACCCTCTAATTACAAATATTAGGCAAGGCATTAGGCAGAGAGAGACATGCTTGCCAAATGTATTGGCACGAGTCTAAGTTGAAGAGGGATTCCTTGTGGATAGTGAGGTCCTTCAGATATTGAAGTTTGTGAACACCATTTTGCTGATTGCAACATGAGAGAGCCCCCCCGGAATAAATCTGTAATTGCCTAAAGGAATTTGACATAAACATTCACAAAGACTGAATAGATGAAGGGCATCTATTGCCCAAATGAAAACATGCATTTGAATGGACAACCTACAGAATAAATGACCTATAGATGATTTATAGAATGAATGAATGAATGAATGAAGCATTTATTAAATGTTTACTACATGCAAAAACATTGATATAAGCCCTGGGGATATAAATAGAAAAGTTAGAGTATCTGGTCTCAAGGGGCTAACATTCTAATGAGGGAGACCACACACATGGAAAGTTTCTGCTTCAAGTCAAATGGAAAAGTCCCATAGTTCTTAGAGTGAAGCAGCAAAGCAGATCTTAATTCTTCTTCTTTAATGTCATTTCCACTGACAAAATCCTATTCTTTTTCAATGTTGAGCTGTGTGACAACACCAAGCACTTTGGTGCAAGAACTTTCTTTTCTGGGTCTTCAATGGATGAGCTGTAGTAGTTACCAAGCTGCATCTCCATAGGAATAGTGTCCTAGGATTATGGTTATGGGCACTGGGCTGGAAGCATTGCTATTCCCAAAACTCTTGGGTTCAGAATACTGGGCTGTCTCTGTCAGGGTCCAACAGATGATGGTCACGGTGGTGGTGGCACTTGCTAACTCCTGCCTCTCCCTTAAGGTGCCCCATTGCTTCAGCTAGCCTTCCTACCCTCAGAGAGCTCATACATATGTGCATATATATGTGTGTGTGTATTTATGTGCATAGGTAGAGATAGACAACTAGATTGAGAAGGAGAGCAGGCTAGATTGCCATGGAGAAATTGTAAAGTTTCTTTAATGAACCCAAACTTCCCATGAAAGCCTATTTTTTCTTTTTTTTCTTTTTTTTCTATCTTTTTAATAACAAGATTCTATCATACTGAAAAGTATTAGGCAGAAAGACATAAAATACAACCATCTCTAAAGAACTAAAAATCAATATCTCACAGAGGACAATAAAGAAGCAGATAGTGGATATAAGCAGGCCACCAATGAGGCACTCAGAAGAAAAACTGGAGTAGAAAATGACACCAAGAAATTGTATGATTGGAAGAAAAGGCAAAGAATGGCAAATGAACAGTCAGGGTGCTCCCCTAATGTGCTTGAAAGGTCAGGAGACTCAAGGAAGGCCTCTAACACATTATGGCCCCTCTATGGCAGACTTAAAGGACAGCTCATTCAAAATGGGCAGGCATGGATAGGCTGAAATCTGCATCAGCAAAGGGAACTTTGAAATCAATGAGATCAAAGATCCATTTCAGTGTGTATTCATAAAGATGAAGAAATAATAAATGAGAGTATGAAGTAATAAGCCCAATTCCGAAAGTCACACACCAACCATTCTTCTTTATTGTCACACTTCCGTATGTGTTTTTTCATTAAATCATCTGAGGGGCAGCTAGGTGGCGCAATGTATAGAGCACTGGCCCTGAAATTAGGAGGACCTGAGTTCAAATCCAGCCTCAAACCAAGCACTTGACACTTACTAGCTGTGTGACCTTGGTTAAGTCACTTAACCCCAATTGCCTAAAAATAAAAATTAAAAACAAAAGAAATTATCTAATCATTAATTCATCTGTTCAACAAGAATTCAAGGTGTTCTGTGTGTTAGGCATGGAAAATAAAGACAAAAATGATGCAGTCCCTGTACTCAAGAACATTCTATTGGAGGGAAACAAAGTATATACCTAAGTAAAAGCAAAATATATGCAAAAACAACTTGAAGAAAAGGGCACTAGTAACTAGCGATCAGATAGATGACACTATATAGGGGGTGACAATGGAGCTGAATTTTGAAGGCAGCTGGAGATTTTGAGATGAGTAAGTCATACATTCAAGGTATAGGGTCAGCATATATGGATCTGGAAGTTATATGCATAGAGATGATAAATAAACCCATGAGAGCTGATGAAGTTGCCAAGTAAGAAAGTATCTCCTTTTCATCAAGAGAAAAAAAAAAGATCTCAGGACAACTTTGTGGATATACCTACATTTAGAGGGCATGACATGACTTTTGAGCCATCATAGGAGACTGAGGAGCTGTCAGAGCTAAGACTGCAGACACAAAAACCCAGAGAAGAAAAACATCCACTAGGAGAGGATGTTTCAACAATGTCAAATGCTACAGAAAACTCAAGGATTGAGAGAAGTCCATTCAGTTTTATAATAAATGGATCCTTGGCAACTTTAGAAGAGTATTTTCAGTTAAACAAGGCCAGAAGTCAGATTGAAAAGGGTTGCACACTCAAGTAAGAGGAGAGAAAGTATAGGTGATAAATTTAGATAGCTTTTTCAGGAAGTCTGGCTGAAAAAGGAAAGACAAAGGACAGTAGCTTGGGGCAAGGCAGGGTCTAGGGAGGAGTTTTAAGGATGAGGGAGACTTAACCCAGTTTATAGGCAACATGGAAAGAATTAGTAGATAGCAAGACAAGATTACACAAAGAGGGATGATGATCATGAAGATCATCTGCTAGAGAAAACAGAAGGGGACAGGATCAAAGATACAAGTAGAAATGTTGATCATGGCAGGGAGAAGAGCTCCCTCTTCGTCCAAGTATGGACCAAAGAAGGAGATAGTGAGAGGTGATATTAAGGAATTGGGAGATGGGAAGGAGAGAAGTGGAAGCTCACAGTGAATGGCCTCTAATTTTTCAATAAAATTATGAAATGTGATCTTCAGTCGAGGGGGTGCTGTGGATAACCCAAGAAGAGAAGAGATGTGGAACAGCTGATGGCAAGGGGAGTAGAAGAGGAAATCAGTTGGGGAGGAATGAAAAGATAGACTGGCTTGAGTGAGGTTAGATAACCTGAATGTAGAGTGGACCCAGCACAGTTGCATGACTTCTTTTATTCAGCAGCCTGTGAGGAGGATTGGAGGGAACTGATGACAGCAGTAATCCAGGGTTGGGGCTGTCAAGCCATGAACAGCAGTAGGGCAAGGGAGGAAGAGATTAGAGAGCAGAGAATCGTATGCAGTTGAACTGGTGAACTAAAAGGTTGAGTTTGGGAAAGGAAGAGAGCGTAACCAGAACAGAAGTGATTGGTCATAGGATCCTAGTTTTAGAGGTAGAAGAAATCTGAGAGGTCATCTAGTCCAGCCCCTTCATTTTACAGGTGAGGAAATTGAGGACTCTTAGAATCCTTTGTATCCTTTAAAACTGCTGAAATTTTACCTTTCTTCTTATAATCTTTCCTCATCCCCTCCCAACTGCTGGTGCCCTCCCTACAAAATATATACATATGTATATATGTGTGTGTTTGTATATGTAACTTTATTTTGTATATTATATATATATATATTTATGTACATGTTGTCTCCCTAATTAAAATGTAAGCTCCTTGAGGGCAAGGACTATTTCAGGTTTTTTTGTATTCCCAGCCCCTAGCACACTACCCTATAGTATATTATTAAAAAGCTTGTTGAGGGGGAGCTAGGTGGCGCAGTGGTGGCCCTGAATTCAGGAGGACCTGAGTTCAAATCCGGCCTCAGACCAAACACTTGACACTTACTAACTGTGTGACCCTGGGCAAGTCACTTAATCCCAATTGCCTAAAAAAAAAAAAAAAAAAAAAAGCTTGTTTAACTTGTTGAATGATCTAGTGTGAATTAATGAAAGATGTATCTTGATATATATTTTCCCCTAAATCCTTGAGAGAGTTATTTTAAGGATCTAAATTTTAACAGTGTGAAGTTTTTTTTTTAATTTGAACATGCAGTTTTCTTTTAGATGTTAACCAACACTTATATATACAAATATATGTATACATACACATATATAAGTATGTACATACACACACATATATGTTAATATATTCCTTAAAAAAGAAAATCCTAAAATGACAACTGAACAGTCATATAAGAAAGAGAAAGATATAGTAATTAGTTAAACATGAATAGAATAATTAAAAACCATAAAAGTGAAACATACTATACAGCTAGATCCTGATTATACAAACAATAATTAGAAATTCCTTGAGAATAATAACTATCTTGTTTTTGCCTTTATATTCTCAGCACCTAAAAGCAAATGTTTATTTAACTTATTGAAATGGTATTACAAGGAAAATTGAACTGTGCTCTCTCATATGGAATAATTACATTACATAAGAAATAAATAGTTTTTTCTCCTAAAAAAAAGTTTTACCCTTGCAAAATGACTCATTCTCCAGGTGGAATATCCACAAACAAATGGGCTTTGGGATAAAAACTTTACAGACAATTTATTATCATTCTCTAGTTGTGTTTATGGTTAACCATTTGTTTCCTCTTTTTAAAAAGTAACTGTGTTGCTATGGATTGGGATAAAGAGGGAGATACCCTAGCAGTAGTTTCTGAGAAATCTAGTTCCATCTATTTATGGGATGCCAATACAAATAAAATCAGCCAGTTGGACAGTGGCATGAGGTAAGGATGACTTTTTATTTGTAAAAATTTTACTTAAGAGTTTATAATTATTCTGATTTTTATTTTGACAGTATCATATATTTTAAATGCCCTATATGTGGATATTGACTATGTTTTCCCTAATTTTTATTTTTAATGTACTTTTTTAAAAAGTAAGATATATTCTTATAATCAGAACATTTTCTGGCAGATGCTGTTCTTTTGTCAGTTGGTTTGGCTAAACTATTTTTCTTTACTATAGGGAAAGATCAGTGGTGAGGGGAGAAATTAGCAAAAAATAACCGTAGTCTAAAATACAAAATATACAAATAAAAAATTTTAAGTAAAATATGTAGCTATTCATTATAAAAGAAAAAGTATTGGTTCAAGTAAAACATGTAGTAGTACAATATTAGCTAAGAGAGGCAGTGTTGCATAGTGGATAGCAGGCTGACCTTGGAGTTAGAAAGACCTAGGTTCAAATCCCACCTCTTACACATACTAGTTGTGTGACCCTGGGCAAGTCATTTAACTTATATCTGCCTATAAAAGCATTAAGTTGAAGAAAAAGTGGAAATCTGTTATTTCCTCACCAGAACTCCCTACACCAATAAAAGCACAGGTCTAGTAAAAACAATGTAAAACCAATAAAAAAAAAAAAACCTGAAACCCTGATATTACTGACTCTACAAGAATTGAGAAAAAGTTGCCTGTCTAATATTTTGCAAAACAAGTACACATTGAATAACATTTTTAAAATTAGATGAATTGTTCTCCCAATTTTGTTCTTTTCAGAATTTGAGAATGTGAGTATTCTGTTTTTATCACTGTATTACATCTGATTTACTTAGTATGTGAAATTGTACTGAAATCTGGACTCTGAGTTGCAAGTTACCTTAGAGGTAATATAATCCAACTTCCTATTCAGGGCAGGGATACCTTCCCAATGTATAGCATGGAACAGTGTGTATCATCTCTGACAGATAGCTGTATACACACTTTGTTTGAATGCCTTGGAAGCATTGTAGCAAAATCCAAATAGCAATGGATTTAGAGTCAGGGGACCTGTGTTTGAATTTCAACATAGTTGTTTGCTATCTGCATGACCTTGTACAAGTCAGCTAACGTGTCTTGAGGCACAGTGAGAGTTGGATGTGCAAGCTATCTTCCATCTCTAAATCCTGTGACCTCAAGAAAAGAAAAGCTCCCTAAATCCTGTTGATGCCTCTTTTATTCTTATGTGGAGCCAAAAATCTGCCTCTTTGTGACTTCTACCTCTTGTTTCTATTCCAGCCCAAGTCAATTTTAGCAGAGGATAGCTACCATGTCTCCCCTTTGTCGTCTTTTCTCCAGTCTGCGTTTTCCCATACCTTCATGTCTCTTCTTCGACATTTCTGGGGTTATATCATGGTACTTAGAATTGGAAGGGACCTCAGTGGCCATCTGATCTAGCTTTGTCATTTTACAGATCAGGACCCTGAGACTTGAAGAGGGCAAATGACTTGGCAAAGGTCACATGAGTAGTAAGTAACAAAGCCAAGATTTGAACCCAGGTCTTCTGATTCCAAATCCAGGACTCTTCTACACAGCTCTTCAGTTGCTCAAGTCAACATAGGCACTTCCACAAGTATCTGTGTTGCAAAAACATAATATTGTCCATGTATTTTTTAACTTATTTTATCTATTTCTATCCTGTCTTCCCAGGTTAAACTTTTAAAAGAATTATAAATGAGATGGAAAATTTACTTTCTTCTTCTTAAATGAAAGTGCTTTTCAAAAATTAAATAGATGATCATTAAGAGAAAAAAGGAAGAAGAGAGGCTAAGAACATAGATAATCTCCCACCTAGATTACTAATCCTATATAATGAAATTGACTATGCAAAACACACATTTGGTTTTCAGTCATCCCACTCATGCTGTAAAACTATCTTTAATCATAACTCATGTTGAAGCGAAGGTCAGATCTTGGTATTGCTTTCAAACCAACAAAAACAGATTTTTCTTATACATGAAAATAATATTAAAACTATTAGTATATTAGTCCAAGTAGCAGCTGCACCCTCAAAATTTACCACACCCTTAATATGAGATCTCTTTGAAAAGATTTAAAGATATGCACCAAAAATACTTTTAATTACAGTTTTTATTTTATTTTATTATTTTGTTATTATTTTATTTTTTTTGTATAAACCAGATTTAAAGAAAATAAAACCTACATCTAAACCAATATAATAATTTGATTGACATTTTTATAAATGCAGTGACACAGATTAAATCAAAACTTGCTACCATTTAGAAAAAGGAAATACATACACATGTATATGATGTATTTGCTGCCAATTAAAACTTAAAATCATGAATATTTTATAAATCATGTGTTATCCTCTCCTACTTCTAATTATTTGTAATATAACCAGAACAGTGTATCTATCATATTCACATGAAATTTGAAGTACCACCATGAAATGAAATGTACAGTCTTTTCAATTACTAACTGAACCTCAGGTCAATTGTCTGCTTTTCTAGTATATTTTTTAAGTTTATGATTCTCTTATCCTGAAGGAATAAGATATAATTTGGTAATCAGCCTTCCAAGTCAGATAACAAAAATTCCTAATGAAATAATTTTAACTTATTTAAAGATTATTACTATGAATATCCTTCATAGTTATGTTTAAATATTGCAGAGATCAAATGTCTTTTCTTCTCTGGTCAAAATATGGAGCATTCTTAGCTGCTGGAACCGTTAAGGGAAATTTGCTTATATATAATCGTCAGACTTCTAGAAAGATCCCTGTCCTTGGTAAGTTGTAACTAGAAATATATTAAATCTTGCAAAGCACTCTATGGCATTGTAGATTTTACCTCTCCAAAGCTATATCCCATAATATATGACTATTTGGCCCTCCAGACCTGAGGCCAGTACAAAGGCATGAGATGCGTGTGCTCAGTGGTCTAGCCCAGCTGGCCTTTGCACTGTTCTTTACACAATACTCTTGTCTCCTGACTCCATGCCTTTGTGATAGCTATCCACCATGCCTAGACTGCACTTCCCTCTTACATCAACCTTCAAAAATCCTAGTTCTCTTTAAAATTCTACTCAAGTGCCACCTTCAACATAAAATCTTTCTTGATCTCCCGCACTACATTGTCTCCAACCTAAATTACTTTGTATTTACTTTGTAGCTGCTGATACATGTACCTTTTGTCTCCTGTGATAGCATAGAAACTCCTTGTGAGGCTGGGACTGTTTGTTTTTATCTTTTTTATCTTCTGCACAGTACCTGACACATAGTAGGCGCTTAGTAAGTGCTTATTGATTAATCGATTAGCACCTGCAAACAAAAACAGGTCTCGTAATCCTATCCTCATCTCAACTGTAACACAAAGAAACACTAACCCTCTACCCCAGAGTCACCTAGGCTATTCATTTGGGTTATTCCTTGGGTATCCCCTTTGGAAGCAATGAGCAGAACCAACAATTTGGTATCCCTCTGAGTAGAATGAATAGTTCCAGACCTCAAACACTACTCAGCTCCTCATCATTTTGTGCCCTTCCTGTCCCATCTTAACCCACCATCACCACCTTGAGCTTTAAGCTCTAGGATAATCCATTTGGAAAGTGGGTAAAGGAAGGTTTTCTAAGGATCTAGAATTATGTAAGCTAAATATGTCGTATGGTCTAAAATCCTCCATATTTTTCCTGATCTGTAATGGAATCTATAATGGAAACTTTTGATTTTACTTCTGACCATACAGACATTTTAAATGGTTAAGGTTTTTTCCTTTTTTTTTTTTAATAATCACTCCAGTGGCATCTATTTTATAATTCCAGGGAATTAATGAGGGAGACAGGGACAGTGGTTATTTTATCTATGTGAGTGGTATACATGCCATGGACTGTCAGTATTTGTTGTTTTTAGGCTTATCACAGGGCAACTCTTCATTTACGCAGGCATTATCGATTTCTCTTACATGAGCCGGTTTAACAGGTGTTCATTAAGTGCAGCAGAGCGGCATGGCAAAAAGAGTTTGGATGAAATAAGTAAAAGTGACCAGTAAGAGCTGGTCTACAAACCACAGAGACCTAGATTCAAATCCTGCTTGACACACATTGGTTGTTTTATTTAGAATAAGTCCCTTAACCTCTCAGTGCATTAGGCATCTCTCTAAGATTGTAAGTCCTGCATTGGGAGAGGAGTTTCCTCATCTTAGAGCTCCCTACACCAATGAAATCACAGGTCTTGTCCCTATCCTTAGCCTTATCATTTGGGTACATGACACCAAACTAGGTGATAATGGAGGTTACAGAGGAAGTAATAGACATGTTCCTTGAGAAATTGCTTGACATCTTCTGGCAACTTGCATTGCAATGAATTTAACTGCAGTATTTATTTCTCTTAGAAGTAAATTCATATAACAGAATACTAGTAAAATATGACCAAAAATTGAATATCATTTTGATATTAGGGTTAGATTTCATATCCATATAACAAATATTAGCATTGACTCAATTACAATCATCAGACTTCAGAAAGAGTTCCTATTCTCTGTAACTTGTGATTGAAATGTATTAAATGTAAACAATATGCTTCATTATGGCTATTAAGTGCCATTACAAGAATGGCAACATACCAGCTTCATAAGAATGTCTTGATTTCTTCTCTATTAATCCAGTTTTCAGTGTTCTGCTTAAGCTTTCATTCAGATTCATTGCCATTAAGGATTTTGGTTGTGTTTCGTTGAAAAAAAATATGTGTCTATGCTAAGACTGTTTGCTTTTCAGGTAAACACACTAAGCGGATCACATGTGGCTGTTGGAGTTCAGAAAATCTACTGGCATTGGGAAGTGAAGATAAAATGATAACAGTTAGTAATCAGGAAGGTGATACCATAAGACAGGTGATGCAAATTTTCCCCATCATTAAAAACTTAGTCCATATAACCAATATACAAAATTTTACATTTCTCCTATGAACCAAAGTTGTTCTACTCTGGCAAAATATGAATATTAAATTTATTTTCTGTTAAATGCATATTGAAAATATCACAAATACTTTATTTGTTAGAATGGGGTTTTTGGTATTATACTAATTCAAATATTGTTCCCCTCTTACTTCATCTCAGCAACATTTGAAAAGGATTACCTTCTTTATGGTTGTATCCTGACAGTGGATTTGGAGATTATTTTAAGATAAACTTGTAAATGTATATACAGATTTTCTAACCTCTCCTAATAATTTATATTCCATGTTTAGTGCCATCATTTATTTCATTTTTCTGACACCTCACATCCATTAAAATTCCAGGTTTTAATTTAATTGGATTCTTTGGGGGATAATACATATTGGGAAACAAAAATTAAAAAAAAAACAATTTTCAGAATTAAATGAGTTAACCACCCTTCTGTAATCAAGAATTCACTTTATTCAGAATGCATGCTATCTTGGGGTTGGAGGAGGGATGAGTTGGGGAGAAAATTTGGAGCTCAAAATCTTATGGAAGTGAATGTTGAAAACTAAAAATAAATAAATTAATGAATCTCAAAAAAAATTCACTTTAGGCCTCAGAACAAATAGAATCTGGACCTATAAGTTTGTTGATAGAACTCCCAGATGAAGAAATTCCCTTTATTTATAAAAGTGTATACCTTCTCTGATTCTTAAAATTACCTAGACCATTGAGCAGTTAAGTGATAATTGAACTGAACTAGATAGAGTAGAACAAACATGGTTAAGAGTCAAGTAAAACACAAGATACAAATGGAAATAGTAAGAGAACACTCAGCTATTTTAAATGAGTTCAATTCTCCTGGCCCAGATGAATTGTACCTGAAGGTACTGAAAGAATTCATAGATATGATTGTAGAATTATTGTTAGTAAACTTTTATGAATCATGGAAAGCTACTCAAATACTTGAATACAGAGAGATGTCATAATTTAAAAAAAAAGAATTTCATAAATTACAAAGCAGTAAAGATGACATCCATTTCCAGAAATATATTAGAACGGATTATTTTTAAAAAATGGTTTTTCAACACATAAAAGTCAATCAGGCATTACCAAACACTAACTTAAGTTCATTAAGAATAGGTCTTTCCAAACTCATAAAATTTCCTTTTTTGATATTATGATCAGAAGAATTCCTTAGAAATAGCAAGGCATTTAGCAAAGTTTGTCATGCTATCCTTGTGGAAAACATGAAGAAATAATAAATGATAAATGATAACAGTTAGGTGGCTTTGTAACCCCAGAAGTGTTGGTTAATTGATCTATGTCCACCCCATTCCTAGTGGTGGGCTTATCACTGATTCTGATGCTTCCAAAAGTTAGCTGTCTGTCCCATCTTTCTTTCAAATTTGATAAGCTTGCCATAAATCTGTATTTTCATCCAAGTTATTCAATAAATATTTTTTTAACAAAATAGGGCCAAGAATAGAGTTCTGTGACATTCATTAGAGCCCTCCCTACAGATTGAGATTGGTCGTTATTCTTTTGGCTTGATCATTCAATCAGTTATGAATCCACTTTACTATGCTATCTCTCCATCTTGTACATGAAATTTAATGAGAAGCTTTCACTTAATTCAACAAGTATTTACTGAGTGCCCACAATGTATGTGCAATACACTATGCTAGGGACTGGGTATCAAAACAAAAATGAAAAATGGGCCCTGTTCTCAAAGTCCCAAGCTTTAGGATTCTGTACCCCTCAGCATCTTGCTAGCTGTCCTCTGGATGCCTATTCATTTTAAACTGTGCCACCTAAAACTGAACATAATACTCCAAATATAGTCTAATCTTTGCAAAGCACACGGAGACTATTCCTTTTGTTTATCTGAACACATCGTTTTTTTAATGCAGTCTAAATAACTTTAGTTCTTTGGCAGCTGTAGCAAACTTTTGAGTTTAGAGTCTTCTAAAAGCCCTAAATCTTTTCCATGTGAATTGGGGCTTGGGATTTTTAAAAATTTTAAGTGCAGGATTTTACATTTGTTCCCATTAAATTATAGCTTATTGATTATAGCCTATTTTTCCTGCCTATTCAGATTTTGAATCCTAGTTTTTCTCATTCAGCATATTAATTAGCCCTCTAGTTTTGCATCAGCCACAAATTAGATTAGTATGCCTTGTATGTCTTCAAGTCATTGAAAAAGTGAATTGAGCCTAATCTTGAAGGCAGAAATAGAGTGTCAGAAATGAAGAGAAAAAGTATTCTGAGCACAGGATACGAAGTATGCAACGTCCTAGAGAAGAGAATTATTAAGATCAGGGTGTGGGGGGAGACAGTAATCAGACTGACAGGGCCAGAGCAGAAGTAACCATGACCATATCCAAAAATGAAGTAAATCCATGTTGGACTTGATCACCAGTCATAAGTTGTTTTCATTTTTATTTTATAGACTCCAGTCCGATCAGAGCCTAGTGATATGCAGTTTTCAACAATGAAGACTGATGACAGAAACTCTGCTTCTGAAAGCACAGTAAGTATTCAGAACCAAGTCTATATTCAAATCATCTTGGTGCTTCTGTAGAGTTTAAAAATATAGCACCATGTGTGCTAAAAAAAAAATGCTGTTTAATAAGAATGTATATGTATAGCCTATATCAGATTGTCTTGGGGAGGGTGGTAGGGAGGAAGGGTGAGAAAAATTTTAAACTCAAAAGCATATGGAAGTGATTGTTAATAAATCAAAATAAATTAATAAAAAAAATTTTTAATGCTTAAAAAACCCTAAAAATGATGAGTATGGAAGGGCCCCCTTAATATGATAAAAAGTGGACATCTAAAACCAAAATCTAGCATTATTTGCAGTGGAGAAATATTAGAAAACTTTCCTAATAAATACAGGGTAAGGCAAGAATGTGCTATCTTGTCTCTATTATTTAATAATTCCTGAAATACTAGTGATAGTAGTAACCAGAGGAAATTAAAGGCATAACATCAACAAAAAGGAAACAAAATCATCCTTATTTATAGATATGATAAAACTCCAGAAAATCAGCAAATGTAATCTAATTAAAACAATTAATAGCTTCAGCATAGCAGAAGAATACAAAGTCCACAAAAATAAATCCCAGGCATTCAAGAAGTACCAGAGGTGCCTGTCAAGAACCTATCAGCAGGGGCAGCTAGGTGGCGCAGTAGAGAGAGCACCGACCCTGCAGTCAGAAAGATCTGAGTTCAAATCCTGTCTCAGACCAGACTCTTGACACTTACTAGTTGTGTGACCCTGGGCAAGTCACTTAACCCCAATTGCCTCGCCAAAAAAAAATAAACAAATCTATCAGCAATACTTCACATAAATTACACAAATATCAGAAGAGTTTTCTGTAGTACTGCAAACTGCTACTAACCTTTAGTGGAAATGGATGACATTTTCTTAATAACTACTAAGAAGCCAGGCCAGATCATTTAGGGACATGCTGTTTTAATGTAAACTTTCATTTTGGTATTTTTTGAGGGGAGGTAATAAGGTGAAGTGACATGCCCAGTGTCATACTTAGTCACCTTAGTGTGAACTTTGTTTATTTGCCCCTGGTCTGGTTCTGTAGCTATAGTAGGAGCAAAAATCCCCCTTGTTCCTGGGGATGGGAGAACCATTATGTGCAAATATAATTATCTATATCACAGAGCATTAATGACATCTTTCATTTAAAAAAACATTCCAGGGGCAGCTAGGTAGTGTAGTGGATAGTGTACTGGCCCTGAAGTCAGGAGGACCTGAGTTCAAATGCGGCCTCAGACACATAATACTTCCTAGCTGTGTGACTCTGGGCAAGTCACTTAATTCCAATTGCCTCACTGAAAAAAAAAAAAACGAAACATTGCAGAAAGTTGACTTTGGTATGTATGATAAAGTATCTTAGATATGATTAAAGTCTTTCCAAAGTACATTAGTGCAATATATTTTGTATTAATGTTGTTTAATATCTTATGTGACTAATTGTAGGATTTAGCACACAGAAATCATATTCCTCTTTGTTGTTGTTGTTTGTTTGTTTGTCCTTCATTCTCAAAGAGGACTTTGACATCAGGGAGGTGATGCCATGACATGCAAGTGAATTAGATTTAAGTGAGGAAAGGCTGTGCAAAGTCACCAGTCATATTCCTGTTTATATTCTTCACAGACATACATTTTGTCAGTATAGGTATTGCCTCCACCAAAGTCAATCACAACTCCCCAGTGACTTGGTTAGACAGTCTACAAATTGCCATAAGTGAAAAATGTACCATCATAAAGCCAATTTGGTGATGAATCTCTCTGACCTTAGCTAGGCTGGGTCATGAACAACTGATGCACCAAATGGTCCGTTGCTGGGACCATTCTCTGGGCCTTTTCAGCCTGGCAGGATCTGCCAGAGCAACTCTTCTTCTGGCATAGCCTTCAGGAGTCAAGGTCACTATACTGCAGTCACTATATTACAACAAAATGCTGGTGAAGGATACTAGATTCTACTGTATAAATAGCATTCGTCTTTTTCACGAAGCACTGTGCCTTCTGTCTCACTCTGTTTTTTATTTTGTTGGTAGATAAGTGTGGTGGTTGGCAAGAAAACTTTATTTCTTTTCAATCTGAATGATCCAGATAGCCCAATTGATCTAGAATTTCAGCAGCGCTATGGCAGCATTGTTTGTTACAGTTGGTAAGTACAAAAGTTTTAAAGAGAAAGAGAAGTTCATGTCTTTTTCTAAATTAGTTATAGCATTTCATTTTCATTTATATGTTTTCATTCATTTTCATACATATGTCTATTTGTAAAATTAATATCTTCAGGATTATAAAATATTTTTGAGTAGTAAAGCCTGCATTTTAAAAATTATTTTCAAGTCTCTCTTGATTCTAATCTATCCTCCATATAGCTGCTAAAATGATTTTCCTTAAGAATAGGTCTGACCATGTCACTCTCCTGCTAAACTCCAACAGCTACCTGTTGCCTTTAGGCTCAAAAACACACTCATCTGTGTGACTTATAATGCTTTCACAACATTAGCTGAAATGAATTTTTCTGACTTTGTTATACTTAACACTTCTTCCCATACTCAGAACTTCAGCCACACTGGCCTGCTTGCTCTTTCTCACACACTATATCCCACCTTCCATCTCTGTTCCCTTGCACTGGCTGTCTGCCACACCTGGAATGCAAGTCTTCTTCACTTCTCCTCTGTAGAAGTCCTAGTTTCCTTCAAAGCTCACACTTGGGGGCAGCTAGGTGGCACAGTGGATAGTGCTCTGGCCTTGGAGTCGGGAGGACCTGAGTTCAAATCCAGCCTCAGACACTTAACACTTACTAGCTGTGTGACCCTGGGCAAGTCACTTAACCCTGATTGCCTCACCAAAAAAAAAAAAAAGCTCAATCTCAGCCTTCAACATGAAACCTTTCTTGATTCTTCCCCAGCTGCTTCCCCCACATTGCCTCGTATAAATTTTGTGTGTGCTTTTTAGATGTACATGTTATCTTCCCTCATTCAAGTACAAAATCATTGAGGGTAGGGACTGTTACATTTTGTCTTTGTTTCCCTAACACCTGGCACAGTACCCACTCATAGTAGGTTCTTACATGCTTTTTGATTGATTAATTCTATAATTATCTATTTAAAGGGCATTTACTGGTTTATCAATAATAATGTTAGTCCCCAAACTGTCAAAAATTTAGCTACAATTGCTTTTAATTTGACAAATCGATCTATTATCTTTTTATTACATTGCCATTTGTGTTGCTTACAGGTATGGAGATGGCTATATAATGATTGGTTTCTCACGGGGAATTTTTGTTGTCATTTCGACTCATATTCGAGAAATTGGTCAAGAGATCTTTCAGGCTCGGAACCACAAGGATAACTTAAGTAGTATTGCAATATCACAGTCCCTTAACAAAGCTGCTACATGTGGGGACAACTGGTAAGTTATATATTTAAATCATTTTAAAAAAAAAAAAAGGAATGAGCAAGATATTTTTTTTTAATCTAGCAGGAACAAGCATCTGTTTGAAATTGTGCAAGATGAATTTGCAGTAGATCAAATCTGCCTGGTTCTTCATCTTTCTTCCTCAGTGCTCTGTATCCAAAGAACAAGAAAATTATTCTGTGGGATAGATCTTAAACTAGAAATTGGGATGGCATATGGTGAGAGAGAGATAGGCATCTACTGTACCCTAAAGGAAGCCTAAAGGAAGGAAGAATAAATAATGACTAAACTGTCAAATTTGAAAAGCTGGGACAAAAATAGTGTCATAGCAAATATAGGACATAGGAGAAGGAGCTGAGTTAGTGAAAGGAATATCTGATTACATTAAATTAACTCTAGCACCCAAGAATGATTGCTTTTACCATTCAGAGACACTCCGACGTTAGAGTTGAGAACTTTTTTTGAATTATTACTCCTCAATTTGCTCTTCTTAAACATTTTTTAAATTCTGAATTTAACAAACACCAAATAAAATGAGCATCTCAATTTGCAAAATAAAACTGAAAGAGGGGATTGTACATGAAACCCACAACACTATTACATACATCTTGCTTTTCCTTACAAGTACATATTAAATTCAACATGTAAGTTTCAAAGCTGGCATGCTTGTCTGCATTTCCTTCTAACCTTCCTTCCTTTCTTTTTTTTGGGGGGGGGTATAAATCTATCACTACTCATCTCACCCTCTCACCTCATCCACCCAAATTAAAGCAAAAGAAAGAAAGAAAGACAAAACCTTTATAACATATATGCACAATCAAATAGAATATTTCCATATTAGTCATGTCCAAAAATGTGTGTCTCATTTGGTACCTTAAGTCCATCACTTTTCTCTCAGCTCGTAGGTAGCATGTCTTTAGTCATCAATCTTCAGGGGTCATGGTTGGTCATTATCGTTGATTAGAGATTTTAAGTCTTTTCGTTGCAACATGGTTGTTATTGTATATATATTTTTCTCCTGTGTCTGCTCAGTTCTTTCTACATTAATTTATATAAGTCTTCTAAGGTTTCTCTGAAACCATTCCTTTTGTCATTTCTTACTATGCAATAATATTCCATTATATTCATATACTATATTTTTTCAACCATTTCCCCAAATGATAGGTAACCTCTTAGCTTCCAGTTCTTTGCTATAACAAAAAGTCACTACAAATATTTTTGTTTAGATGGATCTTCTTCCTCTTTCTTTAATGTCTTTGGAGGTATAAGTTTAGTAGTGGTATAGCCAGGCCAAAGGGTTTGCACAGTTTAGTAACTCTTACGGCATAGTTCCAAATTTCTTTCAGTAAAAGCTGAACCAATCTACCCTTCCGCCAACAGTGAATTTCACTTAATTTTGACTTGGTAAGACTTAATTTTCTCATCTATAAAATATGGATAATAGTATTTGTACTACTTATCTCACAAGGTTAGTGTGAAAAAAGTTTTATAAATATTAATTCATTTCTATTCAATACACATTTATTATGTACCTACTATGTGCTAGGCCCTGTACATAGCACTATTGTGTGCTATGTGTGAGTTATTATTATTGCCACTTTCTTAGAAACTCTTGCCATACATTTTACATATTTTGTGATTGGAAAATCCCTGAAACTTTCATTTCTTCATTGAATTTGCTTTTTAATTTGTTTTTTATCTTTGGTTATCAAGATATGTGAAACAGAAATTCCGGGGTATAAACATCTGAGTTATAGTTTAGCAGCACACTTTTTTAATAATACTATCAAGTAACGAAAATGCTGGATATCGTCCTAAAATACATTTGGTTAAATTTTTACATTAAATCTTGTGATAAAATCTCTTTCAGAATTGTTATGAATTAACAGTACCTAGTACATTTATATGTTGATGTCATAAAATCATAGAATCATGGCATTTTCAAGTTCTTTAAAATTTTGTCTCTTATTTGTACATGGAATATGTGTATCAACTGTCAGTGATACATATTTCTTAGATTATACTTCCAGTAAAATGATAATTGCTTCTTCTGGTTCTTATGACTAACTAGATCTGTAAGGTTGGAGGATGAACATAGAAGCATAGTCTTCAGTTGTGGAATGGGAAAAATAGCTTGCCTCTGACCTTCTGGTCATGTCCTAATCAATTCTGCTAATACAGGTACTGATGTTCACAATGGTCATGATTGTGTAGGTGGATAAGAAATAAAATAGGTACATTTACCTTTACGTTGAGTACGTTTACTTTTTAGAAATACATTAACTTCTATAACACTAGAATCCTGTTTAGTGCATGAAATGAAAGAGTTATGGGGGCAACTAGGTGGCACAGTGGATAGAGCACTGGCCCTGAAATCAGGAGGACCTGGGTTCAAATCTGGCCTCAGACCAAACACTTGACACTCACTAGCTGTATGACCCTGGGCAAGTCACTTAACCCCAATTGCCTAAAAAAGAAAAAAAAAACAAAAAAAACAAAAAAAAATGAAAAAGTTAACACATGTTTCAAAATGTTAGAAATTTATTCCCAGGGAAGACTTAAATAAATCCAGCATTTTAATAATAAATAAACATCTAAAGTGATTGGTGATCTATTTTATTTTGTTAGAAGATGCATCTTCATTTTATGGGTCTTAGTAATAGTGATAGTATTAATAACAAAGACATTTTAAGGAACGAATGTTGAGATTCATTGAGACTATGAGTTAACAGAACTTGACCTAACTAGACGGATCTGAAAGAAATGGTTTACTAAAATAGCCCCATAGAACATGGGGCTGGTATTTCAAAGATTCTACCTCCATCATTGCCCGTATCAAATTCATTGTGCCAAATCTAACCATGTTTACTTAGACTGAATCTATTTTTGGAAATATGATGGTAATATGCTTTTTGTATTTAGTGACTCCATTTGTTTCCTTAAATCAAGTTCCGTTTGGAATTTTCCATTTTTAAAATATTAGATGAAACTAATAATTTTTATTTTGTTTTTCAGCATTAAAATCCATGACCTCTCAGAACTAAAAGAAATGTATGCTATAATAAACCTGGATGATGAAAATAAAGGTATTCTATGAATGTCTAAAACAGATTAACACTGAATGTATTTACTTAACAGATAATAGTATAGTGTTTATTATTTTAATATTTTTATTTATTACAGGAAGTTTGAGATATAATATCCCATACCTTTCACTAGATGCTGAATTTGCATTACTTGTATTTATTTTGAATTTGAATGATTATTTGAATTTTCATTACTTGTATTAATTAATTTGTATTTGTATAATTAATTAATGCTACTTAAATTGAACTGAAGAAGTCCACATGTTTAAAATATTTATCATGGATTTTATTATAGTTCATTTGACAGCCAGCTGACAGTAGATAGAGTGCTGGACTTGTTCACATCCTTAGTTCAAATACTGCTTTACACATTAGTTAGGTGACCCTGGGTAAGTCACATAATGTCTTTTGGATTCAGTTTGTCATCCAATAAATGCAGAGTTTGAACTGGATGACTTCTCGAAGATCCCTTCCAACTCTAAATCTATGATCTGTGTGATCTGTTTTTACAAATGCAAAAATGTACTTTCCACTTTTATTGGATGTATATTCTATATATTCTGTGTGACACTAGCTGGTACAATTTCTACTCTAAAAATAATTACCATAGGCCAAGTAAAAAAATTTATTTATACTATTAAACAAAATGTTTTTAAATTTACCTTTCCCCCTCTGAAACACTGAAATAAATATAATTTGTAGAACTTTTTGTTCATTATTTAATTATAGTTCACTTTTGAAAAAAATCATTTCAGGGTTGGGTAGTCTATCTTGGACAGATGATGGCCAGTTGTTGGCGGTATCTACTCAAAGAGGCTCACTCCATGTTTTCCTGACCAAACTTCCTGTTCTTGGGGACAACTGCAGCACACGGATTGCATATCTCACCTCTCTCCTTGAAGTGACAGTAGCCAACCCTGTTGAAGGAGTATGACAAATATGTTACTTTAATTTTATTTATAGACAAACTCAAAGTAATTAGAGTAGCTTATTTACAATGACTGCTTTTCTCGTAGGAGCTACCCATCACAGTTTCTGTTGAAGTGGAGCCCAACTTCTTAGCTATAGGTCTTTATCATTTGGCTGTGGGAATGAACAATCGAGCTTGGTTCTATGCACTTAGAGAGGACAGTAAGTCTAAATCTGGTTTTGTTATTTAAACTCTTTATATCTATCACCTCTGATAAATGTATTGGTATTCCCTAATAAAGCATTGTATACTGAGTGTTGACTCAGAGATGAAGAAGATTTGAGCTTCGTGGGCAGCTTATCAATAAGTATATGAGGCACGGTGGAGGAAAGTTCCTTTTCTCTTTTTTAGCTTCATGACAATACATATAAATATGTATTTCCTTTCCTTAGCTTAAAAGGTTTTGAACATCATAAACCTAATTTTCATAATTCCTGAGACAACTTTCTTTTTTGCTTCAGTGCTCTTTTGACTTTTTTTCTTCAAATATTGGAAATTGACAGAAAAAAATGACATTCTATCCATTCACACACTTCCTCACAGGAGATTATATGTTAATCAGTCAGTCATAGAGCATGACAGAGTATGATTCTACTCAAGTAGCAAATGGCATTAAGTTTTCACTATGCTGTTCCTAGTGTTTACATATGAGAATTTATTTTACGTTTGTATCTTATGTGAACTTCCGTGGATGTCATTATTCCAAATTCACATAGCGACTAAAATTTCCTGAAAAAACTGGAAGAAAATTTCAAGGTTTAGAAGAGTTTTGAAATGTTTATAATTAATTTTGATTTAAATTTTAATTCATTAATTAGTTAGTTTGAACTTTTTTCAGAACTTATATGAAATGCATCACCTGTATTGTAATGTTTTCTTATTTTCTACAGTTGTGAAAAAGTTAAAAGATGTTGAGTATCTGGGAACAGTAGCTAGAATGTGCCTTCATTCTGACTATGCTGCTGTACTTTTTGAGGGCAAAATACAGTTACATATGGTGAGTCTTATTTTGCAAATCTGAAGGCCTATGGAGTTGAGATAAGCAGAAGTAGGAGATGAATAGACTAAGGCCTAATAGTAAAGAATACTTTTAGAGCTAGAAGGGACCTTAAAAGTCCAACCCTCTAATCTTATACAAGAGGAAACTGAGGTCCGAACAATTGGAGTGTCTTGCCCAAGGAGACACAATAAAGTCCTATGGTTCCTTTTCCATGCTAGTTTAAAAACAAGAGGCAGCACAGCCTAAGGGGAAGAAGGCTGGCCCTAAAGCCAGGAAGACATAAATTCAGATCTGGCCTCTGACGTACACTAGCTGTTTGACCTCTGGTTAAGTGACTGAACTGCTCAGCGCATGAGGTAATGCTGGAAGTCTGAGCTACCCCATCTTGGTTAAGGGGGGTGGTCTATGCCCTATCATGAAAAGCACAAACTCCTCTCTTTTTGATATTTAAAGGACTTCAGCATGATTATATATTACTTCCAGTCACACTGTGGTCCAGACAAACTGGCCTTCTTGCTGCAGCTCACACATGTCACTCTGTCTCCTGTGTCTGGGCCTTTCTCCTTCATCACCTCTACCTGTTAGAATTCCTTGTTTCCTTCAAAGCTTAGCTCTGGTATCACCTGCATGAGACTTTTCCTTCTCCTTACCCCATCCCTTTGACCTCTGCCCAGGCTCCTAGTGCTTCTTACCAAAATCTATTTTGTATTTTGCATGTTTGTATATGTTCATATATGTATACATATGTGTGTACATGTATGTGTGCATATGTGTGTGCATGTGCGCACACAGACACACTGAAGATGTCCCAGAAGTCTTTGTACAGTTTTAAACTATTATGTGAGTCAATGTGTATGTGTGTGTACATATATATGTAGGACAGCGAGGTGGTGCAGTAGATAAAGTGCTGGGCCTGGAATCAGGCTAACTGATCTTCCTGAGTTCAAATCTGGCCTCAGACATTTACCAGCTGCGTGACCCAGAGCAAGTTACTTAACCCTGTTTGCCTCAGTTCCTCATCTGTAAAATGAGCTGGAGAAAGAAATGGCAAACTCCTCCAGTGTCTTTGCCAAGAAAACCCCAAATGGGGTCGTGCAGAGTCAGACACATCTGAAATGACTGAACGGCAACGATGTATGGATTGTCTTCCCCAACAGATTGTAAACTTTTTGAAGGCAGGGATCTTTTTATTTTAGTCTTTTATCCCTAGTATCTAACATAGTATTTGGCTCATAATGGAAACTTAATCAATGCTTGCTGGCTGATCATTTGATTAACTGATTGATTGATCTGGGCCAGATGTCTTAAGCCTATAAAGGGCGGTCAGATCCTCCCTTACTGTCAACATACTTATTTTGGATCTTAGCTTCCTCTTAACCATTTTTGTTGTGTCCTTTTCCAGTCCTGTGGTTCTCCCTTTTTGCAAAGGAAGTAGAGGTGAAGTAAGAAATGAGTATATCTGCCTTCTCTCAAGTCTTCAGTTACCTTCATTCCAATCAAAAACAATGGTTCTCTCTTTTCTTTGTTCTTCCTATTCTCCACCCCATGGCTTTAAAAAAAATTGCATTACCTAATTAGTTTCCTAATTCTCATCTGCAGTGCTTCTGATCTGTTCTTACAGGACTATGCCGTACTTTTGTATTCATCCACTATTGCTTACCTGTGATTCCATCTTCTGTACGTGTCTTTTTGGAATCTAAATTAGTAGCAATTTCCTTGTTCATCCATATCAATCTTTTCAGACAATTTAGTTAGACCGGGAAGCTATTAGCTAAGTGACTTGATTGAGACAGAAGAAAAAAATTGAAATGCTTAACCCACCAACTGATAACATCATAAACTACTGTTATTAACATTTTAGATAGAAAGTGAAATTTTGGATGCTGAAGAAGAACGTGAGACTCGACTTTTTCCAGAGGTAGATGACAAATGCCGAATTTTATGCCATGCTTTAACTGGAGATTTCCTAATTTATGGTACAGATGTATGTATTTTTGATTTCTTTTTACTTCTTTTGGTTATATAGAAAATTTCTAATTCTAGTTAATTGAAGTATTGTATTATCTCTTGATCATATGGTAGCTTATGGTTCCCTGCCTATTTTTGACATTGAACTTATGAACTTACATACAGGGAGATAATGTTCTTAATGTGTTTCATCATTTTTGCTAGTTTTTTGTAGTTTCCTTATGTCATGAAAACATAATCTTTGCATATCTAAAATTGATATAGACTTTACTAAACAGCTAAAAATGAAAACAAATTGAAAGTGAATAAAATATAAAAGATCACTTTGTACTTAGGGCATGTTCTCTTGATCTTAATAATTTAAGAAGGTTTATAGTAATTGAATGTTCTTTGACATTTGGTGTTTCAGGACACCAAATGAAATATAATTAAAACAATAAAAACTAAGGGGCAGCTAGGTGACGCAGTGGATAGAACACCAGCCCTGAAGTCAAGAGTACCTAAGTTCAAATCTGGCCTCAGACCAAACACTTGGCATTTACTAGCTGTGTGACCCTGGACAAGTCACTTACCCCCAATTAACTAAAAAAAAAAAAAAACCTAAAAGTTCAAATAAATCCATTGGTTTTTAATTCTTGGAAAAGACTAGAAAATATGATATTCAAAAAGATGAGGAGGAAAATGTTAAAATACCATAGATATAAGAGAAGTTAAGTTTATTATTAAGTCATAAGAATTCCTTTCTATAGAAAAATGGCAGAAAAATGTTTTGAACATTTTCCCCTTACAAGATTTTCTTCCCAATTGGTATCTTTCCTTTATTTCAATTATTTACTGCATGTTGAGAATGTTTTTGTGTTGGCCATTTTTGGTATCAGTTTATGAAGAACAGTATGAGGCACATACATAGTCATAATACCTTATTCATCTAAAGTACTTTTAACTTTTTTCAAAACATTTTCACATTTTTATCTCTGTTTGATTCTCAGAAGAATTCTGAGTAGAGAAAGTTATAATCCTTACAAGAAAATAGGTCGTTTGCTATTTAACTGCATAATTATCACCAACCCCCATCAACAATTCCTCCCCTACTTATATACAGTGTCATATAAATTGATGGTGCCATGCTGAACTTTAAAAACAAAGGTAGCAACTGTGGTTTGCTAATGAATCATTATTTATGATAACCTCATAGTGGACTAACTCTTATAATCCCCAAAATTTTTCTGCTTGTTTTCATATTTTAAAATCTTGCTAAATGTACTTACCAATTAGGATCTAAGATATATGCCTAAGATCATTGGGATAGAAATAAGTGTCAGATGATTGAAGTTTCCTCTAAGTTGAAGATTTAAAATGTGATAATGCCAAAAATATAATTAAAAATATCAGATTTTGCAAAGTATTGAATCAGAAATACATTCACAGTTAACATAGGATTTTGTTCTACCTTTTAAAATATTTACCATATGTGGCTAACTTCAGTTTTGAGTTAAATACTTCTTTAAAAATGTGAAATATTTTCTTTAAAAAAGAAAGTGTCTCATAACATTTTCATGACTATAATTGTTTTAGACTGGCGTTATAAGGTATTTCTTTATTGAAGACTGGCAATATGTGAATGAATATCGACATCCTGTCAGTGTGAAAAAAATTTTTCCTGACCCTAATGGGACAAAATTGGTTTTCATTGATGAAAAAAGTGAAGGATTTGTCTACTGTCCTGTAAGTTCTGAAAATAATTTCGATCATGCTTTTCTTTAAGTTCTTAAAATTTAATAAAGAAAAAATGAATGTATAAATTAATTTTCTTTTAAAACAATGCAAAAGCTTTAGGATTTTAAAACACTTATATTTGTAATTGAACTATAATAATGGTTCCACATTTTGTGGCATTTTCATATTTCAAAAAACATGGTTTATGATTTTTCATAGGTTTTTTATCTTTAAAAATTTGTTGGGGATCAACTAGGTGGCACAGTGGATAGAGCACCGGCCCTGGAATCAGGAGGAGCTGAGTTCAAATCTGGTCTCAGACACTTGACACTTACTGTGTGTCCCTGTGTGACCCTGGACAAGTCATTTAACCCCAATTGCCTCCCCTCCCCCCAAAAAAACCATTCATGAAAAATAAGCACTTATTATCTGTACCAGACTTTTTTAGCTTCCATTAGTAGTTATTTTTTGATTTGTTTATGTCACATTTTTCCAACAAGATTTTAAGTTTCTTGAAGGTAGAGACTATGTCTCATATTTGAGTCCCCCTCATTACCTCATTGCCTATGATCCTTAAACATAGCAGGCATTAAATATTTGTCAATCACTGTTTTTTTACTGAATAATTCAAAATTGGCCAGATCTTAAAATCCTGTATTATTTGAAAGATTTTTAAATGCCTTTTAAAATTTCATTTTAAAAAGAAACTTAAAATGTGTGAATTACACTTATCAGCATAAGTTTTGCCACCAGATAACGAATTTGTTCAGCCATAGTTAATTCCTATCTGTTATGGAAGGGTTGTAATATGCTTGAGTTGTTGACATGTCCACACTGATAAAAATTACAGGTCTTTGAAGTTTTTAAAGTAAATGTGATTAGAATATAGAGTCCACTAGTGATTTTGAATGTTCAGGCACTTAAATATGTTGCTCTGGCTCCTGGTTCCTGCTAAGGATCACAGGACATAAATCAACCTCTCTATACTTTCTGTTAGCTAAGCAAAGCTACTTGGGGATCCAGTCCTGAGAAACTTGCCCCAGGCTTCATTATGCTTCACAGGAAAGAGAGCTCATAGCAGTCAGCTGATCTTTGCCATGACACTCCAGGTTAAGGCATGATGTATGAGGAGGAGAAAAGACTTAACTAGATTTAAATTGAAGTCTTGCTTGGGCTACTTCATGCAAAGTGATCCCAATCACCATCCTGTCCCTGAGGCTGTCCTCTTCTTTGGTTATTCTTCAGGAATTGAGTGCTTTCATGCCACCCACTAGCTCACCCAGGCCTCCCTTTTCATCAGTTCTTCCAAATTGCCCCACATCCATCTCATAGTGAAAAAGTACTGAACTTGGAATGCATTTGGGTTCTAGTCAGAGCCAAAGCAAAGTATTTGTGCCCTTGAAGCCTGGTTTGAAAATTGTCCTTTCCTGTGGTTGCAAATTATATCCGATGTATTAATGTGTATCAGATGCTTCACTGTAACATGGGACTAAATTTATCACAAAATAAATACCTATATGCCATAGAGAGCAGAATTTCCTGACATTAAAAACATGGACATTTATAAAAAGATTTCCTTGTGCTCCTCCACACTGTACATGAGGCAGCCACCTCTCTTGCCTGTCCTCTGTCCCTTCTCTGTCATTTACTATCTATGGGACTTGGGCAAGTCATTTAGCACCTCTGAGCCTCAGTTTCTTTACCTATTTCACTCCCCACAAAAGCTACTCCAAATCTGTCACAACCATTTTCCTCTTTCACCTGAGGACCTTGTCTCTTACTCTACTAAGAAAAGTGAAACCATTCAATGTCAGCTCATTATTTTCTCATTCTGTTCATCTCAAAACCCCTTGGCATCACTTTTCACTCTATTTCACCTGGTTTATGAAAGAGATGACCCTTCTCTTTGCCAAGGCCAGCTCCTCTACATGTGTACTTGATTCTGTCCATTCCTTTCTTCTTCAGCAAGACTGCATCCTCAGCCGTTCTCTCTCTCTTCCGTGTCTCTCTGTCTCTTTCTATCTCTGTCTTTTTCTCTCTTTGTCTCTCTTCTTCAACTCCTTCTTACCCACTTGTTCCTTCCCTATTGCCTTAATTATGCCCAGTATAATCCTTAAAAAAAAAAAACCTTCACTAGGCCCTACCATCCCCTGAAGTTAGTATATAAGTTAGCGCTGTCTTTTCTCAGCCTTGAAAAAGTTGTCAATACTCTCTACCACCACCTCTCCTCTACTCAACCCTTTTCCAATCTGGCTTCTGACTCCATCACTCAGCAGTGTTCTCTAAACTGTTCTCTTAATTGCCATATCCGATGGTCCTTTCTCAGTCCTATTCTTCTCAACCTGTTTGCTCTTGACACTAGTGACCACTCTCTCCTCCTGGATGCTCTCTTCTCTGGGTTTTTGTGGCACTACTCCCTCCTGGTTCTTCTCCTTGACTTACAACACCTTAATCTCATTAGCGGACTCATCATCCATATCATATCCCATAAATGTAGGTTTTGCCCTAGGCTCTCTTCTTTTGCTACCTTCACATTCTCAGTAAACTTAGCAACTCTCATGGGTTAAATTATCCTCTTCATGCAAATGACTCATAGATCTGTCTATCCAACTCCAATCTGTTTCCTGAAATTTAATCCTACATCACCAATTGCCTGTTAGACATTTCAAACTGATGTCTGGGAGACATCTTAAATTCAACATGTCCAAAACTGGAACTCACTCTCTTTTCCCCAAAACCCTCACCTCTTCCAAACTTACCTATTTTTGTCAGAGGCATCACCATCTCGACTTTCTACCAAGTTCATAACCTCAGCATTATCCTGGCCTTCTCAGCCTCCCTCACTCCACATATCCAAGCAATTGCCAAATCTTGATATTTTTACTTCTGCAGGCTGTCTTGTATTTGACCCTTTGTCATAACTGTCACCTTAGTTCAGTCCCTCCTCACCTCTCATTGAGATTATTGAGTAGCCTCCCTGATGTCCTCCCTGTGTTAGGTTTCTCACCATTCCAATCTATCCTACACACTGATGACTGAATAATCAGCAAACTGCAGTAGCTTCCTGTTGGGAGCTTAGGAAGACCCAGAAGTTACTCTGAGCCCTCTTTATCTGTATAATTCACGCATTGAGAGAAGAAGGGAAAAAGGGTTTTGTGACTCTGAGCCCCCTCTGTTGGGAGTATTCAAGAAGAATCAACTACTGCTATGTTTCCTTCTTCCCCTACTTACCTCCTGGGTGGAGGCTTAGGTCCGGGTGGCCTCTGTTCTGATCTACATTCCCAAGAAAAAAGACAACAATTCCCACCACACAGAAAAGCATCATAGGATCATAGATTTAGAGCTGGAAGAGACTTTAGAAGTCCCCAAGTCCAATCTCCTCATTTTACAGATGAGGACACTAAACCCAAGAGGTAGAATATGACCCAAGAGGGCCATACAGATAATAAGTTGCAGTAATCTAGGATTTAAACTCAGGTCCTCTGACTCCAAATTCATTGCTTTTTCCACCATACCCCATGGCCTCCTCAAGGCTACTTCCCTACCTTGCTCGAATTCACCTCAGACCTATCCTGGCTCCTAACACGTTGTGGGAAAGCAGCCCAGCCAGAGGAGTGTGAGTGTCTAACTGCCTAGATTGCAGATCCAGATGACTTCATAAGGGTAACAGACAGTTTCATTTTTCCTTTCCTTTCCTAGCTGACTCTAGAAATCTCAAGGTAGAATAGTAAAATGTAAGAGCTGGAAGATCCTAAGAAGTTATGTTGACAAACGTCCTCTTTTCACAGATAAGGAAAATAGATTCTAAAAAGTAAAGTGAGTTGTCCAAGGCCAAACAGGGAGGTAATGGTAGAATCTAAATCAATACCCTGGTCTTCTGATTCTCAGTCCAATGCTTTATGCTCTATACTGACCTACCCTCTCAACTGATTGATTGAACTACATAAAAGTAGTTACAATTATCATCACTTATGCTCACCATTTATGCTTAATTGCCATGTAGTACATATAACCATTATACATATATGTCACATTAAGTTTGTCATGAATTTTATTTTATTGCATTAACTATTCATGTATGCTCAGTCTTCACAGTTTGTTGTCATGTAGCCTACTTAAAGGAAAACAGTTTCTCTTGCATGCGTATGAAGACACATAACTCTTCACGCCACTACTGTGTGCAGTTACTCTATTTATTTTCCTCTATTCTTTCCAATGCGTGTTTATTCATTCTGCTTCTTCCCATGGTGCAGGGAGGAAGCAGGTCTACTGATGGGTTTCTCTACGGCCTTAGATGAGGAAGAATTCATCTCCCCTCTGCACTGTCGGGAATATCAGTTAGCAGGGTAGCCATTCCATTGGTTTATTAATTCTTCTGCCAGCAAAGTGACCCCCAACGGGCCTTTTCAAGTTCTGTTGTGTTTAAAAGCGCACAAGGGAATGAGATGAAGGAAGAAGTTGTTTCTGCACACACACACTCAGGATGGTCAAAAGACCTTTTTTCTTCTGAATCCTAAGGGATAATATTTTGCTTTTTAAATCTCATGTCCATACACATTTATATTATACGTTTACTAGAATGTATTATCAAACAGTTTTTGAAACAAACATGCTACTGACATTTATTTAAATCAAATTAATTCACATAATTTATTTTAATTTGTTTTCTAAGGAGAGTATTTACATTTTGAACATTTTTAAGCTACAAAATTGTCATTCCTGGCCTAGAGTTATTATCGTTAGTATGAAGCTTCATTTGTGTACATCTCATAGTACTTTCCCCCTACTTACCTAGAATTACTGGTTTTATCTAGATACTCTTATCTATTATATACACAGAGGTGTCAAATAAGAATGTGAAAAGAAATTTTTCCTCTATTTCCCTGGTGGTTTAAGTTGAATGTGGGTTTAGGGGAACAATATTGGGATGGAGTTGTAAAAATAATAATGATTTAAGTATGTGAACTAATTTAATAAACCTTTTTTTGTAGGTTAATGATGTCACCTATGAAATTCCAAATTTCTCACCAACTATTAAAGGTGTTCTTTGGGAAAACTGGCCATTGGATAAAGGTGTATTTATTGCCTATGATGATGACAAGGTATATACATTTGTCTTCCATAAGGATACTATACAAGGTACTTAATTTTTTTTTGTCCTTTTGATTAATAGAATTTCTTTTGGCAACTAAATTAAACCAAAATATTTTCTTTCAATTATTTATGCTGGCATTTGCTGTCAGCTTTGTCAGATGTGTTCTAAAAATATTACAAATAAGAAAAAACAATTTTTTTAAACAATGTTTGTAATAATCCAGGTTCCAAGGTAATTTTGGCAGGTGGTACCAAAGTTCCATTTTCTCAGAAGCCATTGCTGTTATATAATGGAGAATTAACGTGCCAGACACAGAGTGGAAAAACCAACAACATCTACCTTAACACCCATAACTTCCTTGGCAGTTTAAAAGATCCTGAGCCCAATGAACTGAAAGAAATGCTGACACAGGCTTTAATGCTAAAAAGGTAGGATTTTAAATAAATCAATGTACGTGCACACAAAATTTTGGAACTTTTATTTGCTTTTGCAATAATGTAGATCAAATCTCATTCTAGTTGTTATAATTTCCAGGCTAATAATTTCAAATTTTTAATATGCCTGAAAATAAATATCTATGCTCAATCCAATGACCAGCTCATGGTATAATTGTTTTTGATATGGCAAAATTCTAACCCAACAAAAATTTTAGATAATCTTTCAATTTTACTGTAAAGAAATTTGACCAATATCATTAATTTTTTTTATAATATACATTGATATATTGGGATTCCTAAATATTAGGCAGCTAGGTAGCAATGAGGATAGAGTACCAGGCCTGGCATTAGGAAGACTCGTCTCCCTGAGTTCAAATTTGGCTTCTGACACTACTGGCTATGTGACCCTGGGCAAGTCACTCAACTTTGTTTGCTTCAATTTCCTTATCTTTAAAATGAACTGGATAGGGGCAGCAAGGTGGCGTAGTGGATAGAGCTCTGGCCTCAGACACTTGACACTTACTAGCTGTGTGACCTTGGGCAAGTCACTTACCCCCAATTGCCTAGCCAAAAAAAAAAATGAACTGGAGAAGGAAATGGCAAACTACTCCAGTATTTTTGCCAAGAAAACCCCAAATGGGGTCACAAAGTGTCCAACATAACTGAAACAAGTGAACAACAAAAATTCCTAAGTATATTTATCTAATTAGGTGTCAAATTAACATAATTAATTAGGCATAGTGCTCATTTTCTCAGAATGGTATAGGAATGTCCATTCTTATCTGTCTGAAGTATTATTGAAAGTGGAAAATAGAATTAATTGGGAGAATTTGAATATAATTTTTAATTTGATTACCTCATAAAGCACTAGATCTTTCTCAGGGGGAAAAATAAGATCATAAGGAAGGATCTGAAGAAGATACAAAGAAATATTATTTTAAAAAGAAAATTTTAAAAAAGAAAATGGTTTATGTTGCCAGAGCAAACTCCAAAAAAAAAAAATCACAGATTAAAAGGAGCTTGAAAAACATAGATAGGTGCTGTACTTTAGAAGGCATTTTTTGTCATATTTGGCAAGGATTCTTAACTTTTTTTTGTCATGTGTCCCTTTGGTAGTCGAGTGAAGCTTATGGACTCCTAAAAATAATGTTTGTTGACTACATTCATAATTTAAGGAAATGCTAAATTTCAGTTAGAGGTTAGTAAAAATGAAGATGTAATTTTTTCCCTGTTCAAGTATTGATCTCTTGAAATCTGTCTATAAACCACTTTAGTGTCCTTGGACCCTAGGTTAAGAACCTCTGATCTGTGGCATAATTTTAAGTCAATTTGACTTTTCATTGTAGGTTTTCTGATGCATGGGAATTGTGCAAAATCCTCAATGATCAAGATACTTGGAATGAACTTGCCAGAGCCTGCCTACATCACACGGAAGTGGAGTTTGCAATCCGAGTTTACCGTACGATTGGAAATGTTGGAATGGTGATGTCTCTAGAACAAGTAAAGGTAAAATACATTTTTATGAAGAAAGGATAGTTCAAGATTTCAGTTAAATTGCTAAAGTAATTTAAACACTTATCTTAGTGTTTTAGCTATTTCTTTTTTCTATTACTGTATATTTGGATAGGGAAAAAAAATAACATTCTCTTTCTATTCCTTCAAAAGATATGTGTTTTTATTCAGTTTCTCAACTTTGGTCACATTATTGTACCATTTCATATTTGGATTATTTAATTTGTCCAGACTAATTTTTTAAAGGCTTAAGCTCTTTAATAAAAAAATCCAGAAATCTGTTTAATTATTGCCAAGTTTGGCTATATATTTAGATATGGTCTTTTCCTTTCCTAACAATGTTTGATTTTCTGAACTGATTCCCCAATTCAAACAAGATGGATTTTAACAGTAATAGAATATGTAACATTAGAATATGTTCACATGAGAAAGACTGGCTAACCCCACTTGACTGCAAACTCAATATGATTCAAGCATATGGTATGACTATACAAAATGATAATTTAATCATACTTTAGTAGTGTTATTTTTTAAACAAAAATTCAATTAAAAAAACAATGCAATCATAACCACATTAATGGAAGTATTATGTCAAGCACAAGGGAACCTAATAATCCCCTTTACTCTGCATTGGTTAGACTATACCTGGAGTGTATTGAACTCAATATTAAGTACCATATTTTAAATTATACAGAAACTAGAGTGTGTCCTGAGAACAACCAGGTCCTAGGAATTTTTAAAGTGGGGAAGAAAAGATATAGAGAAGTGATAGCTAACTACAAATACTTGAATTTCTTATGGAAGGATTATTAGTTGGCTGGGTAACTCTAGGGAGTAGAACTGGGAATAATGCGTGGAAATTACAAGAAGGGAAATTTTAGTTCAGTAAAAGAATGCATTTCTGAACAAATAGAACTGTCCAAAAAAGAAGTGGTTGTATCATGAAGTAGTAAATTCTCCGTCATTGTAATGTTTTCAAAAGCCAAGGCATTCTTTAGTGATGGTACATAAAGCATTCTTGCCAAGTAAACATACTCAGTGACCTTTAAGGACTCTCATAGATCCAGAAGTCCTTATGGATCTATGAAATTGATAACAAAAGAGAAATTCTTTAAAGAGCCAGTAATAGTGAGGGGGCAATATGGGAACTTGCCAGGACAGTGTGATGACTCAACAAATCAGTCAGATAACCCCCTAAGTTAAGAGTACTTTCCCTCTCCTTCCCAAAGGCTGTCTGATATGAAGCTCATTCAGTTTCATTAGGGGTTTTGGCTATGGAAGGGTTTAGTCTAAGGTAAATTGATTCTAATTACCTGAGTATGACTCTAGGATAATAATGCAATAATGGTTTCACCTTCACAGCATTGTGTTAGTGCCAACAAATAATATAGCACCAGCGGTTGTGATCATATTTTCCCAAACTATCAAGACAGTTTCAATCTTAAAGTTAAATTAGCAGCAAATGAAAATTAGAGTTTAACACACCAAGTCTGTCATGCTCTGATTCATTCATTCTTCATATCAAAATATTTTCAAAATCTCATCCCTTTGCCCAAGGCTTCCCTAATTGCTATGTATGTGAATTCCTAGAATCATCACATCCATCTCAGCATAGTCTCTTGGTAAATTAAATCCATGTAACATTTGTAATTTGAAAATACTTCTGTTTTCAGGGAATAGAAGACCATAACCTTTTAGCAGGACATCTTGCCATGTTTACAAATGATTTCAGTCTGGCTCAGGATCTTTATTTGTCATCTATCTATCCCTCTGCTGCACTGGAGGTATCCATTTAACTGCCTAAATTCTTGTATTCACTCTGGATTTATTTGTTTAAAATATTTTATATCTTTAAAACCTTAGGGCAAAATTAACACTTAGTTAATACTTTGATATTCCTTTGGTGAATCTGATGTCATCTCTGTGGCCATACACTCCACCAATACAAATGTACCCCTCCATGGCTTCGCATCCTATGCAACTCTTGTTCATTTTCCTCATAAATTCTATACAGTAAAGTATCTAACATATCTATGTGGAAAAGAGGCTTAAAAGATGTAAAATAATATTGACCATATATTTGGTACTTCAATACCCAATTTATTTGAAGCTTCATTTCCCTCCCACCCTTCCTAAGTGGTCTATATATACGTGGATATAAAATATGATTTATGACTATATATGCACATGTGTATATGATGGTGATTCCTTTCATTGACATAGAGTGCTACCGCTATACATTTCTTGAGATTAATTTTGTTTTGAAAAAATTTACATATATTAACACATGTATATTATATATACTTTTTTTTAAATTAGTGTGAGCTTAAAAATAACGTATTAAAATGTGGCATTTTGTACCCATACCAATGAGATCATTAATCCATTGAAATCTCAAATTAATTTGAGGTCAAATTTATTTTCTTCAGGGAATTCTTTGATATTTTATATAGCATCCTTTGACATGATTGAAGATGTCCTCAGAACTTCAAAATTAAAACTAGTACTCACTGATGTAGGAATATATCTGCTTTTGCAACTTTTTCTAGAGCACACATGAGTGATGAGAAAGAAGTAATCCTCTTTCTTCCCTACTCAGATGTGTACAATAATAGCATTCTCCTGGATCTGAAAAAAGAATTCATTTATAAGGTGAAAAGACTTGAGTTGGACCTTAGAAGTCCAACGCCTTCATTTTACAGTTGAGGGAACTTTCTCATAGTCATACTGTTATGTCCTGTGACTCCAAATCAAATATTTTTTCTACTGTCCCATGCTCCCTCTACAATATGTCAAAACTCTGAAGAGATTTAGAATGAGAGTGTTCCTTCAATCTTGAATAAGATGCAGGACCTAAAATCATTTTCATATGTGGTCATTTATGCTTTTGGATTTGTAACCAAGTACAGGACACAGTAAACTGATCTTAAAGGCCAGGAGAAAGACCTCTGTTATTTTAATTCTACCAATATCTTCTTTATGCTTTTTTTTTAACACTGTTATTTCCTGTGATTTATGTATATCTTCAGTTTCCTGTAGTTATTTTACCACCTAAATATTGGTTTTAACCCATTTTTGTAGATACTATTTTATTAAATAGCGTTTGTGGTGATCTAATTGACTTTTGCATATGAATTTTCTTTATTTCAAATTTAAGGCATTTCTTTTCATCACAGATGAGACGAGATTTGCAACATTGGGACAGTGCACTACACCTTGCTAAACGTCTGGCCCCAGAACAAATCCCATTCATATCAAAAGAGTATGCTATTCAGCTTGAGTTCACGTATGTTATCTGCTTTATATGTCCATTTAAAAATTACTAATAATAGTATAAAGTATTCTTTTCTAGAGAACAGTTATTTTTAAATATTCCTAAATAATTTATTGCCAGATATGTACTGCATTGAGTAAAAGTATTGACACAAATGGTAGTTTAAGTTGTGTTCCATTTTAAACAACCCCAGATTTAAAATTAGTATGTGTGATCCCAAAGTGAATAAGCCAAGCAAAATCTTGTCCTTTACCTTTATCTCACAAGAAGAAGGGACTCTTCTCCTTGCCAAGGCAAACCACTGAATATGCTCCCCTTATTCTCATCCCTCTGTATTCTCCAGAATATTGTTCCCTCTAGCCTTCCTGCTCTGTCACTCATCTTTAAATTTCCCTATCTACTGGGTCCTTCCTGCTGCCTTACAATATAGCCATGTCTCCTCCATCCTTAAAAAACCCTCACTAGATATGACCATCCCTATCAGCTATCATCCTATGTGTTTCCTTCCTTTCTCAGCTAAACTTCTTGAGAAACCCATCATTGCCTCTACTTCTCTTCTTACTCCTATGCCTTCTATCTTTACTTCTCCTTCCCTCCCTATAATTTATCACTCGATGATCTCAGCAGCTCCCATGAGTTCAATTATCATCTCCATACAGATGATTCCTGTTGCCTTAATCTCTATCTGAGCTCCAGTCTTACATCACTCACTGCCAGTAGACACTTTACTAATCAATGAGGATACAAAAAAGTAAAAAAACACAGATTACCCTCAAAGATCTCCCAGTATCAAAGGGAAGACTACATTAAAAAAAATATTGTACATGCATGATACGTACATTGTAAATATAAAGTAATTTCAGAGGGAAGGAACAAGTAGGTAAGGTGGGCAGGGCAATGTGGGAAAGGTCTCTTGCAGAAGGTAGTATTTGACCTGAATCTTTCAGGGATCCAGTGAAGCCAGAAGGCACAGGTGAGGAGAAAGAGCATTTTAGGCATGAGGGACAGAAGGTGAAAAGGCAGTCAAGAGATGGGATGGTATGTGTGAGGAACAACAAGAAAGCCATTGTGGCTAGATTGTAGAGTACACGGAGGGTAAGAGTGGAAAGGGTAAGAAGGGGCCCAGTTGTGAAGGTTTGAAGTGCCAGAAAGATCATCTGTTTGATCCTAGAAGTAACAGGGAGACATCGAAGTGTGATGAGTAGTGGAGATTACATGGTCAGACCTGCACTTTATGAAAATCACTTTGGCAGCTGAATGGGGGATGAATTGGAATGAGGGGAGGAAGAGGCAGGTAGACTCCAGCAAGTTTGTTAATTGTGGAACTGTGGAAGCACATTGGAGAGCACAGTAGAAGGGGCAGATAGACCTAGACTGGGATATTGGAGGATGTCCAAGAAAAATCATAATACTGTACACTTCATTTTGGGCACAAGTCTGCCAGAAGCCATTTTTATTAGCTTAGCATTAGTCTAATATCTAAGCATTCTTGCTAAGATGAATAAATGTCCAAATTGGCATAGTCCCCCTTTCCATGCCTTCAGACATGCCTCTACTCCAAGACAGTTTGAAGTAACATTGGTAGGAATCTTGAACAAGGAAAACATCAACAGAAATCTTCCTTTTTCCCCTCATACCCTAACCCCCCCCCACACCTACCCACTAAGCTGAGATCAAAAGAAAAACAAAACCCGTTCCAAATATGTATAGCAAAGCAAAGCAATTTTCACACATTGGCAATGTCCAAAAAAAAAAAAAAAAACCAAAACTTTCCTTTGGTACTTTCAGTCTATCATTTTTCTGTCAAGAGGCAGCAGTACATGTCATCATCAGTCTTTAGGAATCATGGCTGGTCATTACTTTGGCCAGAGTTTTTAAGTCTTTCAAAGTTGTTTTTGTTTGCAATGTGGTTATTATTATAGAAACTGTTCTTGTTCTACTCACTCCACTCTGCATCAGTTCATACAGTCTTTCTGGATTTCTCTGAAACCATCCCTTTCATCACTTATTACAGCGTAAGAGTATTCCACCATGTTTGTGTACCAAGACTCGTTCAACTATTTTCCAATTTATGAGCATCCCCTCAGATCCCCATTCTTTGCCACTTCAAAAAGAGCTATAAATATTTTTTTTCCATTCTTAAGAGTTTGTTTCGCTTAGGACAAATTCCTCCCTTAATCCTCCCTCTCCTGTCTTCTCCCCTTTCCCTACTATTTCCCTGTTGAATGAAATGTATTTCTGTGTTATGATCTATGTATTCTTCCCTTCTTTGACCAGTTCAAATAAAGGTGAGGTTCAGGTGTCAGCCACTTCCCTCACTCCCTCCTCCTTTTTTGTATGGATGTCTACTTGTGCACCCTGATTAGGTAAGATAAGTTCCCTAACCCCCACTCTAACATATTCCTCTTCCCCTCTCTTTCTGTTCTTCTCTTGAGATCATCAAGACATCACAGAACCATTCCTAGCCTTCTGTCTAATTAGACTCTTTCTGTAGTGCTGGAGTTCTAAGGAGATACATGTATCATCTCCCCATGAAGAATGTAAACAGTTTATCTTTGTTTAGTCCCTTATAATTGTTTGCTCATGTTGTGTGAACTTCAGACTTTGTATTCAACTCCGATCTTTTCATTAGGAATGCTTAAAAGTCCCCTATTTTAGTACATAATAGATTTGCAGTTTTATGTGTAATTATCTTTTTTTCTATTCTACTATGTTATAAAAATGTTTATTTTATTACTTAAGTTCAGAAATATATTAAATTAAATTTTTAAAAGAATTTTTAAAAAAGGAGTCAGCAAACTAAGGCCCATGGGCCAAGTCTAGCCCGCCGCCTCACCCCATGAGCTAAGAATGGTTTTTATATTTTAGTTTGCTGACCCCTGTCCTCTTTCGTTAAAGTCCGTTTTTCCCCTGTAGCATTCTACTCAGTTTTGCAGAATAAGTTATTCTTGGCTATAAGCTTATATCCTTTGCTTTCTGGAATATTCTGTTCCAAGCTGCAATCTAGGGATTTTGGCTATCATGTTCCTGACAGTTTTCATTTTGAAGTTTCTTTCAGGAGATGACCAGTAGATTCTTTTTATCTCAACTTTGTCCTCTCGTTCTAAGAGATCTGCACAGCTTTCTTTTAAGATTTCTTAACATATGATGTCTAGATTCTTTTTTTTAGTCATGGCATTGAGTTAGTCCAGTGATTCTTAATTTTTTTCTACTTGTTCTATTTTCTAAGTCAATTGTTCTTGCTATGAAATACCTTAGGTTTTCCTCTTCTTCTTTTCTTTCTTTCAACTTTGAATGTTTCTTATTGTCTCATGGAGTATTTGGCTTCTGTTTGGTCCATTCTAATTTTCAGTCAGTTTGTTGCTTGCACAAGACTTTGTATCTCTTGTGCCAACCTGTTAATTCCCTTTCCAATTCTTCCTTTCATATTTCTCACTAATTTTCCAATTCTTTCTAGTGCTCTTATTTCATTTAGAAATTTTTTAAACATTTGTTTCTTCTCTTCTAGAAATTCTAATTGAATTTATGCCCCAGCTATGTTTTCCTTTGAGGCATTGCCTATAGATGTTTTCCAGTTCTTATCCTCTTTTGGGGTTTTGTCTTGATTGTCTCTCTAATAGTAATAATAATAGCTTTTTATGGTAGGGTTCTTTTTGTTTGTTTACTCGTTCTTCCAGCCTGCTTCCTAAATTTGGACTTCGTATTAGGGCACCTCTGTGCACTAGTAGGGAGAAAATCTAGGCTAATCCTGTTGCTGGAATATTGGATGTTGTGCTATTCTAGAATCTCAGGGACAGCTCAAACTGGGGACCACAAGCTTTCCAGTGATCCCAAAGTGGTCTGATCATAGCAAACACTGATTGCTGCCCCCTTGTCTGAGCTCTGCAAGTTCTTGATCTGGGTTTGTGACTAAGCATTGGTAGACTACTGCTAGACTCAACCCCTATCAGCCAGTTGGGGAGCTCTGATGGTTCAAAGGGACAGAACTTTAGGCTTTCCTTTGGTCTGGGATTCCTGCCTGGTTATTTCTCTGCAAGCTTCAGATGAAGCCTCGCACTGAGACCCTGAGACCCTGCTCTGCCCATGTGATCCTAGCCTCACCGCTGTTCCCGCCCCTGAACTTCTCTTCAGGTGCACCACTGCAACTGCTCCCTACCCAGAATGCACCCAGAAATGAGTAGTGGGCACAAAATTGCTGTCTGTTCCCAGCTCAGTGCCCCAATACAAGTGTGGGATCTCCTCTTGACCTGGTACTTGGCTTCTCCCAGTGTTGGAGCACTCCACGTGACTTCATTCCTAGTCAAACCTCTTCCCCATTCAGTGTCCACAGACCTCTCTGATTCTTAGTGCTCACTTGGGCTGGAAAAGCGACTCACTGCGATAATTTAATGAAATTCCCCATCAAGATTTGGTCTGGTGCATTTTCTAGATCTCTTTGGAGGAGTTTTGGGAGGAGTTTGTTGAACTTCCTTTTGCTATTCCACAATCTTGACTATGCCTCTGACTGATTCTATCTTTAATGCATTTAAGCACTTGAGATCTGACCATGTATTCTATTTATTGTGTATTCCTAACAATAATTTGTATCTACTATAGCACAGGGCACAAAGGGAACACTTGCAACTAAACTGAATTGAAGGAAAGTGAATTAGTCAGCCTCAAATAGTCACTTTATTCTCAAGACAGAGTGTGTGTTCATCAACTTAACTTCATTCTACAAATAAATATTAGTAGCAGTATCCAACTCAATATTACTTGCTTGTTTCCTAGAAATTATTCCTGAGTCTCAAACAACTCTGTAAGACTAATTGATAAAGTTATAGACAGTTTTTGAACTGTATTGTTGGAAGGAGTTCCCACACAGACAAAATCAAAGAGTCTTGATGTGTTGATATATATTCTGGGAAGATATGGGAATAAAGAACTTAATATAAGATATGGGAACATAATATTCTTACTTTACTAAAATATACTATGATTTTTCTTCTAGGGGTGATTATGTAAATGCTTTGGCTCATTATGAGAAAGGAATAACAGGTGATAATAAGGTAACCTTGAATAAAGACCAGAGAATTATAAATTCTTCTCTCCACTCATATGGCCACCACCCTAATGTAGGCTCTCATCCCTTCTTACCTGACCTATTGAAGCAGCTCCCTATTACATTCATGCTTTCCTCCCTGCTTTCCTCCCTGTCTTCGATCCATATACTCCACACAGCTGCCAAAGTGATCTTCCTGAAGCAAAGATCTGAACAGGTCCAGCCCCTTCTCCCTGATCACTCAAGAAAACTCTGTGACTCAATATTACCTCCAGCATAAAATACAAACCCCTCACCTTGGCATTTGAAGACCTTCACGATCTTGTCTCTCTGCCCTCACACGAGCTGTCTCCTGTGTCTGTAGCGTGCTCCCTTCTACCTTCTGCCTCAGAATCCTTAACTTCCTTCAAGGCTCATTTCATATTCTATCTCCTATGGAAAGCTTTTCCTTGTTTCCTCCTTTTCAGCAAATTATATATCTGTTTTTCATTCTGTCTTTGTATACTCAACACCCATCACAGTGCATCACACATAGTAAGTGTTTAGTAACTGATTGTTGGACTTACCATTTATAAGTGTCTATACAGGAGAAAGAAATCTCATTGATAGACAAATCATTGTTCTCTTATTAATATCCTTTTTCGTGGCCCGTGTGCTTTATGTCCAGAATTTTATATAAAATGTAATACTGTATCAAAGACAAGACACTGACAAATCTAATTTTAAAATTTATAAAAATAAATTTTAAAAATCAGTTTTCTAAAGAAGGAAAATAATTGGCACTATGACAATTGGCAGATGTGAAACAAAACAGTGAATAAATGTCTTTTTGGCATCTTCTCAAAACATTGTTCAAAGGATTCAATTAACTATAGCAATATCATTGCCCCAGCTTGGGACTGGGAAACAAGCAAAGAATATTCATCATTTTTCTTTCAATAACTTTTTCTTAAGGGAGTGGTTTAAGTATTTGTTTTTCAATTCCAGCACCTAGAACATGATGAGGCCTGTCTAGCTGGAGTGGCTCAGATGTCTATTAGAATGGGAGATATTCGACGAGGGGTTAACCAAGCCATCAAGCATCCAAGTCGACTCCTGAAAAGGGATTGTGGTGCTATTCTGGAAAATATGAAGGTATTCTTTCATTTATATAGATATTCACTTGAAGAAAAAGAGTCAGTCCTATTCTTCATAAAGGTCAAAATATTAATACTGTCCTATTGCAGCAATTCTCAGAAGCAGCCCAGCTGTATGAAAAAGGGCAGTACTATGACAAAGCAGCATCTGTTTACATTCGTTGTAAAAACTGGTAAGGATTTATCAATATAATATTTAGAAATATATTTTAACTCACCTGTACTCCATAATAATCACCCATATACCTCTCTGCCTTTACCCATATAATTTTCAAGTTGCTTTTCCAACCTTGATGTTCTACCAACATCTCCATAGACTTATAAAGTCAGTCTTCCAACTGTCCTCATGCAGGAATTTTTACTCATGCCCCTCTTTTCTTTACCTTTTTCTTTGCATTTTGTACCATAGATCAAGTTTGACTGAATCTAAGTATCTTATGCTGAAAACTGGAGTCTTTGAAGGCAGTGGTTGGTATGGGTAAATCAATTACTAAATATCCAGAAAAGATTAATAAACCCTATCTTCTCTTTCTACTCACAACTACTTACCACCACGAAAAGGAAAAACCAGTTATTGACTACACAATATGATCAGCAGTTGAGATTTTAAAAATATATCAAGAATTGGTAGTAATAAGTTAGTTTTAACTTGAAAGAATGAATAATTAGTTTTTTATTGTGCCATTTTTCTAGGGCAAAGGTTGGTGAACTTCTACCTAATGTTTCTTCTCCTAAGATCCATCTACAGTATGCCAAAGCTAAAGAAGCAGATGGAAGGTTTGTATACTTCCTAGATTATGTAAATGTTTATATTAGTATAAGTTTTAAAGTTAACTATCAATATGTGAACTAAAGGGGAGACAGAGCAAAGAAAAGGCATGTCTATATTCAAACTCTTCATATTCAAAACTCCTTAAAAATGTTGAAAACAACAAGAGCCACTCCTCCAGTAGCTAAGTTGTTCAAGAATATGAACAATTTTCACAAAAAGATCTGCAAACTAAAAATAAAATGAAAACATGCTCTAAATCACTTTTAGTAGTAGCAAAGAAGTGAAAACAAAGTGGGTGCCCATCAACTGAGGAATAGCTGAGCAAACTGTGGTTTATGAATATAATAAAATACGATTGTACACTAAGAAGTGATTAATATGAAGAATTCAGAGAAATAAGAGAAGATTTACATGAACTGATACAGAACAAAATAAGTAAAACTTAAAGAATAAAATACAGTATGAACAAAAGGATCACTAAGGATCATTAAAAGGAAGTCATACTCTGAGAATTTGAACACCAGCAAGTATCTCAGATAACAGATAATGAAAAATACCCTTTCAGAGGAGTACTGCCAGAACAGAATATTGTTATGCCTTGTCAGATGTGGTCACTGTATTGGATGTTTTTACTTAATTGTTTTTCTTTATCTTGAGGGTAAGTTCAGTTAGTGGAAGAGGTGTCGAAATGACTGTGATATAAAGACAAAATTTAGCATCAATAAAATTTATTTTTTTTTAAATTAAGAAAGTGCTGGCACAGTGGTTATTTATTTCTTACAGATATAAAGAAGCTGTTCTTGCTTATGAGAATGCAAAACAATGGAACAGTGTCATCCGTATCTACTTGGATCACCTTAATAATCCTGAAAAAGCTGTTCGAATTGTGAGAGAAACACAGTCTCTTGATGGAGCCAAAATGGTAGCCAGGTAAACAATTTCAGCTAACCTCTCAGGTTTTCTCTATGTGTCAGGTCAACTACGCTTACTTCTTACTCTTGCTCAGAAAAAAATAAAAAATTTCACACTCACCTAGCTTCACTTTCTTTTTTTTTTTTAACCTTCTTTGTGGCACAGAAATACTACTATCATTTCCCCAACATCCTGACTTTGAAGAGCTAATTCACAGCTAGATAGGGTTCAGTATTTCTTCTGCTTTGGAAGGTCTTCCTATTCAACATCCACACCTCTCCTAGCTTATATTCATTCTCCTGGCCAGGTACCCCACAGAATATTATTTTGTATGTCCTCTCATAACCTTTTATAACATTTAACACATTGATCCAGGAGAGCTTCATTCCTTCAACATCCCTTCTCAAGCCTCTTCATACAGGGGTGGGGAACCTGCAGCCTCTAGGCCACATGTGGCCTTCTAGATCCTCGAGTGTGGCCTTTTGACTGAGTCCAAGTGTTACAAAACAAATCCTTTTACTAAGAGGCTTTGTTCTGTGAAGTTTGGATTCAGTCAAAGGGCCGTCCATACTCGAGGACCTAGAGGGTCACATGTGGCCTCAAGGCCGCAGCTTCCCCACCCCTGAAAGAGCACTGAATGTGGTGTCAGAGGAACTGGGTAACTTGGGCAAGTTAGTTTCCTCATCTGTAAAGGGAGAGAATTGGACTAAACTTCTGAAGTCCCTTCTAGCTTGAATCCATGATGCTGTGATCATAACCTCTTCAGAAAGCCTTTTGATGGGGATTCCAAGTGAAAGAATTGGATTTTACTGATTTGATTCTGTTTTCCAAGACTTGGAGAAAACATCTTTATTCCTATGAAAGCTGGATTTCCTCCTAGCTTAAAATGAGATGCTGAAATGTTTTTGTTAGTTTTGTTTTTGTTTCTTGTTTTTTGAGGTTAGCTAAGAGAGAGGTATTTCTAAGGTATTAATACTTTTAGTAGAGCTGTTTTTCTAAGGCAAGGGACCAAAAAATTTGGTCCTTCTCCTTGGACCCCTTCAAAGGTCTCCTTCACAAACAACTCTAGGTTATTAGTCTCTTCCAAACCTTTTTAATTTATTTATTTTAGTTTTCAACATTCCCTTCTGTAAGATTTTGAGTTCCAAATTTTCTCTCCCACCCCAAGACAGCATGCAATCTGATATAGGCTCTACATATACATTCATATTAAACATTTTTACCTTAGTCATGTTGTAAAGAAGAATTAGAACTAATGGGAGGAACCACGAGAAAGAAGATTTTCCATTCTTTCTTAAAGAATGAAATTTCTCTTGAGCTTAGGTACTTTTAAAGCCCTTGGGATCATGGCTAGTTGGTTTGCTTATCCCATCCTGTTATTCTCTTGTTGTAGATCCAGAAAAAGGGATCACAGAGGGATAAGCCTCATTAACCCATGAAACCTTTATCTTGCTGACTGCATTCTGTGATTATATCATTCTAGCTAATTACACACAATCCTCCTTTATACTAATAAAGTTTTACATAATTTGTCTGAACAGTCGATCACACTGATGGCTCAAAATGTTTTTTGGTTTTTTTTTAAAATAAATCACAAACTATGTTTCAATACAAACCATAATCTAATTTGTAGTAAATTATTTTATTCTAGATTTTTTCTTCAATTGGGTGACTATGGCTCTGCTATCCAGTTTCTTGTTATGTCCAAATGTAATCATGAAGCCTTTACCCTAGCCCAGCAGCACAATCAGATGGAAGTCTACGCAGATATCATTGGTAAGCATAGTTTTTTTTTTTTAGTTGTACTTCTAATTTAAAAAAAAATAAAAACTAGATAATGCAAGTTTAATTGATCAAATAGGTCTTTTAAAAACGTATACTAGAGGAGCAGCTAGGTGGCACAGTGAATAGAGCTCTGGCCTTGGAGTCAGGAGGGCCTGAGTTCAAATCCAGCCTCAGACACTCAACACTTACTAACTGTGTGACCCTGGGCAAGTCACTTAACCCCAATCGCCTCACCAAAAAGTTAAAAAAAAAAATGTATACTAGACCTCTTGTATAACATTATGATGCTAGATTCATGCTCATCAATAGGACCTTATAGATGAGGCCACTTTATAATTCGGTCCATTTATTATTTTGATTTCTTAGTCCCATTGGATGTAGACCAAGATGTACCTGACTAGTATTTAACAATGACATAGTAAAAACTCCAGAGTGGTAAAGAAAATATGTTGGTTTTTTATGTGCCACTTTTTTTTTAATTTAAAGAATATTAATAAGTCAGCAAATGGAATAGTCATATTGTGGTGATCTATAGCATGTATTGATGATGATTGGTATATAAGTAGAAATTAGTCTATTAATAAAGCTACATCACTTTGATTTGGGAGGAGCGACTTCTCATTCTCAAAATCCCCAACTGCAAATTCTTTATATACTTGGTAGACTTAGAAATTGTTGAAATCTTTAAATTCCTATCTTAATACTATGAGCCATTATTTAATGTCCAGAAAGTCTTTTTGTGACAAAATGTTAGTGGTAGTTAGCAATGGGGTTAATGAGAAAAAAATAGAAACAGGTTTTTGGTTGGTTTTTTTGGGAGGGGGGAGTGGGGTTGGGTATTTTTTTTTTATCCAGAAACACACTGCAGTTCTCTAATACTTACAGAATATCCTTTAAGTGCGTTAAATTACATGTTATGCACTTCGTGGCAGCTAGGTGGCACAATGCCAGGTGTGAAATCAGGAAAACTCATCTTTCTGAGTTCAAATCTGTCTTCAGATATGTACTAGCTGTGTGACCCTGGGCAAGTCCCTTAACCCTGTTTGCCTTAGTTCCCTCATCTGTAAAATGAGCTGGAGAAGGAAGTGGCAAACCACTCCAGTATCTTTGCCAAGTAAACCCCAAATGGGGGTCGCAAAGAGTTGGACACAAGTGAAACGACTCAAATTGTGAACAAATTTATGACCTTCATATTTGAATAAGACAAAACCAACTCATTTATCTTATGAACTATTGCTAAAACTTCCTGTTTCCATGTAGTGTCTCCACAGTACAACCTTCAGTCCTCAGGCCTGGAACCAGAATGTTTGGTTGGTATTTAGAATGTTGCATTTCTACTGTTTGGTCTCTAGATCTATGAACCTATGACCTCTGTTCAGGGAGAGAGTCATAAAACCTTGAATTACCTTCTTAATCCTCTCACCATTCAAGTGGCAATCAAGAAAGAATCAGAAAACATTCTTTTATCTTGAATTAATCCAATTTAATATCTTTCCCAAGTACCTAGATTGCAGAGAGATAGGTGCCCAATAGTTAAAAACAAAAGTACAACCCTGAGGAAGACTGAGGATAAAGTCAGAAAGAAGAAACCAAATATAAGGTAGGAAATGGAAGGGATAGGGTTGGAGACAGATGAGAAAATGGAAAAGGAACAAGGAATAGCAGGGGCTAGGGAAAAAAAGCTGCATATTCCAGTTACAAATAGAAGTCATTGTGATTTAACCTTATTAAGATAGCTATAGAGTATCAAAAAACATGTAATTCTTTTAAAAAAAACTAAAATAAGAATAAAAAAATCTTAATTCCAGATTCCCTTGTGTTTTATGAGAGTTTACTCCTTGTAATTCATTTTTCAGAGAAAAAATGAAATGTAATGGAGATGGACAAATGCTTAGAGTGTATTAACGTGCTTAGCTAATGCAAATTCCCCATGTGTAGCTTGCTTCCAAGAGAGTTGTGATGATGTGAGAAAGAAAGGACTCGGAGAGACTGTGAATTGTGTGGAGACGCTCTCCATTGGACCCTACAAATGTGCAGGGTCTAATTTTATCCCAGAGGAACTGGTACATGTTACCAAGTATGCACGTATGCAGGATCTCTTCCAAATCTAGGCTGGTTACATCTTCCCTTCAGGGCTCTAGGGCACCCTGGGCAGTTTGGAGAGTCTCTTTTCTGTTACCATTGGCTTAACCCCCCACCAGCTGTGTTGCATATATTGTTAGGTGCCGGTGTCACCCCCTCATACTCAGTAAACTTCAGTGGTTCTCCATCACCTCCAAAATCAAATATAAAATCCTCTGTTTGGCATTCAAAGCCCTTCAAAATCTAGTTTTCCCTCTTCCCCATTACTTTTCCAATCTTCTTATACCTTATATCATCCTCATACATACAGATACTCTTCCATTCAACGACACCAGCCAGCTTGATTTTCCACAAACAGAACACTCCATCTCCTGACTTTGGAATGCTCTTATTCCCCATCTCTGCCTCCTGGCTTCCCTGGCTTCCTTCAAGTCCCAACTAAAATCCCATCTTCTATAGGAGCCTTTCCCAATCCCTCTTAATTCTAATGCCTTTCTTCTGTTATTTCCTATTTATCCTGTACATAGCTTATTTGTACGTATGTGTTTGCTTTTTATCTCTCCCATTGAATTCTGAATTCCTTGAGGACAAGGAGTCTTTTGTCTTTCTTTGCATCCCCAGTGCTTAACACAGCTGCCTGGCATATAGAAGATGCTTAATAAATGCTTATTGACTGACCTTTTGGTCATCCCAGTTCCATGTGACTGCTTAAAATCATTTCTGTTTTACAAAGGAATATATGCTTCGAAAGTTAAAGCAAGAACAAGTATAACATTTCCCTGAGTACCTCTCCCCTATACCACCTCAGTCTCTGGGGTGAGTAGATATAAACTTAGCCCAGTTTCTGCATAGCTTTTGTCCTACCAAATTCATTTCCAAAGGTAGCATCACTGCTGGATGAGTCCTTGTCTCAGCCACTGTTGTGCTGGGTCCTAAAGATCCCTCCTTGGGGCATCAATGCTGCATTACATGTATACCCATACTCTGGACTGCCAGGATTCCAGGGCACACTTCTGACCTTTCAAAACTCACAAGATTGGAGGCTCTACCCCCTTCACCTAGAATGAAAAAGAACAAATACAGAGGTCAAGGACCAAAACCCATATTTTGAGGGCCACATGAACTTAACATGGAGAAGATCCCAAGCCTTTGCCCCTTACAGCACTGTCTCTCACCAGATGCATTGAGTGGAGTCTAACTATCAGCACAGCCAGAGAGAAAATAGCCAAAGAGACTAGACTGAGGCTGATTCAGTCAACCAGTCAATAAACATTTATTAAGCACCTTTTATGTGCTAGGCACTATGGATACAAATATAAACAAAAATGCAATACCTTTCTTCAAGGCCTCAAGGAGCTTACAATCTAATGAGGGACGAAAACACACAAAAAGAAGCTGAAAAACAAGTTGGTGGAGGGGTGGGAAGCCAAGGTACATGACTGGGAATCGTGGAAAAGTCAAAGAAGTTCCAAAGTAGTACATCCAGGTGAGAAATGAGATGTTCAAAGCTGAGCTACCTCCTTAATTGGGGATTTTGGAGTTCATGGCTCCACCTTCCAGTCAGAGAGGGACAGGGCAGTGATGAGGTGGAGTACCAAGGCTGATGAGATCTTGCAAGAAGATGAGGTTTTCCCGATAATAATGCATAGTAGAAAACTCAGAGAAGTCCCAAACAGTGCAGCCAGGTAAGAAATGAGATGTTCTGAGCTGAGCTTACCCTCAGTTCTAGATATACAGTCAGTAGAAAATGGATTCTCCTAACCACATGGTTAGCAAATTGGATCCAATTACAGAATGTAGATGCATAATCCATAGTCTCTGTAAAGCCTTTCCATTCCATGTCATCATGACTCTCCCAAAAGAAGGTTCCTTAGCCTCTCTGCATGGGGCATCTGTATCAGTTAAGGATACAGATGACCTCTAAACATGGGTCAGTCCCCATTAGAGAAGATTATGGGGTATTCTACTAACTGAATATAAATGTGTAAGTGATTGTGGTCCTTTGATTTTTAAAAAGTAGGATTCTAATATTCCTAGCTTGTTCCTTCTTACACACATATTTTGAGAGGAAATTAAAAAGGGTCTTCACTATGTAATTCCTCCTCCAGTCATAACAGTTTATGCTTTTTCTGAAGTGGCAGCCACTGCTGCCAGCTGACCCTCCTCTAAGCAAAATGTGCTTTGCTCTTCCCAGATCAGACAAAGAAAAAAAAATTTTTTTTTAATTATACTTCTAGGTGGAGAGGCAGAGGAGAGATCTAAGTAATACTCACTTAACACCCTCTCACCTATCTACATTTATCCTGAGTGTTCAGAGCTATCATATCTTGTCTGGATTCAGACTGCGTGTGTTACAGCAGTAGCATCTACTTGAACCTTTCTCCCCTGGGCCAAAGGTACTTAAGACCCAAACCTGAAATGTGAAAGGAAAAAAATTAGACAGCTTGAGGGGACTCTGAAAACATTCATTTTATAGATGAGAAAACTGAAGCCCAAGAGAATTAAGTGATTCTCAAGTTCACATAGGAGCAGAGTTCCTAATTACCAAGCCAAGGATCTTATTATACACCAAATACTTATACATATATATATACACACACATATATATGTATCCATATATATGTATACACACACATATATATACATATACACATACATACATGTATATATACACACATGCTATATACACGTACATATATACATATATACATATGTGTATGTATATAGCTATAGATACATAATTTTGACTCAAAGATTGTCTCCATTTCCTTCCCATTCTCATGATCACTCAAGGAATTGCTAAAAGAAGGAAAGAAGTTAGGTCGAAGTTGCTGAATTTGCTGATTCCTATAAACTCTTAAATCTGTAATTAAGAATAAATTGTTTAGATTCATAAAAATCGCTGAGGGTGGTAGTTAATTAAGCCTGATTCTCTCATAATTCCTCTCCCCTCATTTATCTCTACACAGAATGAAAAAATAACTAGAAAAGTGAAAGAGAGAGAATGTACTGATAGTAAAGTTGATACATGGCCTACTTTACAAAACAAAAGTTGTAATATATATGTCTTAATTTTTAAATATTATGTAGATTATTTATCAAAGCTTTACTAAATATTAACTTGAGTATGTTTTACTCAATGAACTTGTGTTATAGGTTCTACAGACACTACTAATGAAGACTATCAGAGCATTGCAGTATACTTTGAAGGAGAAAAGAAGCATCTTCAAGCAGGAAAATTCTTCTTCTTATGTGGCCAATATGCACGGGTTAGTATTTTCAAAGGAGAACACCACCAGAATTCCTAGAAATGGCAAAAGGAAAAAACTGAGGGTTCCAAGGAAAAATTGAATATCGCCGTCACTGTCCCAGACTCAGAGCCAAAACTTCAGGCCTCTTTGATCAGTTCCTTGTCCAGTCATTCATTCAATTTTTTCTAATGTCTGTCAGATCAATCCCTTTACTGTTCCATAGTTCTGCCAGATTCTTACCACCTCCTGCCTCAAAGAGTACAACCTTATCACAGCTTCCTTACTGTACTCCCTACTGAATGCTTGCTGAAACACCACTTTCACGAGTGAACAAAAGAGTGTTTGTTAAGCGTTTAACTATGTAGAAGGAGCAATGCTAAGTGCTGAGGATACAAATAGGAAAGCTGGACAGCCCCTGCTCTCAAGAAGCTCATATACTAATATAGGGAGATGACACAGTAGAGCAGGTTTCAGGGGCAAGTGACATGGCAATGCCCCATGGGGGACATTGGTAATGCAGATGCTAAGACCCAAACCTGAAATGTGAAAGGAAAAAAATTAGACAGCTTGAGGGGACTCTGAAAACATTCATTTTTCAATGAATGCCATTCAATGGCATTTTCACTGATAAAGCCATATCATTTCTGATGTTCATCCATGTGGCAGTGCCAAAGACTTTAGTGGCAAGGCTTTTCCTCTATGGGTTCTCAGTAGCTGTGGCTACTGTGAGGATGCAGGGTCTGTAGCACCTGGAGAAGCAGTTGCCAGTTGTTTCTCTACAAGGATTGACTCTCTGGATGATGGTGCAAGCATCCTTACTGAGCTGAAAGCAGGGCTAGTGATAGGGGGGCCTTTGCTATTTGCTGGAATTTCAGCATGGGGTTCTGAGCTGTCTCTGTTTAGGTTTCAGGTGGTGGTTGAAGTTGATTTGCCTGGCACCTATAATCTAAGGTCAAGAAGCATTTATTAAGCATTGACTGTGTGCTAAACTCTGTGCTAGGTGCTGTGAATCAGAGACAGAAATTAAATAGTCCCTACCATTAAGGTGCTTCCATTCTCTTGGGGGAGAAATCACATACACCTACATCCTAGTGTACTTCAGGAAGTGGCAGACGGAATTCCAAAAATACTGTCAGGAATCTTTGAAAGACTATGGAGACTTGGACAGGTACTGTAGGCAAATGTCCAAATTAAAAAAAAAAAGAATCAGAATAAAATTGGTAAAAGCTGAAAGTGAACTGAACTTTGATTCCTGGTAAAGTTGTTAGACATTTGAGCTGCATGAAGAGAGACAAAGACTCCAGAACTAGGCAGGGGAGAGTCCTACTTGATTCTGCTCTTGCGAGACCACATTCAGTCTCAAGCAGTACATTTTTTCTTTGTTTTTAAATAGATTTTTATTTATATCTTTTGCTCTTACATTGCCTAGATTTCTCCTTGTATTGCTTCTCTCTGGAAGGGGAACTTCCAGAAAGCCATCTTTTATACAAAAAATTGATACCACAATTTTAAGAAGCATATTGATAAACCAGAGATTGAACAGCTTTGAGATCAAACCATATAAAGATCAGTTGAAGGAACTGGGAATATTTATCCTGGAGAAGACTTCGGAAGGACATAATAGTTTTCTCAAGTATTTGAAAGGGCTGTCACCTGGAAGAAAGATTAGATTTGTTCTGCTTAGCCTCAGTGGGCAGAACTGAAAGCTAAGAGTGAACATTTGAAAAGAGGCAAATCTAGGCTTGACATAAGTAAAAAAAAAAAAAAAACTTCCTAACAATTAGAGTTATCCAAAAGGAGGATGAGCTTCCTTGAGAAATAGTGAAGACCCCACTGATGGTCTTCAGAAAATGGCTAGATGATGACTTTTCAGTTATGTTCTAGTGGGGATTTTTATTCAGGAATGAATTGGACTGAGTAGCCCCTGAGCTCCCTTCTACTGCTGATTTTCTTTGAAACCACAGTAATTCTTTTTTGCCTGCAAAATGAAGTGCCAATTCTTTGACCTAGCATCATGGAAATTACTAAGAGACAAGAGTGTAGAAAGAGTATAGAAGAGAACCCAGGGCCAGAACTTTAGGGAACACAACACCCAGAAGTGGAGGTCAATGAAGAAATACAGGGGAACTAAGGTCATACCAAGCAGAGTTAATTACTCTCACCTAAAAGCTCAACGGGGGCCAGAGTAGGGGTAGGGTCTGGCCTTCACACAAAACTCCAATTCGAGAACTAAAACTGCAGAGGTTAGTAAAACAAACACACCAACTGATATAAAAAATTATTGTAGATCCAGAGATCTCCCAAAAGGAGATAGTAACAACTTGATTTTCCACAAGGACTGTATGAATATCTGAAAGAAATGAAGCTAAGATAAAAAGGGAAATAAAAGATCTAGAGAAAAGAGAAAGGCAAAAAATAGCTTAGAAGAGAAATTGATAAACTTTATTCAAGTAGCAAACTCCCTAAAAACTAGCATAGACCAAACAGAAATCAGTGACTCCATGAGACAACAAGAAATATTGTAACAAAATCAAATATTGAAAAAAATAAAAGAAAATATAACATACTTAATATCAGAAATAACTGACCTGGAAAACGATCCAAGAAGAGGTAATTTAAGAATCACTGGGCTCCATGAAAACTAAGATTTAAAAAAAAAAATCCTGGACAATATACTTGAAGAAATTATAAGTGAAAATTGCCCAGATCTATTAGAACTAGAAGGCACAATGAAGATACAGAGAAACCCCAAAAGGTAAAGTCCCAGAAATATCATAGCCAAATTCCAGAGCTCCAGTTATCAAAGAAAAAAAATACTGTAAGTATCCAGAAAGAAGTAGTTCAAGTACTAAGGAACCAAAGATATAGGGCAGAGGAGGGGATGGGGAGAGGCCCTAACATCCAGAGCTTCTACTATAAACAAAAGGAAATCTTCAAATAAAATATTCCAAAAGGCAAAAGAAATAGGCTTACAGCCAAGAATACTTACCACACAAAGCTGAGTATAACTTACAGAGAAAAACAGTTGACTTTCAATAAAATAGAGGACTTCTAAGTTTTTCTGATAACAAGACCAGAGTTGAGTAGTAACTATGAAATACAAACAGAAGAATCAAGAGAAATCTAAAAAGGAACTTATTTGAGTAACTGGAAGGGGCTTTCTATCTATCTATCTATGATGATGATGATGATGATGTACTAACATTCTATTAAGGGACAAAGAAAAACTGTCCTCTCAGAACCTTAATGTCTTCTTTTTTAAAATTCAATTTTATTTTACTTTCCTGACCCCCTTACCTCTTCCCCCCAATTGAGAAAGAAAGAAAAAAAAACATTATAAACATGTATAAACAAGCAAAACAAATTCCCACAGTAGCAATACCAAAACAAACAAAAATCATGTCTCAGTCTGTATTTTGAGTCCATCATTTCTCTCTGGAGGTGGTAGCATGTTTCATGAGTCTCCTGGAATTGTGATTAGTTATTGTGTGTTAATCAAAGTTACTAAATCTTTCAAAGTAGTTTGTCTTTACAATATTGTTATTGTACAAATTGTTCTTCTGACAGAACCTTAATGACTTCAAGGGACCTTAATGGAATTAAGCAAGAAAAAGAAATGTCCTTTCAGTGTAGATTGGTTATGGTCTGAGGATTTTAAGAGAAGAAAGAAAGGGGAAGGTAAAAGAAGTATGCTGGTGTATCAAGGAGGAAGAAAGAGTTGAAACTTGCTATTTCTTTAATTGGTGTGCGTGAAAAGAGTACACAAACATGGAAGAAAGACTAGAGAAAATGGACATTAGAATAACTTCCCTCATTTGAAATGGACACAGGAAGATTTAACAAACAGAATCTCAAATGGGAATGGTACAGGGTGAAAAAGGAGGAAAGTAACTGGTAAGGGAGTTTATATAAGCCAGACAAACTTCAATTTTGGAGATTGGGTCCTGAAGGGAGAATTAAAAGGAGAAAAACATAAAGAACTAGAATCTTGGGGGAAGGAGGGAGTCCCATCATTGGGAAATGGATTAACAAGTTGTGTTATATGAGTGTAATGGAATATTATTAGGCTGTAACAAATGATGAAAGAGGTGATTTCAGAGAAATCTAAATGGTATGAATTGATACAGAGGGAAGTAAGCAGAACCATGACAATAATTTATGTACGAACACTATTGTAAAGAAAAACAATTTTGAATGATAATTATTTTCAAAGCAATGACGAATCGTATCTTCAGAGAAGCCATGATGAAACATGTTATCCATCTACTGACAGGTGATGAAAACACATGGCCAAATGTGGGTTCATTTTGCTCAACTATGCTTATTTGACACAAGGGGTTTTCCCCCTCATTTTTAATTGGAGGGAGAGGGTGTCAATAGGTATAGCAGTGACAGAAAGCCATTGAAACAATGTTTTTAAATGCACAAAATAGAACTGAAGGAAGTACAGATAAACAGGACATTTTGAAAGTAATTTGTGGAATTTATTACATATATATGCATATTTTTAAGCTGCATGAAATGGAGATTCATGGTTTTGTATACAGTCTTTTTGTATTTTGCTATACATACATGTGGAAATCCTACTTTTTTTTTAGTGTTTAGAATGTTTTAAAAAGAAAGAAAAATACAAAATGCCATGAAACTGCAAATCCTTGGTAATGTTTTTCAAATTATTGCTTCTCAATTTGGAACTGTGCCCCCAAAGTTACTAAACTGTGTATACCCTTTGACATAGCAATGCTAATACTTAGCCTATACTCCTATGAGATCAAAGAAAGTGGAAAAGGACCCATATATCCTAAAATATAGTAGTACAACTCTTGTAGTGGTAAAGAACCAAGGGTTCCCTTTCATTGGGAAATGGCTGACAAATTATAGTGTATGAATTTAATGGAATAATGTTGTGCCATGAGAAATGACAGAAGGGATGGTACCAGAGAAATCCGGAAAGTCTTATGATTGATGCAGAATGAACAAAATCAGTAAGACAATTTATACAGACAACAATGAAAGACTTAAGATTCTGATTAATGCAGTGACCAAATATGATTCCAAGGGACTGATGATTCTATTTACCTCCTGACAAGGAGATCAAAGACTTAAGACACAGAATGAAACATATATATGTGTGTAAGTATGTAAGTAGATATATTTTAGTTTTCTCTTTTCTTTTCCAAAAGGGTGAGAGAAAGAAAATAATTGCTTATTAATTGAAAAAAATTAAATTAAAAAGAATCATTGATTTAAATAATATACTAATGATTTTAACTTGACTAATATAGAAACAAAAAATTAATCTTGTTTTTATATTTAGAAATTTGGTTTATTAATTTGTAGCTGAAATTTTCCACACATATTTTCTAAAAATAATTGATGATGCCTTTAACTTTAAACAATAACAAAACTAATTATATTTTTGCTATTGCTATTACTTATTACCATTTAGTTACTGACTTCTAAGGTCACCCTTGCCAATCTCTTTTTCTTTCAGGCACTTAAACATTTCTTGAAATGTCCAAACTCAGAAGATAATATGGCAGTAGAAATGGCGATTGAAACAGTAAGAAACTTTTTTCAACTGTTTTTCAGGAGATGTGGGCTATACTAGACCTAGGATTTCATTGATGTAGAAAATTCTTGGTGAAGAAACTTCTCTCCTAATGTATATCAGCACCTCCTCTGCCTTTCATAAGAGAGTTGCCTGGGGCATTGAAAGTTGAAATTACTTGCCTTGAGTCACACAACCAGTTTGTATGAAAGGTGGGACTTTTTAATTAAGTTGTTCTGGACTCTGAGACCAGCTTTACATCCACTACCCCACTTAAAGTCTTATTCAAGTTAATGAAAAATATCAAATTTTTTCACATGAGATCTAAAATTTGTCAGAATTCTCCAAATCTGCCTAGCTCTGGCCTAGTAAGACACTTTCAAGATAGAATCTATTATGCATTTTAATATTTGGTGTTATATTTATAATTAACCATTTAACCTTTTTATCCATTTCTAGGAAAACACAAAAGTTTCAAACCCACATTTTAGTGTTTGTTATACATCACAATGTATTCAAGCAGAGTGTTTGAGCAATTGCTGCTCATATAATATAGGCTGGATGTTATATGTGGAAGGAGAGGTCTCAGATGCTGTCCTCAAGGAGAGGAGACTGTGTGGTGTCGGGAAGTGGGAAAGAGCATTGGTCTGGAAGTGACAAGAGCTGTTTGCTAGTCCAGGCTCTCACATGAAGTCTGCTAACACCTTGTGTGGTCATGAGCAAGTCATTTAGACTTTTCTGAGCACCATTTTCCTTAACCAAAAATTAGAAAATTGGACTCGATTATGTCTAATTTCCTTTCCAACCCTAATGTTCAATGACTTCTAGGAGTGCATGGTCTAGATAGAGTCAATGATTTTAAATAAGATTTTTTTCAAATAATTTCTGTCTGCTACTTGTAAATATGAAATATGCAATAATGAAGATCTTTTCTTATGCTTTTCTGCATGCTTTATATAATAATATACTACAGGAGATTTATATTTTTCTTTTATTTTATTTAATAGGTTGGGCACGCTAAGGATGAAGTTTTAACTAATCAGCTAATAGACTATCTCCTGGGTGAAAGTGATGGCATGCCTAAGGTATTACAATCGTTTATTTCACTTAACTCTTTAGGGATCTTGCTTATAAGATTTTATTTCATTCTGTCCTCTGATTGTGTTTTAGCTTTTGGAAGAATTTTTGTTCATTTGTCATTTAGAATGGACACTGTGATTTATGATATACATCGAAATCTCCTTCTAGGTAATACTGAGACAGTTGACTCAAAAGGTAACTCTACTGCAAAATATCAGAAAGTATTATGCTAATTATGCTAAAAGCATAAGTATATGTTATTTTACGTATGTTACAAGGCAAAAAGACAGAATGCTTTCTGGCAAGGATATATTCTGTTCCTTCACTGGGAATCCATAGAGAAATATTCCAGGAAAGGCATAAAGTATAAACACATTATTAAGGAAAAGTACTGAGTTATTTAATTCAACAAATTTGTTTATTAAGTATCTGCTATGACAAGATATTGTACAAGGTGCTTTGTGCAACAGTAACAACAACAATCACCTGATCTCAAGAAGTTTACATTCTATTGAGGGAACACAACATATTCCCAAGTACATTAAAAAAAAATACAAAGTTATTTCCATAAAAGAAATACCATTACTTAGAGGATAAGGGAAGGCTTCATGTAGCAGATAGCCCCTGAGCTACAGATTTAGGGAGGCAGAAATGAGGAGGATGAGCATTCCAGACATGGGGACAATGTGCAAGGTGCAGAGACAGAAGATGGAATGTAATATTCAGGAAATGACCAGCAGGCCATTTTGACTAGAACAGAGAGTGAGTGGAGGGGAACAATATGGAAATGAGAGCAGAAAGGTAACTGGATGATACATTGGAAGTGATCTGAATGTTATGCTGAAGAGTTGGTATTTTATCATGGAAGTAGTGAGGAAACCTTTGAAGATTTTTGTGTAAAGGGTTACGTGGTCAGATCCGTGTTTTGGTAATAATCTAGAAGACATGCATGATGGATTGGAGAGGGGAGATACTAGAGGTAAGGAGACTTGTTAGATGGCTATTTCAGTCATCCAGGTGAGAAGTGATGAGTGTCTAAACTAGGTTTGAGACTGTGAATCAAGAGAAAAGGATGGATGTGAAAGATGTTGTGGATGTCAGAATAACACCACTTGACAAATGATTGCATAGGAGGATTGAGAGAGAGGAGAAGTTAAGGATGGCCCCAAGGGTACACACCTTTGTAGTTCCCATTGAAAACATTAGCAGATTACGACCATGAGGCCAGTCCCTGGCATAATGCCTTGTGTGACTGGGTGGAGAGAGATTAGAGCAGAGGCTCAGCATTCAGGCACCAGCAAGACAACATTACAGAGCTGATGCACGAGTGTGTCATGAAGCCATTGGAAATGAACTACAGTGCCTTGTTGGACCAGCATCTGCCCCAGTACAAGAAACTGGCTAAAGAAGGAAGACCTGAAGAATAATTGCGTAAGAGAGAGGGGCTAGGATTAGGGTTCCCTTTCTCTCCAAAATAAGAAGAGAACAGAAGGAAGGACAAAAGGACTCACAGACAAACAGGACAACTTTAAAAGCTATCTATTGAATTTATATATACTTATAAAATCAAGCCCAAATTAGTAGATATTCTTGATTTCATGCAAAAGCCATTCCTTCTGTTTTATAATGAATATGGAAATGCTTACTTTATTAGATATTTTGTAAGTTCAGAATAAAAAAAAAGAAAAACAAAATAAAAACAGAAAAAAATTGAAAATTCATATTAAAATGGCAGTTAGCCCAGCCCTCACATAACTACTTAAGCAAAAACCTAAAAATAACACTAGACCAAATAATGATCAAGAAATCCAATGAGAAAACTATAGTTTTCTCAAATTACATAAAAACTCAAACTAAAAAAAAAAGTCCATGAGGAATAGGAAAGCCAGGTGAATGAGCTATAATCCTCTCATTGTGACTGGAAATGGGTCAGAAATACCTGTGCTATAAAAAATGATGAGCAGACTGATTTTAGGAAAACACAGAAAGACTTGCATGAAATAATGAAGAGTGAAACAAGCAGAAACAAGAGAACATTGTATACATGAATAGCAATATTATTCAAAGAGAAAATATGAGTGAGTAAACTATTCTGGGTTATATGAGTCTTCAAATCAACTACAAAGGACCTATGAAGGAAGATGCTATCCACCTCCAGAGAAAGAATGATATATGGAACTTTGTATTGTATAGTTTCACACATATGAGTGTCAAATGTTGGCCTCTTCTAGTGTGGACTTGGAAGGGAGGAAGGTAAAAAAAAAAAAGGAAAAGGTGGTAGAGGTGCTAAGAATCACAATTCTTAGACTATCAATAAACTTTAGTTTGACTGTTAGTACTCAAAAAAAAAAAAATTATCTGTAGCCTGAATTACTCTATATCTGGAAGCAACAGGAGTGGAGACCTCCTACAAGAAAGCCCCAGGGATAGAAGGGATGTGGGAAAACTGGGATACTAATACACTGTTGGTGGAGTTGTGAACTGATCCAACCATGCTGGAGAGCAATTTGGAACTATGCCCAAAGACCTATAAAACCGTGCATACCTTTTGATCCAGCAAGACCACTGACAGGTCTATATCCCAAAAATATCAAAAAAAAAGGGGGGGGAGGATTTATTTGTACAAAAATATTTATAGCAGCTCTTTTTATGGTGGTTAAGAATTGGAAATCAAAGGGATATCCATCAATTGAGGAATGTTTAAACAAGCTGTGGCATATGATTGTTATGGAATATTATTATGCCATAAGAAATACCAAGGGGCAGCTAGGTGGTGCAGTAGATAGAGCTCCAGCCTTGAAGTCAGGAGGACCTGAGTTCAAATCCGGCCTCAGACACATGACTCTTACTAGCTGTGCGACCCTGGGCAAGTCACTTAACCCTGATTACCTCACCAAAAAGCAAGAAGAAGAAGAAGAAGAAAAAGAAGAAGAAGTAATATCAAACAGGATGATTTCCGAAAAACCTGGAAAGATTTACACAGACTGATGCAAAGTGAAGTGAATAGAACCAGAAGACCATTGCACACAGTAACGGAAATATTGTACGATGAAGAACTGTGAATGACTTACCTATTCTCAGCAACACAATGATACAAGACAATCCTAAATGACAAATGATGAAGCATACTATCTGCCTCCAGAGCAAGAGCTGATATTGTCTGAATTACAGACTGAAGCATGCTATTTTTTACTTTCTTTCTTTCATTCCTTTTTTTCATTTAAGTCTTCTTATACAAAATTACTGATATGGAAATGTTTTACATGATTGCACATCTGATTATTTACCATTTCAGGGAGTGGGGAGGGGAGAAAGGGAGGGAGGGATAGAATTTGGAACTCAGAATTTAAAAAAAAAAAGTTTAAAAAATTGTTTTAACATGTAATTGGGAGAAAATGATATCTATAGCTATATCTGTATATATATCTATATATTTGTATATATAGATATATATATATTTTTTTTTAAGATTTGAACAAAGGAAAAAAAAAAGTCCCAAGGAGTCTAGAATTCCACAGTATGGACTTTGTAAGCTACCAGGAATGGCAGTGATCAGTCTAGGCATGATATCACTCAGACTGGGATGCCACAAGTATCCTCAAAGCCACAGGCTCCCCACCCATGCCCTAGGCCCAGGATCCTGAGAACCATAGTACTCTGTCCTGAGAGGCTGTAGAAGGCCTTGAAGATTCGGCATTCTGAATTTCAGAGATGGGGGTGGGAAGTAGGGCGGCTAAAATCTACCAAAGTTCTTAGCATACACATATTCCATAGGTGGAGGTCAGGGCAGAAACCCAGATGACATTAACTGAGAATAATTTCACTCTTATCTGACATGGACAAAAGGAGGATTAAACATATATTCATACACCCAAACAGTTTTGTGTAGAAATATATCTACCTCAATTGGGAAACCAGTGGGGATGGAAAGTTATTAGGAGAGAGAATAATAGTTACCAACCAAGTGAGAAGGGAATAGTTTCTAGCCAAACAAACTCCACCTGTGGAAGATAGATACTGAAGGGGAAATTAATAGAAAAAAAGAAATGAAAAGCAAAACTGAAAAGTAAGGGGTGCTTCTCAATTGGGGAATGGGTGAACAACTTGTGGTACACAAATGTAATGGAATATTATGTGAGAAATGAAGAACGAAACATTTTCAGAAAATCTAGGAAATCTTGTATGAACTAATGCAAAATGAAAGGAAGAGAGTCAAGACAACAATTTATACAGATCTCTGAAAGATCTGAGAATTCTGATCATAGCATGCCCAATCATGTCTCTGGAGGACTTATAATGAAGCATGTACCCAGAAGGACTCAAGGTGCAGAAAGACACACAGATTTTCAGACATGGCCAATGTTTGAATTTCTGCTTATTTGTTAAAAAAAAAAAAAAAGGTTTTTTTCTTATTTTAATTGGGTTGGAGAATCTGAGGAGAGGCCAGCAATAGTGATAGCTAAAAAGAGAAGACCATTGATATATATTTTTTAAGCAAGAGGAAGAGAACAGAAAGAAGCTCAAGAAGAAGCACAACAGTTTTGAAAGTGACATTGTTAAATTTATTATGTAGTTTTTAATTATTTTTATTTATTTTGTTAAATATTTCTCAATTACATGTAAAAAAATTTTAACAAATTTTTTATTTTGAATTTCAAATTCTCTTCCCTCCCACCCTTCCCCCCTCCTTGAGAAAGCAAACAATTGGATATCCATTATATATGTGAGGTCATGCAAAACATTTTTCCATATTAGCCGTGTTGCAAAAAATAAAATAAATAAATTAAACAATAAAAATAAATAAAATTCAAGAAAGTATGCTTCAGTCTGCATTCAGAGTTCATCAGTTCTCTCTCTGGAGGTGGATAGCATTTTTCATCATGGGTCCTTTGGAATTGTCTTGGATCACTGTCTTGATCTAAGTCTCTGACAGTAGATCATCCTTACAGTATTGTTGTCACTGTGTACAATGTTCTCCTGGTTCTGCTCATTTCACTTTGCCTGAGTTCACCTAAGTCTTCCCAGGTTTTTCTGAAGCTATCCTGCTCATCATTTTTTATGTAGCATAATGAATGAAGAATATAAATATACGACTAGAAGAATATAAATGTAAATGGATGAAAAATGAACAACAAATGTTATATGTGAAATATAATTTTCACAGGACTAATTAATTTTAAACGATTTGCAAAGATGATAAATAATATAAAACAATATACTTCTGAAAGCGTAGATATATGTTAGCTGGGATATTGTTTCTAAAATAATTGACAAATTAACTATAATCAATATAAATTCTCAGCTATTTGTCAATAAATGTTATTCCAGCTGAATTGCAACATTTTCATTTGATCTCCAGCTATTTTGCTTTTAGCTAATTATCTGTAAAGGAAGTGATATTTTCTCTAATTATAGCTTCTTTTATGTGGTTCTAATTAAGGATGCCAAATATCTGTTCCACTTGTACATGGCTCTGAAACAATACAGAGAAGCTGCCAGGACTGCTATTATAATCGCCAGAGAAGAACAATCTGCTGGTGAGTACCTCAGGATGCAAACTGTTTTTGCTGATATGACATCATTTTAATTTTAATTCCTCAATAAGAATTGCATATTAGATTGTAAGAAGGATATTCAAAGTAGGCCTCTTTACAGTCAAAAGGCAATCTAGTTTCATGTTTTCTTTAATAATTCCTTTCTACATAGTCATCTCTCTATTTTTACATGGTAAGGATGAGGAGCAATAATTCAAATCATGCAAAACTCATTTCAATTTGAATTTGAATAATTTACTTAAGATTTATAGCCTACTTAGATTTTTATAAGATTTGAGATTACTAGGATTTGGAAATTATTTCCTTATACTTGTTTGCTTATTCCTTTGCATTATATTAATTCGTCACTTTAATACTGTGATGGCTTTATAATTTTAACATTATAGCTACACTCATCCTGTGAGATTCTTAACCCTAGGGCAGCAAGCTGGTGCAGTGGATAGAACACCGGCCCTGGATTCAGGAGAACCTGAGTTCAAATCCAGCCTCAGACACATAACACTTGTTAGCTGTGTGACCCAGGGCAAGTCACTTAACCCCATTGCCTAGCCAAAAAAAAAGAGATTCTTAACGCTTTCCTTAAATCCACATAGGGAATCCCCTTAACAAATGAGACATCTTTCCCTGGTCCTTTTAATGTTTGAAAGGATACAAATGTTGTACCCATCTGTCATGTCTTATTCTTGCAACATGGTCAGTTCATCACCTTTTCTTGTCCTCAATGCTGTCTTTAACTCCACCAATTTATTGATGGTAATAGACCGTGGGCTATTTAGGGTTTTATCTAGCAAAAGTAACCTTTGGGTTACTTTTAATTTTCAGTTGAATTCCAATTAACATCATCTCCTACATAAGGCCTTTCTTCTCGCCCAGATGCTAGTACCTTGCTTGCACTCCAACCTTGTGTTCTGAATATATTAATGTATACATGTTGTTTCCTTGGATAGAATGTAAGTTTCTGCTTCTTTTTTTGAAAACTGAGTCTCCCTAGCCTATCCTGGCTGGAAGTTCAGGGGCCACTCATGGAGTAAGAAACTTACAATTTTCCACAGAGGGGAGCCTGTAAAAAGGCACCAAGATGGTAGGTGAACCATGTGTGAGGAATAGCAAGAAGACTAGTTTGACTGGAAGGGGGCAGAGAGACAGAGAGAAATTAGAACTAGCCTTGAGCATGCTGTGGGCATGGAGTAAGAAACGTACAATTTTCCTCAAAGAGTTTGCCTTTCCTAGAGAAATCAACCTAAGACTGAATTGTGCACCCCTTCCTTGGAACCTGAGAAAAAACTTGGGCATTTGTGTCATGAAGGCCGAGCCAACCAAGGTCGGGATTTTTCTGAAGAGTCGTATTCAATTCCAGGCCACACATTTTAGGAAAGGGCAGGCAAGATAATGAAACCATTCAAGGATTGCTTAAATGGACTGAGGATATCTAGCCTGGAGAATAGAAGACATAGAAAGGACACGTAGGATCTGTTTGTAAGTGTTGGAAGAGCTGCCTTCTAAGAGGACTTAGGCTTGTTCTGCTTGGTGCCAAAGGGCAAAACCCAGAGCATTGGGTAGAAGCTGCAAAGAAGCCGATCGTTCCCACTTATTTTCCTTGGCCCTTTTGTGGATTCAAATAAGATAAACTCTAAGATGCAGAATTCCCGGCACATGGGAATCAGCACAATAAAGAGCCTCGCTATCTATCATTCATTTTTTCATGTCCTCCATCTAGGATTGGTGAATACTACTTTTCCTACCTCTGAAGTTACAAAATCTCTTACTGCACATCCTACAGCTAATTGAACAACGATGCCAATTAGATTATACCTCACCCATGATCTAAGATCCTTAAAAACAGAACTGCCTCCCTTGAAAAAAAAAAAAAGCTTTTTTGAAAGATAAAAATTGCTTTCTCCAAATAGACAACAAGACCATCCTCCTGTTCCTGCCAGGAAAATGTGCCACAGTTTCTGCTGTAGGTTTGCCCAGTTCTATGTCTCCCAACTTTATGATCCTACAAACATTTTTCTAGATTTCAAAGAATTGAATCAGTTTAGCATCATAGAAGATGTTTTAATTCTTCCTAGTTAACATTTTACCTGCCCAAGTTGCCCTCCTTCCTCCTCTCTAACATACCCATTCTTCAAGGTTCATCCCAATTCCAAACCCCTCTGTCAAGTCTTTACTTAGTACTCCAACCCAAAGAATAGTTCCCTTGAACAAATTCATAATGCTTACTGTCTGTTCTACTCTTAACAATTGTATGATAGAGCTCAAATTCTTCCTCAGACACTTACTAGCTATGTGATCCTGGACAAGTCAATTAAACCTCTGTTTGCCTCAGTTTCCTCAACTGCAAAATGGGGAAATAGCAGCATCTGCCTCCCAGGGTTGTTGTTAAGGACCAAATGAGATAATATTTCTAAAGCACTTAGCACAGTCTGTAGTACTTTATAGGTGCCATATAAATACTTTTTCCCTCCCTTACAGTTAATTTCCCCTCTCTTACAGTTAATTGTATTATATTTGGTATTGTTATTATTAATTTATTTTGATTTATCAACAATCAGTTCCATAAGCTTTTGAGTTTTAAAATTTTCTCTCCCTCCCCCCCAAGATGGTGTACAATCTGATATAGGCTTGTTTGGTATTGTTATTTAATTTTGGGGGTGCTTGGTTTTTTCCTCCTAAGAGGTAAAGACTATAACATGTCTATTTGATTGTCACCTAAAACATTTAGCATAATGAGAGCATATAAATAATTCATTCATTTGTAAAATAAAAAAATACCTTCTCCTCCCAAATTTTTAGATTCTATTCTTTATAAATTTGTTGTCTTACATTCTCTATGTTTTTTTTTCAAGGAAACTATCGAAATGCACATGACGTTCTCTTCAGTATGTATGCAGAATTAAAAACCCAGAAAATCAAAATTCCTTCTGAGATGGCTACCAATCTTATGATTCTGCACAGCTATGTATTAGTGAAGGTAATATATAAATGAATTGAATAGGATGCATATTTAAGACTATATTTTCCCACCAACGATTGAGGATAACTTAATGGAAAGTACACTGCAATCAGAGTCACAGTGGCTAGGTTCTAGACTCACTAACCAGCTATGTGATCTTGGACAAGTCAATTAACATCGAAGACATTTAGCTTCCTCATCCATGGCATAGAATAGTAAGATAATAAAAATCCCAGTTTGAAGGGACCTCAGAGATCATCCACTTGTTGAATTAATGTAGAGTGAATCTAGTCCAATTCATACCTTAGCAAAAACCACTTCTATAATGTACTTTGCAGGTAGGTGTCATTCAAGTTCCCCTTCAAGTTTTCCAGTGATAGGAAACTCGTTCTTTCACAGAGCAACCCATTCTACTTTCAAAATAGCTCTACTTGTTAGGAAGTTTTTCCTTCTATCAAACCTAAATCCGCTTCTCAGAAACTCTCCCGCACTGCTCTGACGCCTGGCAGAATGAGTCTTCACTGTCTTCCATATGACAGCCTTCAGAGACTTGGAGACAGCTCTCATGCTCTTAATAACATCTTGTCTTCTCCAGTTCTTTCTTCCAGTCCTTTTCCAGCCTTCTTACTACCCAGCTTGGCCTCCAGTGAATCTATCCCATTTTGTCAGTGTTCTTTCTGAAATATACCTAGAGCTGAACACCATCTTCCACATGGGATCTGACCAGAGCAAAGGTTCATTTCACATTATTGATTCATGTCAAACTTACAGTTCAAAACAAAATCTGTTATCTTTCCCTTCCTACTAGCTTCCCTATTACTGCAGGAAAACACCATCCTCCTAGTCCCTCAGCTTACTACCTAGGAGTCATCCTGGACTCCTCACTATCTCTCCCCCCCTCCCCCCCATATCCAAGCTGTTGCCAAGGTTTGTCAATTTCACATTTGCAATATCTCTCCAATGCACCCCTTTTCTCTCCTCTGACACTGCCACCACTCTAGTGCAGGCCCTCCTCACCTCATGCCTGGACTATTGCAATAGCCTGCTAGTGGGTCTGCCTGCCTCAAATCTCTCTCTACGCCAATCCATCTGCCATTCAGCCACTAAATTTTCCTAAAGTGCAGGCCTTATCATTTCACTCTGACTAGTCAATAAACTTCAGTGGCTTCCTCTTGCCTCCAGGATCAAATACAGAATGCTCTATTTAACATTTAGAGCTTTTCATATCCTAGCCCCCTTATACCTATCTAGCCTTCTTACTTCTCACACCCCAGTACCTACTCTTCAATCCAGCGACACTGACCTCCTGACTGTCCAACAAACAAGATGTTCCATCTCTTGGCTCTAGGCATTTCCTGGAATGCTTTCCCTCCTACTTTCCAACTACTGACCTGCTTATCTTTAAGGGCCAACTAAAATCCCATCTTTTATTGAAGCCTTCCCCAACCCCTCTTAATTCCAGTGCCTTCCCTCTGGTAATTATTTCCTATTTATCCTGTATTTAGCTTGCTTTGTATATCTTTGTTTGCATGTTGTTTCCTTCATTAGACTGTCAATTCCTTGAGGGCAGGAACTGTCTTTTGCCTCTTTTTGAACCCCCAGTGCTTAGCACAGTGCCTAGCACACAGAACATAATAAATGTTCATTCTTTCATTGATTCTTCTTTCTTTGATCTCTTTAGTGTATAGACCTAATGTCAGTTTTGCTGGATCAAAGTATATGCCCAGTTTAATAGCTCATTAGGCATAGTTCCAAATTATTCTCCAGAATGGCTGGATTGGTTCACAGCTCTACCAACAGTGCACTATTTTATTTGTTTTCCCATAGCCCATTTAGCATTTGTCATTTTACTTTTTTTGTTGGCTTAGCCAATACCATGGGTGTCAGGTGGCACTTCAGAGTTGTTTTAATTTGCATTTCTCTATTAGTGATTTAGAGCATTTTTTCATATTGCTATTAATAGCTTGGTTTTATTTCTCTGCAAACTGACTGTTTATATACTTTGACAATTTATCAATTAGGGAATAGCTCTTAATTCTTTACATTTGATCCAGTTCCATGTTAGATAGATCGATAGATAGATAGATAGATAGATCTTAGAAATGAAACCTTTGTCAGAGAAACTTACTGCAATGATTTTTTTCCCCCAGCTTCCTACTTTTCTTCTAATTTTTGCCTCATTGGTTCTATGAAAAACCTTTTAAATTTTATGCAATCAAAATTACCCATTTATGTAAAACCTTTTTAATTTTATGTTATCAAAGTTGTCCATTTTACCTCCCATGAACATCTCTATCTCGTTTGATCATGAATTCTTCCCTTGTCCCTAGCTATTGGTAATTTGGCTTTCTTTTTTTAAATCAAATTCACTAATTAATTGCTTGCCTTCTCAAGGAGAGGGAAAGAAAGGAAGGAAGAAGAGAGTTTGAAACTCAAAATTTATTAAAATGAATGTTAAAAATTGTTTTTACATGTAATTGAAAAAAATTTAATTCACTAATTTATCCATTTTTTTAAACAGCTTTAAGTTTTATTAATTGATTCAACAAGTTTTTTTACTTTCAATTTTGTTAATCTCTGATTTTCAGGCTTTTTGCTTTGCTGTTTAATTGAGGGTTCTTAATTTCTTAGTTTTTCTAGCTTTTTTAGTTTTATGTCCAATCCATTGATCTGTTCTTTCTCTCTTATTTATGAATTAAGAGATATAAATTTTGCCCTCAGTGCTGCAACTCAATTTTTTTTTTAATGTGGTCTCATTGCTGTCATTATCTTTAATGAAATTATTATTTCTATGAGTTCCTCTTTGACCCCCATACATTCTGTAGGATTATTTAGTTTCCAATTAATTTTTAATCTTTGCTTCAAAGACCCTTTATTGAATGTAATTTTTATTATATTATTGTTGGTAAAAAAAAGATTCATTTAATATTTCCGCTTTTCTGCATTTTTGTGAGGTTTTTATGCCCTAATACATAATTAGTTGTTATGAGGGTACCATCCACAGCTGAGAAATAGGTATACTTATTTCTATTACCATTCAGTATTCTCCAGAGATCTATCATATCTATCTTTTCTAAAATTCTATTAGAGACTTTAACTTCTTTGTTTATTTTTTGTTAGATTTATCTAGATCTGAGAGGGTTAAATTGAAGTCCACCCTGCTATTATAGTTTTGCTATCTATTTCTTATAACTCATTTATCTTTTCCTTTCAAAATTTAAATGCTCTGACATTTGGTAGTGGTTTAATATTGATATTAATCCACTGTTGATGGTACCTTTTGGCAAAATGTAGTTTCCTTGTTTATCTCTTTTCATTAGAATAGTTTTTGCTTTTGCTTTTTCTGAGATCATGATTGCATGATTACTGCTTCCTCTCACTCTGCCATCTTGCCTCTGCCCCTGGAATAATATGTTCATGATGAACTTATGCTAATTTGTAGTGGTCACAGCTTTCTTTTCTTAGTATTCACAAATTTTTAAGAATGTATTCTCATATTTTGCCAAGAGTTTGCTAAAATCCCTGCCCTATGGTTTGAAGATTCCACCTCATTGACCTTTTTAAAAACTGAACTATTTCCCATCTCTATTTCTGTTGCATTTTTCTCATTCTTCATGATTTCTCAGAGATCACTAACAGTGGCTAAATGATATCTGCAACTTCTTAAAGATCCCTGGGATATAGTTCATCTAGCAAGTAAACAATTTATCTGCTGTTCCTATATTAGCAGAAAGTTCCAATAGATGGCTAAATCGTTAAAATCCATTACCATAACTAAATCCTCCCTCAGCTTCCAGAACTCATTGTATATTTCCTCCTTCTGCATGGGTGGTCTGTATTATACTCCAGCTACAATGTCACTCCTGTTTCTTACACCATTAATTTTCATCCATCTGTGAAATTCCAACATGGATTTCCTCACACAAGTTGCACCTTTTTGATATATAGTATTATTCTATTGTCCCTTTTAGCAAATCTATTCCTTTGAAGTAGGTATACCCTTCTATCGCCATATTCCAGTTAAATCAAAACTTAGCAAGTCATAGTGATAACAATAATATCAAATCTACCTCCTTGCATATACCTGTAATACCCGTCCTGCCTAATACACAGCGTTACAATGAGGTTCAGTTGAGAATAGTATAAATTAATTCACTCTGAAAACTGTTATACCAATGTAAGGTATTATTGCTACTATCATTAAATAACTTTTTTGGTTTGGAATAGTGGCTTATTATCTCGTGGATAATGGAAGTTGTAAAGTTCTAGTAGTTATTTTTGTGGAAACAAAATAAAAAGAGCTTTAAAAAATTCATGTGCTTGCACATGTGCATTCATCTAGAGGAGTATGGATATATGTATGTTTAGATGTTTACTGTAAAGTAAATCATATAACTTCTTTCAGATTCATGTTAAAAGTGGAGATCATATGAAGGGAGCACGAATGCTTATTCGTGTGGCCAACAACATTAGCAAATTCCCATCACGTAAGTACTATCTGTGAAGAGCTCCTTTTCCACTTATAAAAATAGTCTGTGATAAACCTAATCAAAATATACTTGACAGCTCTATCACAGAATCTGTTTTCAAGTGTAGGTTTTCTTTGCTGTTGTACTTAGGAGACACTAGGACTTTACTGTGATCTTCAGTTGAGAAAAGTTAACAAATCACTTGAACTTGTTTGGTTTTTTTTTAATAGCATAATAGATCAAAACTACATATATTCAAGTGAAAAAGAAATACAGAAATTGGATCCTTCTAAAAACAATTTCATTCTCTTTTTTTTTTTTAGATATACATGTAATAGGAAGGAAGAAAGGGGGGGAGAATGAGACCTGGGCCTGGCACTGTAAAAAGCTCAGGAGACAAATATAAGTAAAAGGAATGACGGTCCCTGCTTTCAAGGAGCTTTCTTAATGTTTCTAATGGGGAAGACAGCACACAAAAAGTAGCTGAAAGGGGGCTTTAGGAATGGAGGAGGTAAAGGTACTCAGTGGGGGCTTGGTTTTGAAGTTCAGAAAAATTCAGGAACTGAGCCTGGAAAAGAACGAAAGCAGACCGGCCTTGGCCCTTCTACAAAAAGGAGACTCCACAAGGAACTCACAAATAGGAGAAGGGGAGTAAACCTTGCAGAGGCCCATTCCACAGTGAGTGGGCTCTGTTGGTGGTGGGCCACTCCAGGACAAGGAGGCCCAGCTCTGCAGGAAGTTCCAGGATGAGCCCAGCAGTAGACAGGGCATGGTCTTGATGTCCAGAGGAATTCAGGAACAGGGATAACAGAGGGAACAGAAAAAGATGACCTGTCATTAGCATTTCCTCATCTCCAGTCATCATGTACACCTACTTCACCTGATCTTAGAGGCAACATGTTATGATTAAAGAACAGGATGGTTGACAACCTCCACCATTCCCTTATAAAAAGCCTTTAACTTCACCGTGACTTGTAGTCTGTAAAATTGGATAAGTTCTGATAGATGAATTCATTTTGGAGGCTAAGTCATGCTGACATGTTTTATTTATTAAAATAACTTTTTTATTTGATGATAATCTCAGGAAATGCTAACAGCCAAATTGAATGAGAAATGAAATTCCAAATTAAATCATAACTCCAAAATGGTTTACATTTTGGTTTTGAAAAATAAGCTTCAACAAAATACATTTGATCTGGAGCCACTTGTGATCTCTTCCCTATTTGTGTACTTAATTTGGTTTCTGTCATTCTTTTTGAATATAACTGTAGCCAGTGAGTATACTTTTCTAATTCTTCATCTGCATCACTAATGACTTTCTTTGTATTCCCAGTATTTGTCATTTTTAGGGTATAATATCATACTGTTATATGAATATACAATTTATTCAGCTATTTGTCAAATTCTATGTATATATAGGTTGGAAGAAGAAAAATTCTCTCTATAGGAAAAAAAGGAAGAAATTGATGGAACTAAAATAAATGAATTTGATTATATTAAGAGGAATTTTGCACAATTTTTTAAAAGTACCCAAAACAAAGAGATGGGGGAGAATCTTTGTAGTAAATATTTCTGATTTTAAAAAAAACATATTTACCTAGAATTCACAAGAAACTAAAAATTTACAAGAGCATCAAATTCAAATAAAAACAGGGCCACTACACCAATTCCTGGAATGCACATATTGACTTTGAAAACCATATATTAACATTATATATGTTATATTATATTTTTATTTTGTTAAATATTTCCCAATTATATTTTAATCTGGTTCAGCTACACTTAGGAGTTTTGCAGGCACTTATTTGACACCTTTGATTTATAAGAAATAATTTACTGTTACAAATAAAGCAGTTATGAATATTTGGGTATCAGTAGGTTTTTTTCCCCTTTTAATAATAACATTCTTATAGAAGTAGAATTGATGGATCAAAGGGTATATAATCAGTTTTGTAATGCTGATTGTATATTACCAGATTGCTCTCCACCATGCTATACTAATTTACAGCTCCACCAGTAACTTGAGAGTGTTTCCCTGTCCACACTGAATTGCATCCCTCTAAGTTTAATCTTGGAGTTGTTTTAACTTTGTATTTCTATGATTATTAGAAGTTTTGGAACACCTGTGTGAACTTACCCAGGATTGAACCAGTGGTCTCAAGTGTAGCCCTTTGACTGAATCTCAGACTTCACAGAACAAATCAAAGTTTGGATTCAGTCAAAGGGTTGCACTTAAGGACCTAAACAGCCACATGTGGCTTCAAGGCCGCAGGTTCCCCACCCATGACTTAGACAATTCTACCTTAGATAGAACTACCTATGCAAACTTTACTTCTCTCAGACTTTCTCTCTATAAAATGAGGGGTTTCAGGCTAATAAGAGTATCAGTAGGCTCCCTCTTCTAGCTACTGATTGATTTGTGTGTGATTCATGTGATTAATAATTTACATAACCTTTAAGAATTATTCATTTCTTTTGACCATTATCCACTGTGAGAATGTTTATTACTTTTATAAATGTCTATCATTTGCTTAGACAGAATTGGTTAGTCTTTCCCTATTTGTTAAGTCTGTTTGTTCTGGCCTGTTTTATATCGTTAATGACATATTACTATTTTTCTGTGCTATTTGTATTATAGACATTGTACCTATCTTGACTTCTACAGTGATAGAGTGTCACAGAGCAGGGCTGAAAAACTCTGCTTTCAGTTTTGCTGCTATGTTGATGAGACCAGAGTATCGCAATAAAATAGATACCAAATATAAAAAGAAAATTGAGGCAATGGTGAGGTGAGTGGTTTATGTTATTTGATTTGTATACCAAAAATCAGTCTTTTAAAATAGAGCAGAATCATTAGTAGGTGGAAAGAAATGAATGGCAGAAATTTTATTCTCTTTGATCAGTGAGCCATTCTCAGAGTAAGAACTCTGTACACCAATGAGCACCAAATGGGCAATTTTTAGACCCTCTCATAATTTATAAATGAGTAGCCCTAGAGGCACATGTGGTATAGTCTTACTAACAGAAGTAGCTCACTACTATCCAGTGTCCAAAACAAAACAAACAAAAAAACTATGAAATGTCATTTGTTTTGTATGAAAAAAATAAACAGAAATGGTATATATTTCTCAACTACAGTATCTCTGATCTCAAAGGTGGGGTGATATGCATACTGATGCCTTGATTTTGCTATTCTAATTTCAGAATAAATAGGGGCATGGCCTGTCCTTGTAAATGATGTATGATTCCTCCTCACAGGAGACCTGACACATCAGAAATAGAAGAGGTTTTAACACCATGTCCATTTTGTGAATTTCTGCTCCCCGAGTCTGAACTACTCTGCCCTGGATGCAAAAATAATATCCCATATTGCATTGCCACTGTAAGCTTCATTGTATTTATGAACTATTTGGATGTTTTTAAATGTTAACAAACCTTCTGAATTTTCTGTAGCATTCCCATTTAACCTATAACACCTTGGCCATTGCCATCTTTAATAAACATGATAATATACTATATTAAGACTTACTATTAGAAATGCTTAAAATACCAAATTATTTTTGAATCATTAGAGTCCCATAAGTTTTGTTTAAAGGCAGATAAAAATATTTTATTGAGTATAAGCTCAGTTAAGAATTCCTGTCTTTTTGTCCCTGCAAAAAAATAAACAAAAATACAAACATAACCTGTTTTAGTCCTTTGGGTGCTATCTACTTATTTGGCTATTTGATGCCTCTTCTAATTGACTACATAGATTCAGCTCCATGAAACACTGCGAGGGTATTTCTTAGACATGGCAGTAATGTGAAGAAAGAGTTTTGCTTCTAATAATGCTATATAGTGAATATTTTAAAAAAAAAACCTAATTTTTAAAAATGCTCATTTTTCTCTTAATTGTACTGGATCTAGGGTCGGCATATGTTAAAAGATGACTGGACTGTATGTCCACATTGTGACTTTCCTGCTTTATACACCGAATTTAAAAGGTAAGTAAAAATCATTTTGCTCTTAGATGTAATTTGCTTTTAAGTGAATAAATCAACGATCCTGGGATTGTGAATTGACATAGGTAGAACCTACTTTCCCCAAGACCCCCAAAATTGAAGCAGTCTTCCATTAATTTTGAGAACATTTTTAAAAGAGTTGTGCTTATAAAATATAATAAACATGATGATAATATTTCCATTTCTTAGCCTACTTGGTAAATAAATGAAAAACTGAATGGATGCCAAGAGATACATAAACTATAAGATGAGTTATTTTCACACCAATGTAAAAGATAAAAAAATGCTCCAGATCTAATTTACCCTGATTTTCCTCCATTCAGCATGCTAACTACAGAAAACACATGTCCTATGTGTTCAGAAAGGTTAACCAGTGATCAGCTTCAAAAAATAACAGATTTTGCACCATACCCCAGAGGAGAAGTGGAACAATGAATACATCCAGGTAAATGCTACAGTACTAGTTCTCCTTTCTAACATTTCAGGGCCATAATTTAAAGCACAAACATCAAATATTTATATTAATAGAATGCATTTCACAAGAGCCATATGAATGGTAGATGTTGTATTTTTTTATATCATGGGCACTTGAGGGATCTAAAATGGAACATGAGGCCTAATCTCAGTGTCGGTAAAATCATAATGACCTATAAATTATTCTCAATTAAAGTTGTCCAAGTAATATAACAGATATATTTTAATTATTTAAACTGACTCAATTAGAAGATTTTATGATAAAAATTTTGACTTATTAAAGGTTCCCCTCTCTTCCTTTCCAATATTCATTTTTATCCAATACTCAATTTATATTTTAAATGTTCTAGCAATTTTTTTAAAATAGAAATTAAAGTTAATCAATTTAATATAGCACAACTTGCTTTTTTTACTTTCAGGTGTGAAAGTAGCCCAATTAATCATGAAGCACACACAACCCCAAGATAACAGAAAAACACTTACAATGGGAAAAGTCTGAAGAGTATTCAAGTGGAAGATGTGTGATGACTATATAGTAATAACAGATTTTTTTCAACACCTTTCACAGTGAGGACTGTCCTTCAAAATGGTCATCTTGAGCGACTATCCTCTTCAGTAGTGATGCTATTATTCAAAACATTTTTGGAATTCTTTATTTGAAATTGCCATTAGTCAGTTTATGAACCATCCAAGAAAACCAGTCTCTTCATTTTTTCAATTTAATTCAACAAATTTTATTAAGGCCCTGCTATATATGCAAAGCACCGTGCTTAAGCACTGACTTTATAAAAAATAATAAACCTGACATTTGTGTAGCATTTTAATATTTATAACATAGTCATTAAAGAAAAATGTAAGCACTACATATTTGCCCATTTTACAAATGAGGGTACCGAGGCCCAAAGGTTAACTGATTACCCTATGGCCATGAAATTCATAAGTGCCAGAAGTGGGATTTGAACCCATGTCTCTCCGGACTCCAAGTTCAGCACTGTATCATGCTGCCTCTCACAATCACGAATTCAATTCAGTAAGCACTGAGTAAGCACCTACTAAGTGCAAGCTATTGTGCTAAGCAGTGGGGGACAGGAAGACAAAACCTGCTTCCAGCCCTCAAGGAACATACGTTATCTTGAGGGCTATAACATGAATGCAAATGCAGTAACTGAGATAGTCAAGAACACTTCAAGACGAGCTAAGCGCCCCTTCAGCTAAGCCTTGAAGAAAAACGTATTCTGGAACACTGCGATGACGCAAGTGCCCAGCAGGGTACCCTTCACATGGCGGTCTTAAGTGCTTATTGAATTGAAATTAACTTTTGTGATTCGTAGATTGGCTCTGAAGGCAGTTTCAAGAATGGTAAAAATATCCGGAATGAAAGCAACCTTAAACTGTTTACAACCCTAAATTATTTAGTGATTACTACCTCTAGAATGTAAGCTCTCAAGGGCAGTGACTCTCATTTTATTCTATGTCTATCCCCAGTGCTTTGCATATAGCAGGTACTTAAAAGACACAATTTGATTGAATTAAATTAGGCTTGTACAGTAGCATACACTCCTTAAGACTGGTGGTTTCCTAAAACCCCTGAAAATGATACTACTGTTAAAGGTTCAGAAACTGCTAAAGAATACAGTATAGCTGATGTTTATATAGAGAATCCAATTCCACTATCAGCAAGTAATACAGAAATTAAACCAAAGGTTCTTACGTGGGAACCGTCGACTTTTTGCTTTTTTATGTCTTACGAACTGTATTTCCATATAATTGGTTTCTTTTTTAAGTCTATATATTTTATGAATTTAAAAACATTCTGAGAAGGGGTTCATAGTCTTCCCAGTCAGCCAAAGGGGTCTGACACAAAAAAAGGTTAAGACCCCCTGAACTAAACATTCAACATTCCATATGTATTAGGTGGCACTGAATCAAGTTAGGAATATGCTTGTTTTGTCTCATAGGAATAATCTCAACTACAAAAATATACATATCAACTTTTTCCTAATTGGGTATCTTTCCTTGGTCCAGCATTTCTTAGGGTTCCCATGACTAGAAGGTCTGCAAAGAGAGACTAGACAACCATTTTTTGTCAGCAAGTGAGGAAGGGGGACTGATGCTCATCTGTCCTCCCCCAACCCCTGCAAACTTTTTCTTATATTAATTTGTTTAGTAATATTTTCTTCATAAGTAATTTAAAGAAATTGGATCCTGCCTAAATTGAATTATCACAAGTTATAAATTTGTGATATTCAAACTTTTGTTTTTAATATTGTTTAAAGAAAAGAAGATCACACCTTCTTGAAGTCTCCTTATTCAAGAAGCAGTTGCCCCAAGAAATGTTTGGCTGTCTTAATAGAAATAATAGTTTTATGGTCTGCTTCAGTAATTCACTGAAGAATGCAACTTAACAGCTCTTAAAAGTGGCTGTTTTCAACCCTGTCCTACTCACTACTATCGATGCTTTTCTCTCTTTTAACCAATTCTTTATACCTTTATGACTTCCTACCTATATTACCTGGGCCTTTCCTGACACAAGATTCAGCTAGCAGAATGTCTACTCCACATGGATTGTGCCTCATTCACTTTGTTGCACAGTGACCAGAACCGTACCATAGTCATTTTCCAACTGAGACGAAAGAAACAGAAGCAAGTATAAATAATATTATGGCTGTTAAGCGTTTAGCTTTATTTCCTAGCAAATATTTGCATTTGCTTTATTCTCTCCTTCTACCACAATCATATGGTGGAAAATTTAAAGATTCAGATATAACAGATATTTCTAGAGGCTAGATCATATTCCCAGGGTAATTGAAATGTCTCTCAAGAGGCTTTGTGGACAATCTTTCCTGGAAACAGTAACATAGACGTCATCTCAAGGTCCCTTCTTGCATTTTTCGTATTTTCTTTATTATCCTTTTCACTTTATTTTATACTTTTATTATTTACTTCACTTTATTATACTTTTCACTCTGTGAGTTTTTTCCCCTCAATTCTGTCTCCTATATTGTGATTCTGTAAACATTTACATTTTGATATTTTTATATCTGGAAATACAGACTTTAAAATTAAATTGATGAATGGATATTTGAAATTTATCTCTATTTTTATTCTCTGACCTCTAAGGGGAAGCACATCATCAGGTTTGAGAAGTATAAATTATCATTACAGTGATTAAAGAGTAGTTAGCAGTAAGATACATTTCAATGTAGGTTTTTTTTTTAAAACCTTTCCTCTTTTTTGTTCTCTATATTTTTTTCCCTGAGTTTGAAGGCTTTTAAGATTTTCCTTTTTATGGGAAAAAAAATGTACATAAGCATTATCATGCCTTGCATTGGTGTCATAAGTGTGTAATAAACTTCTAACTAGGCAGTGCTTAGTAGACTTACTAACTTAACCCTGATTTGAAACACCAATAATCATAAATAAATACTGGTGAATCATTTTATAACACATAATTGAACAAAGCACCTGACATACTAACCTGCGTGCAGCAATGATATTGTACTAGTCGCTCCAGTGGCTCATTGTAGCACAGAGGTAACCCTGTTTTCAAAGATTAGACCAGTGCAGGGGAGCACAAGCTCTGGGGAAGTTCTACATAAGCTGGAAAAGCTGAATAAGGGCTTGACGATGTCTATCATCTGAGTACCAGTCTAGTTCTGAGAGGTCTATCACCACGCTGGCTGCAGAATGAAAAATTCAGCCACAGCCACTTAATAACCGCCTACTAAGTCATGGAAAAATTATAATCAGTCAGTAGAGAGAACAGTATTCTCACTATGAAAGAATAATATGCTGCTTTAACAGGGTGAGACTGTTCATTACCAGAGGGTCAAAAGAATTAAGTCCTATTCCTCAGACTCAAAAGAGAATGTCACCATAGTGGTCTGCTAGAGATACAGGTATATGAAGCAGGGGAAGAAAGAGAGACACATCATCTTGACGGTAGTTTAAATGTTTACAATATGGTCAGAGGAGAAAGGCAGCATACCAAAACTCTATTAAAATATAAAAGGGGTAAGTTAAAACTGGTGACTAATGGAAGTCCCTGTCCTGAAGATTACAATCTAACAGGATATAACACTTAAAAATGATTGTGCATAAAAACTTATAACCATAAAGTATGTACATGATAAAGATGTATTCCAGTCTTACAAGGTCACTGCATTAAATGGGAGCAACTAGAGGCAAACAGGATCAAAGCCTTCATGAAGGACAGTAAAGAAATTTTGGCATTTTCTGACAAGCTTTAGAACATATAGCATAATTCCATTCATGGTACAGACTATAATAAAACTTATATCTCACACACTAATAAATGTAACTAAACATTATTATTTTTCAACTTTTTTTCAAATTACAGACAAAATAGAATATCAAATATATACTAAAACATTGCTATCTTAATGTAACCATAAGCCAAGAAACAAATGGATTTTTAAATTATCATGTAAAAGTAATTTTATTGCAGATTTTTGTGACATATTTGACAATATACAAAAGAAATACCCACATCTGGGTAGTGGTTTTCTCATTATGTTCTATTTACAAAATTTCACCACATAATAGTAACTAGTTTAAAAAAAAGAGAGAGACATTGGCCCTATGAAGGCTATTAGAATACATTCCATTCCAAAGTTACTATGTTATTGATGAACCTAGGCATGTTAATATTTGACTACTAAAATCTTACTCCAAAGCCTGCATTTCGTAAGAATTTTACATGGTAGCTTTGAAGCACAATGATGTAATTATGTTGCCACTGAAAAGTGGAAGAACAAGCAGTCAAACCACCCTCTATAAGAGGAGCATTTTTAGCCAACTGTTAAACCTTTCTAATTGTGCCATAGTTCTCTGAATAATGAGATGGAACAAACAGTAACATTACTGCCAAGCCACAATTGTGATCGATACAAGGCTTTGTCCAGAAGCTCCAACCAACACCAGTTATTACAGAGTGGTTGTCAATGCGGGATAACTCAATTTACTTAGGTTTTTTGTGAATTTTTCCCCTTTGCTTTTTTGTTCTCTGTATCTTTTTCTGGTTTTGAAGACTTTGAAGATGTTGTCCTTTTCTGCTGAAAAAAAAACAAACAAACCAAAAACATGTATATAAGCATTACCACATCCACTTTAGAGTCAATTTATAATTTGTAAATCAAGCTTATTGTCAGGGTAAATCAAATCTGATTTGTTTTCTAGGCAGTTATGGAAAGGTAAAAATTTTAAATCCATGTAAGTAGACTCCAAAAAATAATTCACTTTGACCAAGTTTGATTCATAGACAGTACAACGTTAAGAAAACAATTATCATAATTTTATAACAGAATCCACATAATTATGTGGAACCAAAAGAAGCCTTCGCTAAACTACAGCATTCATTTACAATAAAAATGCTTAGAAGCACGTATGTGGATGGTCCCCCCTTCAAAATGATCAAAAACCTATAGCTAGCATTTATATATAAATATATCATATAGAGCTTTAAGGTCTATAAAGCACATTACGTTTGATATAGCATATGATCCTTGCAGGTAAGAAAGGTAAATGCTAGTATTATCATCCTCATTTTATAGCTGAGGAAAGTGAGGCTGAGGAGGTTAAGTGACTTGTCCAACAAGTGCCTGCATCAGCATTTGAACTCGGGTCTTCCTAACTCTAACATTCTCTCCACTGTGCCACCTACCTGCCTCATTATACATCTGCATCTATATCTAAAGTCATGAGCTATCACTATTTGTAAAGTACAATTCTAGAAGCTTTCCCAATGAAGGATGCCCTCTCCCCGCACACCCATTATTTGATTTAATTGTAGAAATGCTAATAACACCAACAGTGAAAGGATAAAGGACTAACGGGAGTTAAGGACAGAGATGTACAAGTACAGATGTACTTGAGGGGGTTAATTCATTCTAAGTTTAAAACTAGGAAGAGAAGGCCAGAGCAAAGTAATGGACTAGGAGGAAAGGGAGGCAGAAAGGGACTGGAGGTTGCAATGCAGAGGAAAAAGATGTTCAGGAAGGAGGCAGAAGGAAAGGAATGAAGACTCCCTACTAGGTAGGGTGTGATTAGCAAGTCATTTCAGGATGGGGGAACCTGAAGGCAGAGTGAAAATGAAGGGGTGATCAGCTGAAGGGAGTGGACAGAATGCCGGACTTGGAATCAAGGAAACTCGGGGTTGAATCCCACCCACTGATTCCTGCTATCTGCATGAACATGAGCAACTTGCTTTCAGTCTATTAATCATTACCTTCATTTGAGAGCATGGCCAATGTGGGGATTTGCTTTACAAGATTATGCATGTTAATGATAGGGGTTTTATTTTTCTAGGTTTTTTTTTCTGTTGAGATTCAACTGGGGGAAAAGAAGGCAGTAGATACAAAGATTACAAAAGCATGTAAAAATTTTTTTAAAAATTTTAAATAAAATTTACATGTCATAGAGCAACCCCCCCATGACTCAAGCAGTCGAGGCCCTGTGGCCTCTTCCCAATTCCTTGTCGGGGGAACCCTTGAAGCACGTACTATCACATGTCCCTCTCATAAAAACACTAAAGAGGAGCAAAGGATCCAAAAGCCTTCGTTTGCCTAAGAGGAAAAGAGAAGAAAGAACCACCAAGAGGAGAATACTACTCTTCTGCCTAACAGATATTTCTGTCTCTAAGTACTGAGCACATTGTGCTCCATCCACCTACTGGGAGAGGGGGGCAGTATATTACAGGATGAGAGGCTAATGATTACAGAGAGGGCTGACCCAAAAGCCAAGAAGACGTGGGTCCAGGCCATACCCCTGCGTAATAAAGGGTATCTCTTAGTACCCCAGATAATGCGAATCAGCACTCGTAGAGAGTGCCTCACCAGGGACATCCTATACCAAAGAAATCACAGCTTCTATCAAAAAAAAGTATAACATGTAATACTTGTATCAAACATTAAAATACCTTGATCATAGCATCAGTTTCAATACCATCGTGGTCCTTCTCCTCAGACTGGGATTCATCTTCATTTAATTCATCACTGTAGTCTGAACTCAGTGATGGTCCTCTACTATGTTTAGATGTCTTTGTTACCTGAAGTGAATATGGTGTGAGATGCACCTCTTTATTGTAGCCTCGAGTAAAAGCTGCCTTAACCTGTATGGAATAAGCATAGAGAAAAAAAACATGAATCTCAAATATTTCTTTGTGACTTCAAGGCACAGCAACCCAAACACAGTTTTCTGAAGTGTTTTCCAAGCCACTTTTTTGAGGGGAAAAGGGGAGGGCAACTGAGGTTAAATGCCTTGCCAGGGTCATGCAAGTGTCTGAGGTCCATTTTGTGTCCAGATCCTCCAGACTCCTGGGCTAGTGCTCTACCATTATGCTGCCCGTTCAAGTCACTTTTAATAAATGCACTGATTGGCCTATAATTTTTTTAATGTAGAGTTTTTTTTTTCAGTGAACAGAAAGTCTACTTTCTCTCCTTCCCACCTCTCTAGCCCTTCCTTCGTTGAGAAAGAAAAACAAAACCTTTGTAATAAATAGGCATAGTTAAGCAAAACAAATTTTCATGTCCGCCAGGTTGAAAATACGTCTCAACCTGCAACCCTGATTAACCACTTCTCTGTCAAGAAGTTAGTGGCATATGTTGTCCTGAATGAATCCTCTGAAATTGTGTTGATCACTGTATTAATAAGAATACTTAAATCTTTCAAAGTTGTTTGTCTTTATAATGTTATTGTCATTACAGAAATTGTTTTCCTGATTTTGTTCCCTCCATTCTGTAACAGTTCATATATAAATTCCCTAGTTTCTCTGAAATTATCCCCTTCATCACTTCTTACAGCACCATAGTATTATTCTACCACATTCATACATCATCATTTGTTCTGCCATTCCCCAATTAATAAGCACCTCTTTATAGTTTCAGATCATTTCCACCACAAAAACAGCCAATATATTTTGTACATATAGGTCCTTTTCCTTTGATTCTTTATAGACCTAGTAGTGGTATCACTATATCAAAGGGCACACATAGTTTAATAAAACATTTTCAGAATAGTGACAAATTGCTTTTCAGATTGGCTGGATCAGTTCACAGCTCCACCAACAGTGCATTAATATATCATATTACCAACAGCCTATGCAGCATTTGTCATTGTCCTGTTTTTATCAACTGCTAATCTGATGAGTCTGAGGTGAAACCTCAGAGTAGCTTTAATTGGCATTTCTGTAACTGTGTGATTTGAAGTACTTTTTTTCATATGGTTATTGATAATTTGGAGTTCTTCTGAAAAATCAAAATGAACTTCTAGGACCCACCCATGATCTAACACCAGATACCTGTTTAAGACTCCCCAGGTAAAAGTAAAACCATGTCAAAATGTCAAAAGTAGGCAAAATAGCACCAACTGGAGTGCAATACAAAACAAAACAAAAAAAACTAATGTTGAAAACAATGGGTTTCATATGGTATGACTATCATATTATAATTCTTTCGGCATCATTTCAATTTTTCATATTAAAAAAGAACCCTAGAACATCAGACTTGGCAAAGGCCCCAGGCCATCTTGTCCAAGATGAAGTTGGACAAAAAACCAATCGGCTGCATCCTTAACAGGTGGCAATTGAGCCACCACTTGAAGAGCTTCGTCAATGGGGAGTTACCCTCAACCTTAAGATTTAGCCTGTCTGCTGAGATGACTTTATCAGGGTGTGGTTACAAGTGGGAGTTGAGTGAGAAGTGGACACCAAAAGTGAATAAGCAGCCCTGAAAAGGGCATAGCAAGCCCTCACATCTGAGGCATTAGTCCTCCCTGAACATCCTATACATCCCAGATGTGAGGTTAACTAAAAAAAGGAAGATAACAGGACTTGGAAATACCTCCTAAAGAAGGTAGGATCTGAGCTGATTCTTGCAAGAAGTCAGGGAAGTTAGGAGGCAGAGGTCAAGGGGCAGAGCATTCGAGGAATGAAAAATAGAGAAAAGACATGAAATCCGGAGATGAGTGTCATATGTGAGGAAAAGCAAGTCAGCGCAGTTAACTGGATCATAGGGGGCAGGGAAAGAATTAAAGTATGAGAACTGGAAAGGTAGAAAAGGGCCAGGATGTGAAAGCTTTAAAAAGCAGAGATATTCTCCCTGATCCTGAAGGGAACAGAGAGCCACTAGAGTTTACTATGTAAAGAAGAGGGAAGAGAAGGGAGCTCAGTAATTGGTCAGACCTGGTCTTTAGAAAAATCACTTTCCCAGCTGAGTGGATTGGAATGGAGAAAGAACTGAGGCAGACACCAAAGAGAAGGATAATGCAGTAGCCTAGGTGAGAAGTGATGAGGACCTTCATCAAACTACATGTTGAGAGGGGATTTCAAGGTAGAAATGGTAAAATTTGACAACATGTTAGATATACGGTGCGAGGGTAAGCGAAGTGATAAGGATGACACTGAGGTTATGAGCCTCAGTGACTGAGAGGATGGTGGTCTCCTCCACACTATTAGGAAAGTTGGGAAGAGTGAGTTTGAGGGGGAAATATATGAGTTCTGTTTCAGACATGTTTAGTTTGAGAAGCTGGGAAATATCTAGTCCCAGATATCCAAAAGGCAGCTAAGATATCTAGATCAGGGAACCATACGCATAGAGATGATAAACGATATTATGTGAGGTGATCAAATTACCAAGCAAGATGGTAGAGAAGGAGAAAAAGACACAGGACAGACCTTGGGGGACCACTCACAACGAGGAATTTGGATGAACAGCCAACAAAAGAAACTAAGGAGAGACCAAATAGGTATAGGAAGAAAACCAGAAAAGAATAATGTCCTGAAAACCTGAAAAGGAGATAGTACCCAGAAGAGAGGAACTGACAGTGTCAAAAGCTTTGTATCAAAGATCAAGAAGAGTAAGTATTGGGAAGGTCATCCGATTTGGCAATTAAGAGGTAACTGGTAACTTTGGAGAGAGCAGTGTCAGTTGGATGATGAAGTCAGAAGCCTGACTGCACTTAGAAGTGAGAGGAGAGGAAGAGGAGGCAGTCAGGGTCAACAGCTTTCTCAAGCATTTAGCTGTGAAGGAGACAAAAGAAACAAAAATAACAGCCAGAGGGGATAGTCAGATCAAGTCTTTTAAGGACAGCAGAAGCAGTGGACAGCAGGGGGTGGGGTATATACTTCAGAAGCTAAAGGTTCAGAATCACTTGGGTGGAAAGAGTATTGGAGAGTCGGGGTGGAGGGCTGCATGCTAACCACTGAGTAGAGAGCCGAGGCATGGTAAAAGTGACTGGAGAGATTCACTGAGGGATGCTGGTGATTAATTTGTTCAAAGTTCTCCTTTAAGATCCAACCTTCTGGTTAGTGGTGATACATCCTGGAATACCTGCCTCAGAGCAGTAGGAAGTAGACAGAGGAATAGCCTAAGGGTATCTGATAGGGAGGTAAGAGACAGCAGTGTGAGATAGGTTAGCTAAAGAAGTAAAAATGGAAGCCTGGAAACTGGTAGGAAAAGGCAAGCCACTGAAGGATTCTTAGTGGAAAGTGTATAATGATAACATAATAGCTGCCATTTATATAGAACTTTGAAGGTTTACAACATGTTTTACATATGTTAACTCACTGGATCCTCACAACAACCCTATGAGGTAAGTGCTATTATCACTCCCATTTTACAGAGGCACAGAGAGGTTAAGTGACAAGTGTCTGAGGCAAAAATGACATGATCAAAGTGGTACATCAGGAAGATTACTGGGGCAGCAGTCTGTTTTGTTTTTTGTTTTTTTTTGGCTAGGCAATGGGGTTAAGTGACTTGCCCCATTAAGTGTTATGTGTCTGAGGCTGGATTTGAACTCGGGTCCTCCTGAATCCAGGGCCAGTGCTCTATCCACTGTGCCACCGAGCTGCCCCTGGGGCAGCAGTCTGGAAAATGGTTTGCATAGAGGAATTTCAGGAGGCAAGGAGACCAGTATAAAACTCTTATAATAGTCTAAGTATGGAAAGGTGAGATTCACAACAAGGGTTGTTGTAGAAACATTTAAAGGGGGGAGGGGGGAAATGGAAGAAGAGATTTGAGAGATATTACAGGGATAAAACTAACAAGTTGGCAACAGACTGGCTGTATCTGTATCTCAGTAGAAGGAGAAATCAAAGATGATGCCAATATTATAAGCCTGGATGCTTGGGACAATGCTGGTGCCACCAAGAAAAGTACAGAAGGTAGGGGGAGGCAGGGACAAGTTTTTTTCAATTCAGTTTCAGACATGCTGAGTTTGAGGTACTAGGTGAAGAAAAAATGGCAGGCTGCAACTGGAGTCCTGGAGAAAGATTAGGGCCTGGATGACCAAAAGATATACAGTCTGAATTAATCTGCATAAAAACGGTAACTGGAGTAATGAGATGAGCTCACCAAAGGAGAGTGACAAAGAAAAGTCTGAAGACAAAACACCAGAAGATATCCTTGTACAGACAATGGGCGCAGGGTGAGGAGCTAACAAAGAAAAAAGATGGTGGTCAATGAGGAAGAAAATAAAAATGAAGTGGGTGATTCATTAGTAACTGTGGATAAAGTACCTTCAGTAGTGGTGAGGAGAAAAGTTCTTTTGCAAGAAGCAGCAGCAAGTATAGACTATTTTATATATCTCCGTGTATATCTGTATCTTAAAATTTGGTGGTAAAAGAGAATAAAAAGATGAAGTTATGATATGAAGAAATGGCAAGGTTAATGAAAGGCTTCTGGGATATTTTTTGTCTGTTTTAAGAATGCAGTATATCTAAATAAGGATGCAGGCTGAGAAAAAATAAGGCATTCATTTCAGAGGGAAAGAATGACTATTATGAGAAAGGCAGGAGATAGTTGATGGAACAGAGTGAATAAGAAGACAGAAGGAAGGATTGGGATCAAGGGTACATGGAGGAAGGGTTATACTTTTCAGAAGAGCTTCAGAGTAGTACAAAAAGGGAGCTGAAAAAAACGAAACTGAACAATCTCCATCTTCTTTGCAACAAGGAAGGTAAGGTCATCTGTTTAAAGTGATGAGACAGAGGAAAGAGTTGGGATTTGAGAAGAAAAGAGAACATTTAGAGTAACTGTGAGAAATATGATATAAAATCAATGATAGATAAATAATGAGAATGATGTGCAACAGTGAGGGTTTGAGGAAGAACAGAGAATCCAGAAGAGACTGGAAAGACTATCTAGTTCAATATGTGCATTTTACAGACAAGGAAATAAAAGGTATTGCTAGTATGACGATAAGTGGACTTAATCAGCACTATTTCCTCCAAGAATATCTGGTAGCTTGGAATTAATAATGAAGGAGGTAGACTTCCAAATTCTGCTAAATGCTTAATTTTGTTTATGTACTTATGTGATAAATAAAAATACACTTAACAGAAGTAAAAGTAGTTGTGAATTTTACCTTGGGATCCAGCTTAGAAAAGGAACTCGGTTTGCCTCCCCAAATGTTTATTTCCATGATATTTTCAAAGTCTTCTTTCATGAGATGGTATGTATCCATGAGTTCAACCACATTCTGTACACCTTCTGTCCCATGTAATGTCAAGGGAAGAACAAGTGCATCCCGCATGTGTGAAAGGTAATCCAAGTTGACAGTCCTTTTGCTGGAGTGAGTTCTTTACCAAAAGAAAGAAAGCATATTGAATAGGTCAGTTTTACAAAATCATCAACATAAGTTTACAACTTTATTTATAACATACATTTATTTATGTTATAAATATATTTATTTATTCATTCATTTATTTATTTATAACATAAATGATCAACTGTACTAATCAGACAGTGTTTCAATTCAACCCCAATAAAATTTTAGTCTCAACCACAGGTTGTGTTTATGTAAAGAAGCTTTGTGTTACAACAAAGATTTCAAGTTTCTGGCTCTAACTAGTTATGAAAATGATTACAAATATAGTCATGGTACCCAGAAAAACTTGCTTAAATAAAGAGATGAACTAAAGGGATGGCTTTTGCTCCCACCCCTGTCCCACTTTCAAGGCTACGGCAGCAACAGTGGATTTCTAAATTTCAAAAAGAGAGATTATGTTTTGGTGTCTTATGGTACCTACTATAGCCAAGAACACTCGCTTCCCAAACTCCAAAAATATAAAAATCAGAGCTATCACCTATAATTCTCTTTTCCAGCTGTCACTTCTACTATAAATATCTGACATTTCATGGTTTCTGACTTTGGGTCAGAAAGCCCTTATGGAGTTACGGCTCTAAAATTTTTAGGCTGGGAAGCAGGATTTCCCTTGGATGACAGAAGACATCTTTGAACAAACAGAAAGTACTTGAACTGACTTGGTGACGGCAGCAGGGAATGCAATCAAATTAACATTTATTTGTTAAAACCTGGAAAGTTACCATGGCCTTAAAAACAGTATGTGACCTGAATCAAGTCTTCTCATCAAGCCATCGTCATACTATCTCCTTTACCCTAACAGCCCTTTCCTCCCAGTATATAGGGAAATGAGAAAATATTATTTCAAATGTCTTTACATCCTAATTCATCTTCTGCACTTCTAGTTCTAGCCCAAATTATGCAATTATCTAAGTTTGACATTTATGTTTTTATGATTTTTCATCTATCCATCCTCTCATTCGACAAACCTTTACTGAGTACCTACTGTGTGAAGGATTCTATTCTGGGAGTTAATAAAAAGATCTCAAAGGCAACTTTTTGTCAGACTACAACACAACACTGTAAATTTAGAGAGGTTTCATAGAATAGAGCTGCAAGGGCCCTTAATGTATTAAAGAGCCAAGGCCTCCAGTAAAGATGGAGATTTTGTGCCTTCAATAGTAAATTTTATTACATAGTTAGTCAAGTAGCTCTTCTTTATGTCTAATCAAAACCTCTCTTACTTTATTTTGCTCCTGTTTCCTCTCTTGGTTTAATCTTTCATACTGTCCATATTAATATATGAAGGCAATTCTGATTTATTAAATCACAATATACTTCTAATATTAATATTTTTATATTTTCCATTCATCCATCCATCTATCCATCCATCCATCCAAGGGAAGAATTCTTCCCTTCCAAATTTTTATATTTTCTTCCCTGCATCATGTTCAAAGGAAGAACTGTAAACTATTAACAACCACATTAAAGAATGCTCCAAATCACTAAGGAGAGTAATGCAAATCAAAACAACCCTGAAGTTTCATCTCACACTTTGCCAATTTGCAAAGACAACAAAAATATGGGAATAGTCCACGTTGGAGAGGTTGTGGGAAGATAGGCACACTCTTACATTGCCTAAGTTGTGAATCGGTACAATCTCTTTGGAAAACAACACGGAAAAATGCAAATAAAATGACTAAAATGTCCACTGACTTTTACCCAGACAATCTATTACTAGGCTTATATCCCAAGGAGGACAGTGATAAGAAAGTACAAAGACACAACAAAATATTTATAGCAGCACTGTTTGTGATAGGGAAGAATAGGAAACTAAGTCATTACCCATCGACTGAGGAATGATAAACCAATTATGGTACATAATGTAATGGAATAGTATTTCACTATAACAAATGACAACTGTGATGAATACAGAGAAACATGGAAAAAGCTACATGAATTGATGGAGAGTGAAATAAACATAGCCAAGAAAACAATATACACAATGACCAAAAAATATAAATAAAAAGATCAAAATACAAAAACAAACAAACAAAAAAAACAAACTAAGCGAATGTTGCAAAATTATAAAGAATATGAAAGGCCAAAAAAAAGGAGATAAAGGAGAAGATACTCATCCCTTTGAAAAGGTGGGAAATACATAAGTGTTGCACAATGCATGTATTTTCAGACTTTTCTGATGTACTAATCCGTTATGTTGATTTTTTCCTTTTTTTTTTTAACTATCTTAAAAATGTTACTTTTATATGGCATGGCTGTCTGGGATAGAAAAGGGAAAAGATACTGGGGAAACGAGAATAATGTTAAAAAAAAAATCAATCAAAATTTTTTTTTAAAGATTGGTAGCATCATAGAAATTTAGAGCCATAGATGTCATCCTGTCTAGCCCTTTTATTTCACAGTGAAGAAACTGAGAACCAGAGAACTAAATTACTTGCCCAAGTACACACAGCTTTTGTTCTTTTAAAAGTACAGAAGCTGGGGCAGCTAGGTGGCACAGTGGATAGAGCTCTGGCCTTGGAGTCAGGAGGACCTGAGTTTAAATCCGACCTCAGACACTTGAAACTTACAAGCTGTGTGACCCTGGACAAGTCACTTAACCCTGACTGACTCACCAAAAAGCCAAAACAAAACAAAACAAAAAGTACAGAAGTTAACAGGTGTTGATAATGATATACCGGTGTTTGCTGTGAACCCATGAAAGGGTTCCATTAACCTAAATAAAGTGTATGGGGAAATGTTGACCTAGAAGAATTTGCTAAAAGAGAAATGAGACAGGAAAAAAGTACCAGAACTGAGAAATCAATCAACATGCATTTATTAAGCACTTCTATGTTTCAGGCACTATATTAAGCACTAGAGATACAAAGAAAGTAAAAAAGCACTGCCCCTGTTCTCAAGAAGCTCATATTCTAATAAGGGAAACAAGGTGCCAAAAAAACTATATGCATACAAGATATAAACAGTATGAATGAAAGTAATCTCAGAGGGCAGGCAGGTTTGACCCCAACTAGTCTCTTTAAGAAGTTGGAAATTGAATTGAATCTTGAGGGAAGCCAGGAGGTAGTAAAGAAGGGAAGGCGTTCTAGAAACCACCAATGAAAAGCACAGAGTTAGGATATGGAGTGTTGCATGTAAGGAAAAGAAAGAAGGCCAACATACCTGGTTTGTAGAATACACAGAAAGAAGGAAAGACTGAAAAAGTAGGAAGGGGTCGGGCCGTGAAAGGCTTTAAATGACAGGACTTTATATTTAGTAGGCAGCCATTGGAGGATAGTGTATTGAGGGGCAGAGGGTTAGAAAGTTACATGATCAGACTTAAACTTTGGAAAAGTCATTTTGGCAGCTAAGAAGAAGATGAAATGGAGAAAGGAGAAGCTTGAAGCAAGGTGACCAATTAGAAGGAATGCTGCAATAGCCTAGGCAAAAGGTGATGAGGGTCTCTGCTACAGTGGTGGCCTTGTAAGTGGAGAGAGGAAGATTTATAAGAAAACGGAGCTCTCAAATGGCCACAGTTTTGTTTTGTTTTTGGAGAAGTGGGAGAAGTAATAAAGGAGGGCATGCACAAAGAGGGAAGAGGCAAATCTGAAAAAGTCCAAGAAACTGATGCAAATAAGGAGTTAAAATGAGAAATCCAATACCGAGTAGCAAGATGACACAACTGAGATGGTGAACCCAATAAAGGTGTAGGGCTAAAGCACTTTAGCTCAGCACAGAAAAACTATAAACAGGTGGAAGAACAGACTATCTAGGATATGAAAGACAAAGAAAACAGGTTACATGGAACAAATTAGAAAGAAAGGGGAGACTGGGGAGCCAGTTTCCTCTAGAAAAAGAGTGGAAAAACTGGATTTCCTGTGAACAGGGCAAAGTGAGTTCTGATGAAGTGGGTGATAATTTCAAATCAATTTCAATCAGAAGCCAGAAATAGGTCTGGGTTTCAAAATATAGTTTGAGCTAGTCAGAGTCAGAAGGGAGTTTTTTAGGGTAGGCTCAGCTTCCTCTCAATGTTTAAGTTAAAGTCTCAATGTATTTCCATTACACACACACACACACACACACACACACACACACACACACACATTCTAAACCTTTAACCTTAATGAAAAAACAATATACTAATGCCTTCCTTGTGCCTATTCTCTAGAAACACTCATTTCCAGTCATCTGAGTAATTTCTCTCTAACTAATGCCCTCCTAAAAACAGCTGTTTTCTATAAGACAGAAAGACATATTCAAGCACGTTAAAAATTATAAAGTATCCTAGGAACCCTAAGACATCATTACTACTTCTTAGTAATAAGTTAAATGTCTCTGAAGCCTTGTTTGCACAAGTCTCATGAACTTAACTGAATAGGATGTGTGTATACGTACAAAACAGAATATATGTATACATGTAAACATCTTATCTCCCCTGCAAACATAGTAATGTCCTTTGGGAAAGAATTTTTACAACCAGTGTCTCTAATAAGGGCCTCATTTGTAAAATATATAGAGAATTAAGTCAAATTTATAAGAATATAAGTCATTCCTCAATTGCTAAATGGTCAAAGGATATGAACAGGCAGTTCTCAGATGAAGAAATTAAAGCCATCTATAGTCATATGAAAAAATGCTCTAAATTACTACTGATTAGAGAAATGCAAATCAAAACAACTCTGAGGTACCACATCACACCTATCAGATTGGCCAACATGACAGAACAGGAAAATGATAATTGTTGGAGAAGATGTGGGAAAATTGGAACACTAAGGCACTGTTGATGAGTTGTAAAATGATCCAACCATTTTGGAGAGCAATTTGGAACTATGCCCAAAGGGCTATAAAAATGTGCATACCCTTTGATCCAGCAACAGCACTTCGAGGGTTGTATCCCAAAGAGATCATACAAATGGGAAAAGGACCCACATGTACAAAAATATTTATAGCAGCTCTTTTTGGGGTGGCAAAGAATGGGAAATTGAGAGGATGCCCATCAACTGGGGGATGGCTGAACAAGTTGTGGTATATGAATGTAATGGAATATTATTGTGCTATAAGAAATGATGAACAGGCAGACTTCAGAAAAACCTGGAAAGACTTGTATGGTCTGATGCTGAGTGAGGTGAGCAGAATCAGAAGAACGTTGTACACAATAACAGCCACGCTGTACAATGACTAATATTGACAGACTTAACCCTTCTCAGCAATACAAGGATCTAAGACATCTCCAAAGGCGTCATGATGGAAAATGCTATCCACATCCAAAGAAAGAACTATGGAGTTTGAATGCACATCGAAGCATACTATTTGCTATTTTTTTCTTCTGTCGTGTTTTGTTTCCTCTTTCTCATGGTTCCTCCTATTGGTTCTAATTCTTCCTTACAACATCACTAATGTGAAAATATGTTTAATAGGAATGTATATGTATAGCCTATATCAGATTACGTGCCATCTTGGGGAGGAAGGTAGGAGAGAAGGAGAGAAAAATTTAAAACTCAAAAGCTTATGGAAGTGATTGTTGATAAATCAAAATAAGTTAATTTTTTTAAAAAAAGATAGTAATGTCCTATTCATGTTTATCTGTTATAGTACCTAGCAATGTGCTTTTCATACAGAATAAGTATTTATTGATACTATTATTATTATTAGTATTTATCGAATAAATGACCTGAAACTAAATAGTACTACAGTATTTATAACAGCATCTCAAATTTACATATTGCTTTGAACTTTGTCCGGAATGCTCATTTTATTCAACTCAATATCCCCAGCCTCAAAAATGTAATAAGGGTAGGTGCTATCATTCCCATTTTAAAAATAATTTAACTGAAGCTGAGAAAAGTGAGGTGAATTGCCAAGGTCATCTTTAGGTTGGTGGCTAAAAATTCAGATCTTTTGCATTCTAGGCTGGCATTTGTTATTATGCCATGCTGTCCAATAAAAGGGCAAACATTCCATACCAATAAAACTCCAAAGTGGAATGATTATACTTACTCAAGACTCATGTGTAACGCTAATTCTTGAACAATGCGATCATGTTTGCCTGTAGATGACAATTTACCCAACCAACTTGGGAAAGAAGGAAACTGAGTCATGTAACCTCTCATCAACTCTCCAGGAAGAACACTAGAGTAAATGGCCTGAAAAGTCAAGCAAAGAATATTAGTTCAAATGAAACAGAATTCCAAATGTGCTGCACTTATGTATGAGAGTAAAAAGATAAGAATTTCTTTCCTTTAACAAGAACCTAATTTGTTAAACTGACATCCACAATATAAAACAGAAAAACAAAAGTTTAACTTCAATCCCAAAAGATAATTAACTTTCTACTATTTGAACAGATACAAAGTCTACTGAATCATCAACCCTAATAGAGAAAAGTATTGGCAAAGGTAATCTAAACAAGAGATTTGGATTTGAGATGTGTGATGGGATTTCTTAGGCAGCCAATGTACTTTCTTAATTATGGTTTGTTAGAATTAGTCTTTATTCATAACCTGCACTGAGTAATAGTCAGAAGACAAACCAAGTAATCAAAAGTTGATCACAGATTATAAGCTCATAGAGGATAGAATAATATTTATTAACATAAGTACCACATCTAATATAAACAGACCTTTAATAAATAATTTCTGATAATAAGGAAGTAGGAAGACTATGATGTCCTTTTCATGACTTTAGTGTTTACTTATTAGTTAAGAAAAAACACTGTAGTCAGACCACATTAAACCTACAGGTAAGACATCAATGGTTCAACAGAAAGAGGGGGGCAGCTAGGTGGTACAGTGGATAGAGCTCTGGCCTTGGAGTCAGGAGGACCTGAGTTCAAATCCAGCCTCAGACACTCGACACTTACTAGCTGTGTGACCCTGGGCAAGTCACTTAACCCCAATTGCCTCACCAAAAAGCAAAACAAAACAAAATAGAAAGAGTATAGATTATAGCAGAGGTTCTTAACCTTTTTTGTGTCATGGACCTCTTCGTCAGGTTGGTGAGGTCCATGGTGCCCTTCTCAGAATCATGTTTTTAAATGTATTAAATAAAATATGTAAGATTACAAAGGAAACCAATTATATTAAAATAAAGATGTAATAATTTTTTTCTCCTTAGACATGGAACCCAGGTTAATCCTTAACCCAGTTAAGATTATAAGCTTATAGATTTTTGAGCAGGGCTTTTAAAGAACACTAAGCCCAACCCTCTGAGCCCTACTTGCGCAGGGTACAGAGCTGGTAAATGTCTCAGACAAAATTCAAGTTGAGGTCTTCCCAACTGGAAAATTAGTAATCTATCCACTACATCATGCTCTCATAGAACTTGGAATCAAGAGAAAAAGTTCTATGAGAGTATTTCAAATGCCACCTCCAGCAGTCTCTAGCTATGTAACCAAGAATAATCTATTTATGTTCTCTAAGGCTTAGTACACTTATCTATAAAGTAGAGACAAGCAGTTATGAGACTCAAATGTGAAAATGTATGCCAAGTTATTATCACAGATTTAAGTGCTTTATAAATGTCAAGTTACTGTTATTGTTATCATTAAATTACTAAAGACAATAAGTACATTCATATTCACTGGGCTAACTGCTACTACCAGTGTCATGCTAAATGGTACAAGGCTGCTTTTTGGCATATTCTTATCTCTTTGTGTCCCCTTCTCCTACACCCTTGGATGCCTAGTGTCCTGATGCTAGCCAAAACTATCCCAGTAGGATACCCAACACAGATTTGCCTTCCCCTAATGCAACCCAAACTCCTATTTCTTCAATGGAGCCCTCTTAGATAAGAGGAAGATATCAATATGATCAAAGTAATTCACGTTAAGGTGTAAATGACTAATAGGTTTAACCAAGAGGCAGCATAGTACAGTGGAAAGAGTATTATTATTTGGAGCATAGAATTCTGACTCTACCAACTCCTACCTGAAATAAGTCATTTAGTTACCTGGACCTTAGTTTCCTTATCTGTAAAAGGAATGCAATGTCTTTTTTTTTTTTCCAGAAAGTGTCATGTTGCATTCTTTACTCAAAAGGAAAATCAAGCTATATATATTAGAAGTTGTTTCATGTTTCTGTTTTGTGGCATACACAAAATGTTCGTTTTATTTAATGTTTGTGAATTTCAAAATTAAAAAAGATCAAATATTGATGATTTCCTTTTTCACCCATTCTGAGGGCATGATAAGAAATGACAAAATTGTCTTAATATGACTCCTCTTATTATTAATGCTTTGGAACATGTTTTCATGTGTCATTTATGGTTGTCAGGACTTAGGGAAATTTCCTATCCTATTAACACTCATCTATTGGCAATGACTCTTGCTACACATGAGTGTCAGTTCTCTCCATACTTGGATATAAATGGCATTTCTTGGTCATTTTTCATGTAATATTTTATATATTCTGCACTCTATAATTTGTCTTCTAATTTGAGCTTCATTTATTTTATTCAAACATTTAAATTTTATGTAGTTAGAATTATGTTTTTTTAAAATCACCATCTCAAATGAAGAACTGTCCTAGTCACAGTTGTGCAAAGTACCCAAGTGTATTTTCTTCTGTTTCATTTTAATGATTTTTTTAATAAAAATTCCCTCCACCTCTCCCACCCACCTCAAAATGAGAAAGAAAGGAAAACAAAACCCCCGTTACAAACATGTATAATCAAGGACAACATTCCCGCATTGTCCATGTCTAAAAAAACATGTCTTGCTCTGCACTCTGAGTTCTTCATCTCTTATCAGGAGGTGGGTAGCACATACGATCATTTATCCTCTGGAGTTGTAGTTTGTCGTTGTGTTAATCAGAGTTCTTAAGTCAGAGGGTGATCTTTTTTGTTTGTTTGTAACAATATTTTTGTTATTATATAAATTGTTCTGCTGGTTCTGCTCACCATATTTTCTATCGGTTCATACAAGTCTTCCTAGGTTTCCGTAAAACCATCCCCTTCATGTTTTCTTAAAACAGTTATTCATAGCCCATCAAATTCAAATACCCTCACGTGTTCAGCCATTCCCCAATTGATGGGCATCCCCTCAATTTCTAATTCTTCACCACAGTGAAGAGATACAAATGTTTTTGAACACTCTTTGATTTGTTATGATTAAGAATAATTCCTCCCTTAATCTACCCTCTCTTATCTTCACCTCTACCTTTTCCCTTCTATTTCCCTTTTTAGTGAAATGTATTTATGTGCCCAAATATCGCTCTCTCTGTACACGTGTGTCTTCTTTCTGACTCTGATCAATTTAGATGACAGTGAGGTTCAAATGTCAGATAGGAATGCAGTATCTTCTAAGGTCCCTTGCAGATTTAAATCATAACCCTGAAGTCCGCTCTAAAAGTACTTTCATTTTAAAAGAGGAGTTTACTAACAAGGCCCAAATGAAATCTCTCATTGGTCACTGTGTGTGGTTGAGTGTGACCACGTAGGGCCTTTTTATTCCAGGTCTCAATAACACGACTACTACACAAATCAACAACTAAGCATTTCATTCCTAAAAAGTTGCTAATCCATTGCTTTAAGTAAAATAATCAACCAGAATACCTCAACTTCACTCATGTGGGTATTCCATCCACAGATTTGAACCTTTATACATTTTCATGAGATGGTCATTTTTTAGGAGTAGGTTTTAGTTTTCTAGGGTTTACTTACAAAAATTAACAACTTCACAAATAATACAGCAGGGGAATGTGATTAGACCTGTGAAGAACTAGAACAGGGGCCCTATGCCCCAAGATAAGTTGCTAAGTTAAAAAAAAAAAAAAATCACTGAGTGACCAACCCTCTAGTGATAAGATCAACTTAAATAAATTACTATCATTTTTTTTAAAGCTGTTACTTTAAATGGCAAAAAGGGGAAAAAATCTCAAAATCTTCCTGTGTACCTATCTTAAAACAGTGCTACAATTCTTAAAGAAGAGACCATTTACAACTATGGCACTATCAGAAAAAGTCAAGGAAAGGTTATCTGGCTCAGTTCCTTGTTTCCAAGAAGTTGAGAATCTAATCAGAAGTGTATTCTCAAGGCAGTAAGCTAAATGAAACCTTTTACTCATATCTGAGTCACAATCAGAACCTATTCTTAACCGTTCCTTTTGTCTATGCTCAGAATAATACAGAACAAAAACAAGGTCCAAAGTACTTTCGGAAGATGGTACGGTACAGGGGTGGGGACCCTACAACCTTGAGGCCACATGTGGTCCTCTAGGTCCTCAAGTGTGGCCCTATGACTGAACCCAAACTTCACAGAATAAATGCTTTTATTAAGGAACCATTGAAAATAAAGTGTTTTAGGTTTTGGCAAACCATGGCCTAGATAAATATGGTCCAAAAAACCCTATATGATCCATAAAGCTTATCTGACATTCTCAACACTTGTAGCATCGAAAAGCTGCTAGTTACCATCTTTGCTGAACACCTTACATGCATTTTAAGGACAGCCACACACCTACCTGCGTTGGCAGAAGGCTCCAGTTTTGCTTACTTCGAATTTGTCTATCAACTAAGTCACCATCACATATACTATCTGCTGCTCTGCTCAAAAGCATCAAATGTTTTTTCATATCCCCTCTGCAGGAAAGAACAAATTTCCATTACTATGAATACCCCCTAAAAGTGAGACCCTTCACAGGCTATGGGCCCTTGAAAGGTACTGTGCATGTAAACAATTCCATCTTTCCTGTTACTTTGAAATACTGACCCGGCAGCAGCAGGTTTTACATGTAAGTAGTTTTCCTGGACAAAAAGAGGTGCTATGGAATAATCGTGGAAGAAGAGATCAGATTTGTCCATAAGCGACATATGAGCAGTCTCTTCCCCAGCAGCAAACACTTTCCGGGCAACATCAAATGGACCCTATAACACAAGAATACTGTTACATATTTTATCAAATCATTTCAACTGATGATGAGCTAAAATAAACTGCAAAAAAGGTAAGAATTTAAATCACCTAGGATAGATCACTCTGGCCCCAATGCAAATCACTTATAAGATTAAGTACGCATAAAAGATCCTAGAATAATACGATACTTCAAAATTCATGCCTGCTCAACAATTTACCATATTAAGGGCAGCTAGGTGGCACAGTGGATAAAGCTCTGGCCTTGGAGTCAGGAGGACCTGAGTTCAAATCCAGCCTCAGACACTTGACACTTACTAGCTGTGTAACACTGGGCAAGTCACTTAATCCCGACTGCCTCACCAAAAAGCAAAAAAACAAACAAACAAACAAAAAAACAAAACAACCATTGTACTATATTTAATCTTTAGCCCTTGAAAATTATTTGTATTGTAATTCTGAAACTCTTTGGTAGCTTCTTTATGATTAATATTGTCATCGTTTTCCTAGCTTCCCTCCACCCACAAGATCAGTGAATTCATCAAATAAACATAATCCCTAAACTTCTTCCATTATTTCTACTATTTATTAGAAGGGAGAAACACTGCCAAGTCAAAAAGCAGCTAAGAAACGTAATTTTCTCTTACCAGTTTGATATCCTTTTTGGCCCTGTTGGAATCAGCTTTAGCTTGGTCATAGGTTAGGGCTTTGCTTTCTGCACACCACATGCTAAGATTATGCAAAACCTAAAATTCACAAACAAGGCAAGTGATTGGCAAAAGGGAAAATACACCCTTAAAAGGGCAATGACCACAACAGAGAAAATTATTAATAGTGTTATATTATAAGATTTGCAGCATAAAAATATAACATACCTGTCGAATATCATGATTTGCTCCCAGAATAATTTCATTCATAGCTGAGGGAGGAATCTTTAAACCCTCTTTATAAGCAACGGACATCATAGCACCCTGAAAATGATATACAAAAAAAAAACCCTCAAAAATGCAACAACAAAAATCTTTGACTAATCAAATACTTGAAAAAGAAACAATTTTTGTACCTTAATCTGTTCGACCCGAGGTCTCTGAAACCGAAGATCAAAGCAATAATGTACTAAGGAACGAATTTTCGGATGATTTCGGTCATTACACATACAAATAATGGGTATTTTTGTGTGTTTGATCAGGCCAATTAGTTCCTGAAAAACAAATATGCAACATCAAAATCATCAAAGAAGAATCACAGTTGCAAAAGGGGAAAAAAAAGCCAAGTTTTTACACTATTGCATTAAAAAACAATGTCCAAATTCACAACAATTTTCTTCTATTAGAATAAAAAAACTTTAATCATTACAACTCTCACAGCTAAGCAGTGACAATTTGTTTTGTTCCATTGTTTTCAGTTCTGTTTGACTCTGTGTGACTACACTTAGGGTTTTCTTGGCAAAGATACTGGAATAGTTTGGCATTTCTTTCTCCAGCTCATTTTAAAGATGAGGAACTAAGGCAAACATGCTTAAGTGACTTGCCCAGGGTCACCCATCTTACTCGTGTATGAGACCAGATTTGAAATCAAGAAGATGAGTCTTCCTGACTTCAGACCTGGCATTATATCCATTGTGCTATCTAGCTGACCCTAGCAATGAAAAATGGAAGAGAAAAAAACAAAACAAACAAACAAAAAAAAAAGAAACACAACGCAACTTGCTCTTTAAACATGTATGTTTAAATGAACAGACTGAAAACATGTGAGGATTCTATTACCTGAATTCCTCCCCTATCTTCAGTGCCTGCCATTCCATCTACCTCATCCATGATCAGAGCATGTTTTGTGCCTCCTGAAGGAGCCGCACCTGATCCGTAGTGACAAGAAATAACAAAATTGGAGAAATAGACAAAATATACAAAAGGCGATAAAATCTAATTACTAAAAAACTTTGAAAAAACTGCTAATTAGTAATGGAAGTTACAAGATCTCAATTGAATATAATGAACTCTACTACCCTAACCATGCATGTTTAACTCCTAGTTTGGGCATCTTGATTTCTATTATAATGTCTCTTTTTCTTTGCTTCTTTTGTAGAACTACTTCCAAGATCCCTTCTAAATACACAGAAGGTTTCTGAGGCTACCACTTTCATCTCCCCATTTGCAAAACACAGACCTTTCACACCTCAATCAGAACACATTTCCTGCAAAGTACAACAGCAAATAACAAGAAACAGGGCTCAGTTACCACAGGGATCACATCTTTGTTATATTTATGTCTGAACATTGATCAATGTTTCATGCAATTGCTTATTTTTTTTTGAATTGATATTTCCCTTTTACTATTCATCCCAAGTTTCTAAAATCTAGTTTTTAAATGCCTATTAAAAATAAGTCCAAAAAAAAAACCCCAAAAACCATTAAGTCCAAGAGGCACATACCTGTATAGAAGTCTTCGATGCTGGTGTTATTCAGTGACTCAGCAACAATATCTTTCAAACTGCTTTTATTCCGGGTGTCACTTGCATTCAGTTCCACATAACTATACCCCAATTCCTAATTAAAATAAAAGAAACCACCATAATTACAAAACTAAATAAAAAATTTGACATAAGCAAAAAGTGGGTAAAAAAGATTACGTTTTAAAAACTTTTAGTTTCAGATTATCTTCATATAACTAACACGTACGCTTCATGCAATAGTACACACTAAAGTACTACACTGATGTCTCACTCTAGCATAGGGGTAGGTTTTCAAATACAAGGCCAGAAAGAAAACTCTGACTGGTCCAACATCAACCTGGAAAGGCCGAGCAACAAGCTGAATCTGTCATTTGAACAGCATCCTACCTAAATTCAAAAGTTAGCTACTCAGTAAGTGATTATATTTGGCTACTGCCAACTCACAAAAGATGTCTAATGAAACCTGGATGGGTTGGAATGTGCCTAAACGGAAGGAGTATGAAAACCTGGTGAAATCTCCAATCTTTTAAGTATTAAAATAACAAGTTTAGTTTTTAAAATACATGCCTCCTACGGAGGATATTTATAATACCTTGGTATTTCCAGAGGGTTTGCTTTTAAATTAAAAGATCAGTATAAGACATCGAAATGTTGCAGATTTGATGGTGAAAACATATAAAGAGTGCATCTGACCACCTTTATTGAGTGTGGCTCATAAAACACCTAAGAATTAAGCATGCTAACCTCATGATTCACAAGCACAAAAACAATCAATTTATCTAAAACTACACCACAAGTGAAAAGTATTTCTAGCCTTTATCAAATAAACTACCTATGTGGCAAAGAATTAGAAACTGAGAGGATGTCATCAATTGGGGAATGGCTAAGCAAGTTGTGGTATATGAATGTGATGGAATACTATTGTGCTATAAGAAATGATGAACAGGCTGACTTCAGGAAAGACTTGTATGGTCTGATGCTGAGTGAAATGAGCAGAACCAGGAAAATGTTGTACACAGTAACAGCCATGTTGTGCGATGACTAATATTGATAAACTTAACCCTTCCCAGCAATACAAGAATCTAAGACATCTCCAAAGCCCTCGTGATGGAATATGCTATCCACATCCAAAGAAAGAACTATGGAACTTGAATGCAGATCAAAGCATACTATTTGCTATTTTTTTTCTCTTCTGTTGAGCTTTGTTTCCTCTTTCTGGTGGTTCTTCCTATTGGTTCTAATTTTTACTTACAACATCACTAATGTGAAAAAATGTTTAGTAAGAATGTATATGTATAGCCTACATCAGATTGTGCAACATTTTAGGGAGGGTGGTGGGGAGGAAGGGAGAGAAAAATTTTAAACTGAACAGCATATGGAAGTGATCGTTGATACATCAAAATAAATTAATTTAAAAAAAAAATTTTTTAACTACCTATGCACAATAATTATAAATAAAAAATAAATTTTCTTCACTCAAAAGAGTGGAAAGTTATTGTGTCTCACTGATACATTTTTACCAGCTTCTAAAATACTTTAATAAATTTTATCAGCTTTAACAATTCAATTACTGAAAATAAAAGACTCATGATGGAAAATGCTATCCACATCCAGAAAAAGAACTATGGAGTCTGAATGCACTTTGAAGCATACTAGTTGCTCTTTTTTTGGTTTTGTTTCCTCTTTCTTGTGGTCTCTCCCACTGGTTCTAATTCTTTTTTACAGCATGACTAATGTAAAAATATGTTTAATATGAATGTATATGTACAACCTATATCAGACTGCACACCATCTTGGGAAGGGGGAAGGGGAGAGAGGGGGAGGAAATTTAAAACTCAAAATCTTATGGAAGTGAAAATAAAAATAGAGAGCAGGCAAAGAAAGAAGCATATGATGTTTTACAATTCTGAGGTGTAAGGTTTTACTTTGTCAAATCAATATGGGGAAAAAAAAAGGTTTTCCATACTAGTCTATGTTCTTAAGAGGAAAAATCAGGTTGCATAATGGAAAATCAGGCAAAGGGCCTAAAACCTACTTCTTCATTTTTCTATACCTGAATAATGGTTTGGTTTTGTTTGTTGTGCAATATGTATGTATGTGGGAACTCAACGTTTTTGCAGCAGGACAATTCCCCAGTGGTGTGACAGGGATGACTAACAGGAAGAAAAGTACAACAACAAGGAAATAAGGACACAGTCAAAGCAAATCCTACAGGCCTAGTGATTTTTAAAAAAACTATATATATGCCTGGTTTAACCTCCCTCTATATTTACCGAATAGATCCAAATGAGCTGTGACTAACAACCTACCTCACACACTAGGGAAGCTGTAGTTGTTTTGCCAATCCCTGGTGGACCTGACAGCAGTGCTGCTTTAAAACTGGAACCATCATCTTTGCCACCAAATTTACTAACTTTAACTGTCAGGGAAAAAAAATAGTAACATAGTGTTATCCAAACAGACACATAGCTGCTGAGGGTGCATAAAGCCACAGTCAGGGAGTACTTATGTTAATGGTGAAACACTGACTCAGATAATCCCTTTGTATTCTTTTCCCTATGATCACACAAGAGAAGCAAACTAAAAATAATGGATAATTAATAACACACATGAAACCAGTTTGCAAGGTTTAGATGAACGTTTCCCCATGTAAAAAACTGTTAAAAATTTGATGATTAGTTCTTTCAAGGCCTTAACATTTTTAAGCCTTCTCCAGATAACATCATTATAATGATAACTTTTCCAACCTTCAAAATAGGGTTTAAGTCAAATTAATGAGAAAAAAGGTAGAACATAGAGGGAAAACTATAAATCTAGTGTTGTGTCATACTAACTATGTATTTTTGAACTACAAAGATTATCTCATGCCTTGATTCAAATTCTTTTGACCACCCTGATATGACAAAGTAATTTTTCATCCTTGGAACTAATTCACTGTAATTCTTAACTGTTGGTAAAGAAAAACAAAGTCAAAGTAGGCGCCAAGATTCCCACTTTAGGAATATTCAATAATCTCTCCAGAAAGACTGAGACTCTGTGTTCTACCCTTACAGATGAAGAAAATATTGACATTTATTATCTAAAGATTTCAGCACTCTCAATCCAATACCATACTGCTGATTAAGTTTATACTACCAATCTGCATTTTCAAAAGTAAAGCATCCAAGCAAAATGCTGGCTTCTTTATTTGAAGGGCACTTTGGAAAAAAAAAAAAGTAAATTTTCAGAGTTCCTTTAAAAATTGTAATAATGGACACAGATAGCAATTCAAGGCCTGTGCAAAATGAAGTCTATTGTGACATTCTCCTGGAGTATTATTTTTCCTTCTATGTAGAAGGGTAATTTAGCAGTGTAGTACAAAAATCACCAAAGGAAACTGGGGAGGGTAGGAAGCCGAAGGGGAGAGGCGTGAATTTTTTTGGGTGTAGGGAGTGTCAAAGAACCTGGGTTAGAATTCAGGCTCTCCCGTTTACTATCTGAATGACTTAGGCAAGTCACAAAAAGATTCTGAGCCTCAGTTTCCCTACCTGTAAAAGGGGGTAGAGGGGTTGAAGAAGATATAATCTTTAAGGTCCTTTTCAGTTCTAAATCCTATGATCCCCAGAGTGCTGATGGAGAAACATTAACTACAAAGACATGAGGAAATCTGTCAACACACATATCAAGTTAAGCTTTATAATCACCATGTTTCTTATCTTCACACGTGTTCTTGTGCCAGCTGCGGAGCCATCTTAAGAGTTTGTTAGCACAACTCTGGTCACCTTGCTGTCCGATTAGGGTCTTAAGAGAGGTGGGCTTATATTTATCCACCCAAAGCAAACCCTCAGCTTTGTCTTTGCTTTGGTCAGCAACATATTTCTCCAGGTTTAAGACATTTTTCTTCTCCCCATCCACCTGCTTGAAGTCCAGGCCTTTTTGAAATTCACTGGTTTCTGTTCTGATTGATTTCCTGGAACTGTCTTTTTTGGGAGTTAACTTGTTCTTTTTAGATTCAGAGTCCTTCTTATTTGGGCTAGTTTTACTTTTTCCTTGATCAGCTTTTTGTGGTGTTTTCTCCAATTTTGATTTTTCCTTCTTTACCTTAAAATTGGAAAAGACAAAACTTCTAAAAGGAACATGACAAGGCAGACAGAATCCCCATCTTATAATTTATACTTGTAAAAGCAAAGTATCCAACTCATTACTATCTTTAAAGGAAGTTTTCTGTTTCTAGTGAAAACATTTTCAAAATTAGAGAAAATATCTTTTATTAAATGGTATAAAACTGTCAATATGCATATGAAAGCACAAATATGTAATTTTCTTTAAAATTAGAACAAATTAAGTAATCTGAGATTTAAAAGCAAGGATGGCAGAATCTCACATTCATACATGTTCTATCTTCAGTTTTTCTGAGATTTGATCAGGGTAGGATGAGAATATTTTATGCTTTAAAGAAGACTAACTACTCAACCACCTTGCTACCACTTTTCCCTATATCATAAGTCAATTCTCAGAAACCTAAGTATTGGGAAAAAAAAAAAAAGATGGGGGGGCAGGTATGTGAATAAAAAGACTGTAGAACTAAATTCTAGAAAAAAATCATTTTATAACTTTTGTCTTGACTTTCTTAGTATGGGGGCACCCTGCTCACCTTTTGTTAGCTGTAAACTTGCCATTATAAGGAGGAGGTTCACGACACCACACCCAAGCACGATCAAGTTTATATCCGAGCACAGGAAAAGATAAATCCCAGAAATCTGCAGCCAAGAGCAGTGGCCAGAAGAGGCTATCTCCCAGAAGTTACAACAGAACCTAACCTCCCACATAGCCTTGACACTAGCAGAGAAACACGCTGCAGACTACACGCCCAGTAAGGACCATAAGACTAACACACCCAGCAAAGACACAACACCCAGTAGGTGTTCAGTGAGAGAAGCATCACACATTTGTGGTCCTAGAGCATCAGAGACTGAGCTGCTCTTCCACATGGGCCTCAGCCACATGTATTCCTTAGGTGTACGTTGTTCATGCATCATCCTTACATATGCCGAGTTCACAACTGATGCCATGAGTATTTTAGGAAGAGTATACCCCAGGCTTAGGCTTACAGGAGAACATTCAATTTCAACTTCTTACTATGCTATTTCACTAATCCCTTTACTTTGAATTAATGTACTTCTGGCTGACTAAAGAAATATAACACATTGGTGGAAGCTTGTGAGTTAGCTGCGAGTAGATACAAACCCACAAAGTATCTTAAGCCTGGAATATCTATTTTAGGAGGCCCAGTTGTGAGAAGGGAATGTTCAAATGCCATGAGATTTCTGATGAGAGACCACTGTGGCCTGAAGTCATTTGTCAAAACCTCATGTTAGGGGCAGCTAGGTGGCACAGTGGATAGAGAACTGGCCCTGAAGTCAGGAGGACCTGAATTAAATTCCGGCCTCAGACACATAATACTTATTAGCTATGTGACCCTGGGCAAGTCACTTAACCCCACTGCCTCACCAAAAAAAAACCCAAAACCAAACAAACAAAAAAAAAAAACCTCATGTTAAAAATAAAAGTTGAGCCTTGAATTTTAATACTTATACATGTGTTTTTAGGTGTTTTTTCTTTTTTTTGTAGGATGATTCAGTGCTAGGTGAAGGAAACAACATGAGAAAAGCAAGGAAGTACGACAAAAACCCTCCATGTCGCTCTTCCTTTCTTTCTTCAAGTTCCAGCTTTGAATGCATCTGTTTTGTTCCGGTGGGTGGTTTGGGAGTTTGGGAAGGTTCTTTGAGCAGGACAGTTGGGATATTTTAAGTAAAAAAAGTTGAATGGGGGCATTAAGGCAGAATCAAAGAGCTACAAATTATCCCACTACTTCTGAGCTATAATTCTTATTTAATTTTCATAGTTTCATTCATTCATTCAGTATACAGCCCGTTCTACCCTAATCAAAGGGAAGTTTCCCTCTTTTCCCCCACACTCTCTCCTCAGCTCTGCAGAGCAGTCTCAGTGCTTGGAGCAAGGACCCCTGGCAGGACTGCACCTGTACGATGCTGCTGCCACTGCCTGTAGCCAGGTGCTACAGCTGGAGCCTGAGCCCAGGCCCGGAAGCCTGGTTGCCAGGGAGTTGAATTTGAGTGATGTGAATTTATGTAAAGTAAGAACTGTCTATCTATTTATTAAGTGTCTATAATGTGAAACACGCAGTGCTAGTTGCTGGTAACATAAATAGCAGAGATGAGACCAGGTCTTCAAGAAGCTTAAAATCGAACAGAGATAAATATAAGAGCCAAAATGATACTGTAAAGAGAAATTCAGATCTTATGACTCCCAAGCTGATTAGTGTTTTTACTGGGCATGTCATTTAACTTGTCTGGGCCTCCATTTTCAATACTGTAAAATGAGGGGGCTGAGTAAGATGACCTGTAATGCCCCTTCCAGATCTGTGATACTATGATGTAAGTATGAAGAAGCTTTTGTTCAAGAAGCTTTGCATATAGCTCACCCAAGAAAATGAAAAATAAATGGTGACCAGATATAACTCCCTCCTTCGTCCTCAGATGTGGCTTAAAAGATTTGAAAAAATAATCAGACATCCTACCAAATTACACCCAAAAGCAAAAGCCCTTCGGCTTTTTAGGAAATAGGATATGATTACTTTTTGGTGGAAATAGCAGCTATAATTATTATAAACTAGTATGTGATAGTCCAAGAACTTCCTTTATTTGAAAATAGGAAAAATTAACTTAAAAAGGAGTAACAGGTTACTACATACTAACCTCAGCTTCAAATGCTATTTCATATTTGGACTTCTTGCCAGGCAGGGTCCGAATGAGATCTAATAGGCCATCTTCATCAATAATTTTTGTTCCCAAAGCCAAAGCCTTAACAATTAAAAATCAAAATAGAAAAACTTACATCTTTGTCACTGATTTCTGTAAATATTATTCAAGAACCTAATTAAAAAATAAAATAACACAGAAATTATTTAACACAATCTGCATACACACAAATACTCAGATGCCTCATTGAGTAGTAACTACAGAAAACACAAATGCAAAAGTCTCATCATAAAGTAGATAGAAGAAAAAGGGTAAGGTACTGGGAACGCACTGGGTTTGGCTCAAGACGTGGTTCCAACAGTCGAAACACTAGGCAAGGGCCTTCATCTGTCTGAGTCTAAGTTTTCTCATCTGCAAAACGTGGTTCACAGCACTTGTACTACCTCAAGGGCTACAGTGAGGATCAAAGGAAATTATGGATATAACACACTTTGGAAACTGTAAAACACTACACAAATGTAAGCTCTTAGTATTAGTAGTACTCAAAGGGCCACCTTCTAAGGAATACTTTCCCTTCATACCCCAAAAGAGAAGGGCAAAAAACTAAAGGCCAGTTTAAAAGATCTCTCTTATACTCTGCCTTTCTTCTTGTGACCAGTCACTTCTTTCTTATGAACTTTTTTGGGGAGGGCAAAGGGGCGAGTAGCTTGCCATAGGTCTGTCTATGACATGTCATTGCTGTGTAGCACTTCCATTGTGAAAACTCCTACTGATGCAGATAGGTAATTCAACTATAATTTAAAGCCTTGTAAGAGTTGTACCTTAAATAAATAATAAAAATGTGAGTCTACAGTTCCACACAGAACACTTGTGGCTAGAAAAAAAAATTTAAACCTATGACAATTCTGAAAATAAAAGGCTAATCTAACTTTACCAAGTAAATAAGAATAAACCAGATGAGGCAAAAAAAAAAAATCTGAGTAGAAGTCAGCTGGAAAAGATGTCTCTAAGATGGACCAAATAACTTTTCTCTAAGGGAAAAAGTGATAATAATAGAAACTGTGGCATGCAGAAACGACCAATTGTACTCTACTTCATTTTACACCAAACACAACTATACACACCTTGTCACTTTTAGATTGCCCACTATCACGTCCCATAACAAGGTAACTTGTTCTTTTGCTGACATTTCCAGTTACTTTTCCCCCATACCGCTCAATTAGAGACTTGGCTTCATCTCGTTCAATAGATTCCAGAACTCCTGTGATTACAAATGTTAGGCCTTCCAGGCAATTTTCAGCTCCCTGAAAAACAAAATGTTCAGAAGGAAATTAAAGCATTATCAATTACAAGATGTTAATTATTCTCATGTGATGCCCTGCATGGATGGTATGATAGAAATTGCTTCAAACAAGCATAAAACTATTTATTTTTTATACTGGGTAACATTAAAAAATAAACAGTACTATGAAGTCAGCACTGCAATTCAAATATCCATTCCTATTAAAAATATCTGGTGAAGTCATATATTTCACACATTCATTCCCCCATCCCCACCCCAATTAGGATTCTTGAAAGACTAAAACGCAATCAAAAGCAAACACTTCTGAGGAGGGACAGGGTCAAAAGAGAGAATAGAATAAATGGGGGGTAGGATAGGATGAAGAGAAATATACTTAGTTTTTCACAACAGGACTACTATGGAAGTGTTTTGCATGACTACACATCTCTAACCTGTATCGAGATGCTTGCCTTTTCAATGAGGGTGGGTGGGGAGGGTGGAAGGGAGAAAATTTGTAACCCAAAGTTTTAAAAACACATGTTAAAAATAAAAATTTAAAAAAAAAAAAGACTAAAACTACCATTTAACTTTTACAACTAAATAAATCACCGAATGCAAAGGACAGATAGCCTTACAGTCATGTTCAATATAACTCTGCCCGACATTAAGAGAAAAAGATAGTTCTACAAATCTTACCCACATTTCCTAAGGTTCCTGTTCTTCTATATGGCAGCAAATCTTACAAGTGTCTTGTAAGTAATGGGCAAGTTCATGTACCAAGCACAAATACCTTGCCATTACTTTTCATAATCTAATCTTCCCAAATCTTTTTAAGTTCTCAAAACAAGAGTGGAAGTCAGCTATATTCTAGCTTATAATTATTTTACTGCTTAGGTACCACTCTTTTGTCTTCTTCCTTGACATGAAGCACCTTGTCTGGCTTTTCTCAGCTAGAAGTAATAAGTAAAGACGTGTCAACTTGCTCTTATCAGACAGAAGTTCTAGCTGTCATACCACTGCAAATTGAAAGTGAGATGAATTTCCAGCAGCACATCACAGGCAGCAAAATAAGAACTTTATTGTATTAGACAAGCTCATGTCATCTCTCCCACAAATGGGAAAAAGAGTTGAATCAGAGGAAATCTGCAACTGCAAAGCATCTTGGGTAAAAAGGCCATTATGGAGGAAAAACTCATCGATTTAAGTATGTGGGAGACTTCCTTTATCAGTGCTATTCCAGTGGCACATACAAAAAAAAATCAACAAAGCAAAATGCAATCAAAAATGTTACTATGAGACACAAATCTACTAATTTTATGAAAACAGATGTAAGACCAACAAAGAATATGAAAGGCTAGAAAATAGAAACTAGAGTAAAAATTAATAAAATTAAGACTGACTTGAAAAATAAAAAGATGAAAGGTAGTTTAACAGTCTCTAACATACAAAAGGTGTTGATTCTTATCTCCATTTCCACTAAAGAAATAACAAGATGCAGACTTGTAGGAGTTAGATGCTATAATGAAATTCCTTTCTAAACACTAAAATAGACAACAGTGCAAAAATTTCCTTCCCGAGTGGTCCTGGTTATTAATTCAGTCGCTTCAGTCGCATCTGACTCTTTGTGATGCCATTTGTGTTTTTCTTGGCAAAGATACTAGAGTGGTTTGCCACTTCTTTCTCTAGCTCATTTTACAGATGAATAAACTGAGGCAAACAGAGTCAAGTGACTTGCCCAGGATCACACAGCTAGTGAATGTCTGAGGCCAGATTTGAACTCAAGAAGATGAGTCTTCCTGACTCCAGGCCCAGTACTCTATCCACTGCATCACCTAGCTATGGTGGTCCTTAAAAATATACAAGATACCCTTAAGACAAGAGGAGTGTCGAATATCTCAAGGAACTTTCAAAAGCTTATAGGTTCTGGAATTATACAACTCTGAATACATGTAAAAGAAACATATTTTTTGACTAAAGAAAACTCTCCAGGAGGATCAATGGTGAGAGAAAGCAAAGCAACAATGTAGGGGGAATATATAACATCCAACCAGAAGGAAATGGGTGATGAAATCAGGAAATTAATCACAAACCTATCACAGAAGAATAACAGACTTTCAATACCTAAAAGCTTGTTTTCTCCACTAAAAGTAAAGAAGCTGTTAAATTTCTGACTTAATAATTTCACTCTTCAAAAGGCAGAGAAAACAAAAAGTGAAATTCTTATTCTAGATACGATTCTAAATAATAAGGAAGCAATAGCTGAAAAAATTAGAAAACAAAGGGAACCTTTACGCTTACAGAAATATTTCTAGTAGTTTTTTTCATTGTGATAAAAAAATGGAAACTAAAGGGATGCCTAACATTTGAAAAATGGCCAAAGAAGCTATCACGTACAAATGAAATGGACTACCACTGTACTGCAAGAAATAACGAAAGGGACTGTTTCAGAGAAACCTAATAAGATTCAAATGAACTGAAGGAGTGAAGCAAACAGAAACAAGAGAATAACTTACATAACAATAACTATCATAAAAATGAAATAACTCTGAAAGATTTAAGAACTCTGGTCAACAAAATGATCAACAATGATTCCAAAGGACTCAAAGTGAAACATGCTACTCACCTTCTGACAGAGAGATAATGGACTCACAGTGTGGACTGAGATTTTTTTCTGGGGGGGGAGGGGAACATAGCCAACGGAGAAATTTGTTTTCATTATGTACATATACTTGTTTCAAGGGCTTTGGTGTTGGGGTTGGGTTTTTTCGTCTTTCAGTGGGGGATGGAGAAGGTGGGCAAAAGTGAAGCCAGATTTTAGTTAAAAAACAATTTTAAGAAAGAAAATAATGGGAACCTTGAGAGGGAATAATCATTTCATCTTTAGAGGGAATAACAACTTCATCTTATAAATAAGGAGTAAAAAGATAAGGCAAACATACAATGGGGAAAGTATAGTCTGACACACATCCTAGATTTGGAGACAGCAAATTTCAAGATATCAAAGAAAAGAAACATCTCAAAGCCTAAAATTATACAAATAAGAGAAAATGGCCCAAGCAAGATAAGGTTTCTCAAGAACCAAACTTTAGAGAACAGAGATGAATACTGTTCCAATGGAGAGACTGATATAGATGAAGGGGAATTCATGGATTAATTTAGGTTTGCAAAAATACAGAAGAAAGAATCAAGGGTAAGAAGCTAAAGATCAAGTAAAAGTGACACAGTCCAATAAAAATTATATCAGGAGAGATAAAAACTCCATATCAGCTATGACTCCCAATAAAGGCTGAAGACAACACAGGGCAAGAGAAAAAGGAAGAACAAGAAAGGAAAGGACTGGCTGTGGAGGTAAGCAAAACAATAGCCAATAATGTAACAGATATCATTCAATTCTTATTAAGATTCTGGTTTTATCTAAGGAGAATGAACTTCCAAATGAAAAAGATATCTGAATAAAAAGTGCAATTCTAAGATAAAGACAGGTTTAAGAGCACCTATATGTCTCAGTGTATTTGAAGCATATCCCAGAACTGCAATTGCTGAGGGCTGCTAGTGATATTTTTAATCATGGACAACAGAAAAAAATGTTAATGAATAGGAGAAGGGAAAATGTCTTGAATTTCAAAAATCTGGTAACTTCTAGAAAGCGGTATTAAAGGGGATGTTTTGTACTGAGTTTACTTCAAAGCTCAATTCAAGTGCCACTTTCTAAATGAGGTCTTTCCTAATTCCCCCTCACTCCTTCCAGCTACTACTGCCCTCTTCCACTACCCCTAAAAAGAATTATCCTGTACTTATTTTGTATTATACATTTACATGTTTTCGTCTATGTTAAAAATGTAAGCTCTTTGAGGACAAGGACCATTTCATTTTTGCCTTAATATACTCAGCCCCTAGAACTGTACCTGGCACACAGCAGGCACTTAATAAATGTTAATTGACTGATCTGTTGATTGAGCTAAGAAAGAAAACATTGATCATCAAGACCCAACATAGATTCATCAAGAACAGGTCATACCAGACTAACTTCATTACCTTCATAATAGTTACCTGTAAAATCAAAGGCATAGTACGGACTAATATACTTCAATCATACCAAAGAATGTCATAAAGTCTGTCTTAATGATAGCCTAGTAGACTAAATGGGGTGTTGTAGATTAATAATCAACCTGGTGGTATATATATATGGATCTGTGTTTGAAGGATCTGTTTCACCCATGGCTTTGTGGTAGAACCTGGGCTCCCTCATTTCTCAAAACAAGGAAGTTTTCCCTGAAAGATAACAAAGCTGTCTCTGGAACTTGATTGGCCCCTGCCTCACTTGACATAACTTTCTGGTAACCAAAGGGCATGAAAACACGGAGCTGGGGACCCTCTGACTTTGTGGATTTTTGAACACCACAAGTCTTCTTAAAGACCCGTTTTCATATGAGTGTGTACATGTGTCCAAAAAAACAAAGTGTCACCATATCACCATGTTATCAGAAAGCAAATCTTTTGTTTACTGTTCAATAACTTACAAATACCTCATTTTATTCAAACAATGAATATAAACAGGATAATGGTGTTAAGCTCATCCTTAATAGGTTTAATGAAGGCATGGATAGAACATATTAAATTTACAATTAACCCAAAATTGGAAGAGATAGCAAATACATTTAAAGAGAGCCAAAAATCATAAGAAGTCAAAATAGGCCAGAATTTTGGCTGGTAATTAAATTTAACACGAATTAAGTCCTACACTTGAGTTCAAAACCACTCAAGTATAGGATGGAAGAAGTATCTGTTAATTTATCTGTTAATACACAGTGGAGAAGGTCTCTGAGTTTTAATGCACTGCAAGTTCACCAAGAGTAATGATATGACAAAGACAATAAAGTGACAAGTAAATAATGTGACTAAATAAATAAATGCTGACAGAGACAGTGACAGAGAAATAATGTCCAGAAAAAAGGAGGTTACACTTCTACTATACTCCAGCCCTAATGAAATAACTGAAATAACACGATCAACTCTCAGTGCAGTATTTTAGGAAGGACATTGATAAACTAAAATGAGTCTTGAGCAGAGCAACCTAAATGGTGAGGAGCCGAGACACCATGCTATCCAAGCATCAGTTAAGAGACCTGGGAATATTTAGTCCAGAGAAGACTTAAAGGGGAACATGATAGGTGTTACAAAGGCAGCCATACAGAAAAGAGATCAGACTTACCCTGTTTGACTCCAGAGAAACAGAACTGGTGGAAATGTGTAGAAGTTACAAAGGGCCTCATTCCAGATCAGAGTAAAGAAAAACTTCTTAACAAGTACAAATATTCAAGAATAGGATGTTTCAGGAGATACTCGGTTCCTAATCATAAGAGATATTCAAGTGGGGACTAGATGACCACTTGTCAGTGATGTTATAGAAGGGATTCCTGCTAAGGCACAGGTTGACTGGGTAACAGGTTCTTAACCTTTTTGTGTCATGGCCCCCTTTGGCAATCTGGTGAGGCCTACAGACCCTTTCTCAGAATAATGTTTTTACTTTAAAGGTATAAAATAAAAAAATTAAAAAAAGATATATAATACACAGAATTATCAAGGAAACCAATTATAATGAAACAGTTACCTAAATATATTTTAAAAACAAGTTCATGAATTCCAAATTAAGAACCTCTGGAACTGATGATCTCTGATAAATTCTCCAACTATGGAAAGCTCTGAGAATTTTTAAAACTCATTTAATTAATTAAAAGTAACTGTATAAGCCTCTACTAAAGAATAAGACACACTTTTAATGCAAAAAAGAAATCCAATGATAATTACATTTTCAATAAAAAAGGAAATGAAAAAAATCTAAACTTGTAATGTTTAATCACTGTTATGTGTTATATAGATCTTCAAGTAGTATACATATACCTTGCACATAATACTTAATGAATTCTTATTCTATTTAATTGAACATGTAAACAGATATAAAGGACACATTTTATTTCCAATCACCCTGTTACTTACTTTTGGAATCTCTTTAGAGCCTAGAGCTTTGGGACCCTCTCGATTCAGGTAGCTTCGATAAGCTTGGTAATTAGTACGCTTCTTTTCATTATCTTCAGGACTTACAGACTTTGGGATTGCAATAAGAAAAAAAGGAAAAATCAATTAGAAGGAAAAAATTCTCATGTTCATGTTTTAATTTGTTCAGTATAGGAGCTCAAAAGAGAGATCAGGAACACAGGAATAAGTCTAGGAGTCACCCATATAGAGGCTGAAGCTATGAAAGTAGATGAGATGGGCATGAAGCAAACAATGAGAGAAGGACTGAGGGGCAGAATCTTGGGGGACCTCGAGGGTTTGGAAGTAAGAGGGGCCAGGAAAAGAGAAAGAGGAGGTTTAGTCAGAGAGGTAAAAGGACAAGGCTAGTGGGATGCCATGAAAGCCAAGAAAGGAGAAGGCATAAACAGGGACAGAGATTACTCTTAACTAAAGAATCAGAGAAGGCTGGCTTCATGGAAGAAGTGGCTTGGAATTGTACATTAAAGAATTAGGATGTGGAAATATGTTTAATATGATCGCATATGTATAATCTACACAAGATTGCTTGCTGTCTTGAGGAGGCAGAAGGGGAGGGAGAAAAATTTGGAAATCAAAATCTTATTAAAAAAAAAGGTGAAAACTAAAAATACATATATTCAGAAAATGCCCTCAGAGTTGAATTAGGAGATTTTTAAGAGATTGGGGGTGGGGGGTTGGGTGGAATGTTTAAGCATAAAGAATGAGTGAATAAAGGTTCAGAGGCAGGAAAGCATGGGCATCGTCAGGAGATGCTAAGTAGTTCAGTTTGCCACAAGTATACTTACTTTGCTTTTATCGCTGCAGAGAGCTGCCTATATACAATGAGTCCACTTCTATAGTATCTCACCTGCTGCAACCTGGCTTCTGTCTCTGACATTCTAATAAAACAGCTTTTTTAAAATCACCAGTGACCTCCTACCTGCCAATTACAATGGCCTTTTTTCAGTCTTTACCCTTCTGGACCTCTCTTTAGACTGTCACAGTTCTACTGACAACTCCTTTTTGAAGGATCTTTCCTTCCTCAAACCTTGCACAGTACTCCTATATTTCAACTTCTTTTTCCCGCATTATAATTGTTGCAGAGTTAGGGTTACATATTTGTTTACATATCATACCAAGATCCATAAATATATGGAGCATATAATATTATTATTACTATTATCTCTTCCAACACTAGGCATAGTGCTTTGCATATGATAGGTATCTAATAAATTATTCTTGATATGAATGAACTAGGTCACATAAAAAGTGTTTGCTATATACGCAGTTAATAAATTTAAAAGAAAATATGAAACCTTAAGAACTTTATGGACCTAGCACATTTTAAAAAGCAAAGACCTCTACATTTAACCAAAATTATAAATCTACATTTATTCTGTATTTGGTCCTTGAACTAGTTATAACTGTACAAAGCTCTAACTTAGAGAAACAGCACACACATTCTGATAAGGGGGCAGAAGGAAGAAAAAGGAGAGGTGCTCCTGGTGCCATGTCACCTATTCATCAGAAAACAGCATATTCCCCTAAAATAAATGCTCTCATGACCATCCAGTTTCCGGAACCATAAATCACATTTAAATCTTAACAGAGGTGATCTGTATTTAATCCTATGTCCCTCCCTCCTCAAATGGTCTCCTGTATTTTTATTCCTGGTCATCATCAAATTCTTTATCGAAATATTTAAGATATAAATCATAAACAAAATATTTAATCTACAATAGAGCTGAACTTTTAAGGCCATAAGATAACTACATCATTATTTTTACATCAAGGTCTTGAAGGTCTAAGAATCAAAGCCATGCAACTATGAAAACATTCAGAAAAATAAGGGTCATGTTTAGACATTCCAATATCCTTAAGAACAGACATGCCTCTACTCTAAATGGTTTAGCTTTTCTGGAGAAGGAGCCCAGGCTCCAGATAACTAATGAAAAATAATCTTATAAGAAAAAATTAATTTTTCTTCTAACATACTTAGCAATTACTAGAGCTAGAGCTAGAAGCACTTTAAAAACATCATCATTTATCAAAGGGCTTGGAATATGATATTCCAGAGGTCAAAGGAACTAGGATTAAAACCAAGAATCACCTACCCAGCAAAAATAAGTATAATCAATGAGGGGGAAAAACTGACATTCAGTGACAGAGAAGAATTTAATGCATTCTTGAGAAGCCAGAGCTAAATAGAAAAACTGACTTTCAAATACAAGACTCAAGAGAAGCATGAAAAGGTAAAACGGAAAGAGAATCATAAGGGACTTATTAAAGTTGAACTGTTTACATTCCTATATGGAAAGATATTTGTAACTCATGAGACTTTTCTCATTAGTAGTTGGAGGGAACATATATAGACAGAGGGCACAAGGTGAGTTGAAAATGAGGGGATGATATCTAAAAAATGAAATTAAGGGGTGAGAGAGGAGTGTACTGGGAGAAGTAGAAAGGGAGAGGTAGAATGGGGTAAATTATCCCCCATAAAAAAGGCAAAAAAAAAAAAACCCCAAATCTTTTACAGTGGAGGGGAAGAGGGGGAAGGTGAGAGGGGAATGAGTGAACCTTACTCTCACCAGATTTGGCTTAAGGAGGGAATAACATACACAACCAAATGGGTATGGAAATCTATCTTACCCTACAGGCTGGAAGGGGATGAGAGGGAGGGGCTGATAGAAGGGAGGGCAGATTGGAGGAGGGGGTAATCAGAAGCAAATACTTTTGAGGAGGGACAGGGTCAAAAGAGAGAATAGAATAAATGGGGGGGCGGGTAGGATGGAGGAAAATATAGTTAATCTTTCACAACATGACTATTACGGAAATGTTTTGCATGACTACACATGTAGAACCTACATCGAATTGCTTTCCTTCTCAAGGAGGGTGGGTGAGGAGGGAGGAAGGGAGAAAATTTGGAATTCAAAGTTTTAAAAAAGAATGTTAAAAATTGTTTTTACATATCATTGAGAAATAAGATACACAGGCAATGGGGTATAGAAATCTATCTTACCCTACAGGAAAACAGAAGAGGAAGGGGATAAGTGAAGGGGGTGGGGATGATAGAAAGGAGAGCAGATTGGGGGAAGGGGTAATCAGAATGCACATAGTCATGGGGTGGGGGGAAGAGAGATGGGGAGAAAATTTGGAACTCATATCTTGTGGAAGTGAATGCTGAAAACTAAAAATAAATAAACAAATTGAAATATGAAAAAAAAACCCCAGCATCATTTTAGTTTCCAAAATAAAAATTATAATGGTGAGAATTTTAAAGTAGTAAATATTTTGCTTTTCACTTCAAATGATTAAGATGCATGAAGGAATGAACAATTCTGTTTTCTTTCTAAAAATAAGGTAGTTTGACAATGCAGATTCAAAGATACTATTTGATTCCCAAATACAAAAATAAGAAACTTACAGAATAGCTGTATTACTTATTCTTAGAATTCTCTAGGCCCCAAAAGACTCTAAAGATCAAATAATGAAGTCCCTTCAATGACCAACAAGGAAACTGGGGACTAGAGAAGAATTATCCAAACTCAGAATGGTACCCATGACTCCAGACTCCTGGTCCAGAGTCCATTTCATCATACTACAGTAACTGTAATCTAATAGATTTTTCTTAGGAAATTTCTGGCTTCTCGATATTGTACATAAAAAGTAGCATTGCTGTAACTGAATTGGGAAATATTTTAAGAATGATTTATTAATCCTAAATTTTTCTGTTATTTAGGCTTCCATCTATGTAAATAGAAAGTTCAGAAAGAAAAACTAGCCTTGGAATAAAACAGAAAGTAACCAAAACCCCATATCAACAATCATGCCAACTTTTCCAAATTTCCTACCTCTGTTTTAGATGGAGAAATTTTATTTTTCTTGGGAGATTTTCTCTCTTCTTTTACTACAACTTGATTTTCTTTTTTTCCTGACTCTGTGGATTCCTTTTTTTGGTAACCACTCTCGTCTCTTTTTTTCAGGAGTGCCAGCTTAGAGCTGACTTGCAAAGCAGAGGGTTCTTCCTTTATTTTGCCATGTACTTTATGAGGTGATGACTTTGCATGGGATTGAGAATCTCTTGAATCTTCACTTTTAGTATGCTTGTTCAAATTGTGATTCTTGCTTTCATGTGAAAAATTTGATGTTTTTACTGAGAAAAAAAAGCAAAAAAAAAAAAAAACTACAGGCTTAAAGGAACTATTTTAGACAATGGCCTCCAACATTCAATAGCTTCATGTTCAAACACTTACTGTTAAACTACTGCTTTGTGCAGCTCCCACTGCTTCTGAAATCAAATCCCAAACATCTACTCGAACAAAGATTCATATCTTTTGCTATATTTAATTAGTTAGCTAATCTTAATGAATTTCACTGTACCATGACTTCACAAAATGTACAAGCTAAGCTCTTCAGATGCACAGGTTTTTATATACACAATTTAAGTAACACATAAAAAAGGAAAAATTACATATAATACATATATTAGAGTTATATTTTTCCTTACTTAACTAGATCAACAGTATTTCTTTTCTTTAAATTGATACATTTTGTTTTGGCATAACAGATACTTACCAACAAATATTCAACAACACTAAAACATATTTCCCCAAAAGTTAAACAAAGCTAGTAGTGCATCACTTTTCATTCTTTTTGCTTACCATCTGTTAACAAAAAAAGAAGGCTCTCCAATGGCATTATTTTTAAAACTGGGCATGGTGATATTGGGGACCAGACCTATGATTTCATTGGTAAAACAACTCCTGGATAAGAAAGCTCCCTTTACCAATGCATATTAGTACCTATTCTACAACTTAGAGGCTTAGGCCATTGCCTGAGGCATGAAGAGGTTAAATGACCTGCCCAAAATAACACAGAAAGTGACTAGTGAGATCTGAATTCAGTTCTTCCTGACTCTGAGACCAACTTCTAACCGCTACACTGGTGGAAGCAAACTCAAAAAGGAACAATCCCTGAAGGTGGCATCCTTACTCAGAAAACCACAAATTCATACTATCTAAGTTGTACTCTATTTTTATTTATTTTATTAAACATTTCCCAATGACATTCTAATCTGGTTTGAGCCACTTAGAAGTGTTGCCAATTTCAAGTCTGAAGCTCTGAACTACACCAAGGCTACTACTTACTACATAGTTTTAATGAAACCTGCTCATTAAAGCTCAAGGAGATTTTTTTCTAGAGATACAGTTTTCAAGCTTGAATAAATATTTCATGCATCATTGTTATCTAGCAAGGTTGATCTGAAATTCTCTATTAGGAGTAAAATTGCTGGGGCAGCTAGGTGGCACAGCAAATAGAGCACTGGCCCTGGAGTCAGGAGGACCTGAGTTCAAATTCAGCCTCAGACACTCCACACTTACTAGCTGTGTGACCCTGGGCAAGTCACTTGACCACGTTGCCTAGCCCTCCTCCCCAAAAGAAGGGAGAAAAAGTGAAAAAAAACAAGACCTTAAAGTAGATAACATATGGGTTTTTAGACTATCTTACCAACACAATAATTTTGTCACATCAAAATAACTGATGGTAAAATATATTAGAAAATAAAAATCTTAGAGACATAACATGTAAAAGGAATGCTGGGTTCAATGCCTAACAACTGTTGAAATCCTGGAGAGGCTACTAATGTGGACGTGGTTTGGGGTGAATCAGCTCACTTCTCGGAGCCTCAGGTGATGGCGTTGGACTCAATCACCCCTAAGGGCCCTTCCAACCTCTTATCCACAATTCTATGATATGGGATAGGTAGAGGGAAAAAGAACTAATTATAGAATTGGAATTACTAAAATACATGGTCTAACATTTGATTCCTGTTTCCATGAATCAACCTGAGGACAATTCACAGGAATGCTTCAGATTACATACAACAATGGCTCCTCTTGTGAAATAATTTTAGGTAAAAGATCACAAGATCATAGGATCTCCAAAGGATCTTGGAAGTTCATCTAGTCTAACCTCCTAATTTTACAGATGAAAAAACTTCAGTCCAAAAATGAAAAGTGATTTAGCAAAATCACACATGTTTTAAATGGCATTGACAGGATTTCAACCCAAGTGTTCTGGGGTGAAATGATATATTAAATTATATGTTAAACCCATTATATATTAAAGTCTCTATTCAGACTTTTCTTATTACTAATACCCCAAGAACAGATGGACCCAGCTAGAAGCTTCCAAGTGGTCATCTCCTATATTAATCGCTAAAGTAAATGACACTCTAATAAGTCTAAGCAATTAATTATTCAATACAATAAGCACAAGAAAGTTTTTTAATGAGATTTTTTGAGCAATACTATCCTTTTTTTTTCTTCCATGAGACAAATTTTTCAATTTCCTTTTTTTCCTAATGTTATTACCTTTATGTTTTTCTGATTTGCTTGAATTAATTCGGTCAGATGAAAATGTCTCTCTCTCTTCCAAATTCCTTCGGGCCTAAGCAAATGTACAAAGAGTAAAATATACACGCAAACTAAGAAGCTAATATTTTCATCACTTTAAAAAATACATTACCACCAAATTTATAAAATGATTTATGCTAAATGAGGACAACACAAAAGTTATCATCCATCCATACCAGGAAGATACTATGACAGATTTGCTCTTCATTATTCAACTATGGGGTATGTGGAGCTTGTTTTATTACCCTCATTTTACAGATGAATAAAAAGACATAAGAATTTAACAAATACATCTGCAAGTACTTTTGTAAAAATTATTCTGTCCTATAAATCAACACACCTACATTTTCCTTCCACCTCCTTCATCAAAAATCTCAAGGCATTTTATGATGCAGTCAGAAACAAATCAAAAAAGTAATTTAAATATAGATACCACACTTGAGTCAAAGTCAAGACTTAGATAGAAGCACTTGTTCAAAAAATACATCACCCTTTCAAAAACAAAAAACTCAATACATTTTTAAAAGAAGATGCTCACCTAAAATTTTCAAATACTGAAAATTACTGTAATAAAATTCCTGATCATAAGAAATAAGGTTAGGCTTTATATAGCACAATGCTATAGGATAAAAGAATATTAATTACTTTATGCATCTCACATAGAATCCTAAGGCTTGAGACTTTAGGATAATGAAGAATTTGATGTAATTATATGATTAGGATCTAATCAAAACTGGAATTTGTTCTGCCTGATAGTACAGGGTATATATCCTTTCAGAAAGGATATTAAAGAATATTCATGCTACTGAGTTATTAGCATAAAAATTTTTAGACTATACCTGAGAAATCTCGATAGATGCTGATGAAATTTCCCAAACACTTTATTTTCTCAAATACTATATAATTTCTCAAATACTAGATTTGTCAAAAATTGTATGTGGAAGAACTTTGATTTTACTTTAGTTGTATCAACTTTCTAAAAACAAAAAATATCCCCAATATACTTCCATGAAAGACTAATGATAATAATAATAATAATGATAATAGTAATATTAATAATAAAAATAATAGCTTCTTTCCATAGGAATTATGAGGACTACCATCAAGAAAATACTAGGCAAGGTCAAAACTATATAGGGTAAGTTGTCATCTAGACGGGAAAAGATTCTTATTTCTTACTGGAAGGGGAGTTAATATATAAGATGATTTTTCAAAGGTATTACTTGCTCCTAACACATATATGACAACATACATAATTAAGATGTCTATGTATTATTCAGTTTTTACAATATAAAGCTGATATGTCAATAAATGTTATATCATCAACATAGTCACCACTCGCTACAATAGTACAGATCCACATCTTCTCATCCTGCATGATGCTTCCCCATATTCTCCCATAAATCTTCCAAAAAGGAATCCAACCAAGAGTTGAGGACCTTCATCTAAATCTTCTGATATTGAATGGATAATAGTAGAGCACAGGGGCTAACCACTGCTTTTTCTATATGACGAGGTTACATCCTTCATCAGTTAAATATTTCTTTGATGATATCCTTTACAAGGCTTCTCCTATGCAACTCTTATTGTAGCTTACCCACCCTCACTATACACTTATCACTATCACCTTTCTATCACTATCACTCTTTTGGGTGATCCACAGTTTCATAAACTGCGGTGTCCCATGACTCACCGCCAGACTATATTACAGGAAGGATATTAATGTTAAAAAGATGGACATTTGTTTCAAAGAGAAGCTTAGGATCTTCAGAAACAATGTTCAATTTCCCAAGGCAATCCAACCCATTCATTTCTTGTGTATTTAAGAGCCCAGTTCCCTGTGCATTTCTAGTGACTAAGACATATATAATGAAAAAATCACTTTATTGGTTGCCATTCAACTGCATATCAGAGTCTGGGTAATAGGCATTCTTCATCCAATTGTTTTTCTGTGCGAAGATAGTTAGGTAAAAATTCTTAGTAGTTAAGAATTTCCTTTAAGAGATACTGTGATTTTTTTTAGAGCTCAACGAAGGCAGCAAAATGTTATCCATAAATAGAAATACCTGGATGACTTCATCATCTACTGAGTCTCTTTGATTTGGATTCCATGCTGAGCATCCTGTTCTCAATGATAGGGGCATAAGCCTTTCATGAGCAGACAACTCCCTGCTTTATGTCTCAATTCATACTAATTAATAATCAGACGGTGAATGAACACATTTATTTCTCTTGCATATTTCAAAAAATTTCTTATGAAATTGATAAATGCATTGAAAATATCTTGTTGAAGGTGAGTCTTTAGCCAGTATTTGCTTAACTAAATATATTTTTAGAGCAAACAAAAAATAAACATAGTGGGACCTTTTGTTCTTTATGCCTTTCAATCAACTATCTGACTAAAAAGATGTGGCCTGCTGTAAATACCCTGTTAGTAAAAGCCTGTTTTATTCTCAATTTATTCTCAAACCTTTATAAAGGATGCCTTTAATTAATGTGTAAATTATTGTCAAAAAGATTTTGTAAACATGAGAAAGTACAGATCACATGATATTTTCTTAGTCACCCTTTATTGGTAATAATCAGATTTCTGATTCCCCCCCCGCCAAGCATTTCATATTGTCCCCTTCAGCTATCTTAAGAATTGATGTCTAAAATTGCGTGTGGTCCAACACAGACTTTCTCTGTGGCTACCTGATCTAACCCAGCTACTCTTTCCATCTCAGTTAGACTTGGTCCAATTTTTACTTCCATGTTCAGCACGCATAGTGGGAACTGTAAAGTTAAGGCTCCAAATGTTATAGTGCCACTGTCATTAATGGATAAGAGTTTGTTACAATAATATTTGCAAATCTTTTCAATATTTCATGTTTCAACATCACTGGGACAATCTGATTTGTTTGGTTTCTTAACGATCTTTCTACAAATTTGTTTTTCCCTCCACAGTTTCTTAATGCTTTTGAGGTAATACTACTCAATCTACCATCCTTTTCCCTAACATTTTACAAATCAATTTATATTCTAAACTGATATTGTCTTTGGCTGACATCTCTCAGGTGGGAAAGAAGATCAACTGTTTGTTTCAGAAGTAACCATAACCAAATAATTCCTCACCAAGAATCCAGTCTACTGATAATGAGCCTCTCCACACTTACCTAGGCCGGCTCTCAGAAAGCAGCCATTGTCTGTTGCCAAAACCCTACTCAAAACTTTTCCAGAAAGGCAAGAGCAGCCAAACCTCACACTCCACTGGCACAGCCTTCAAGAATCTAGGGTCACCTTCATGCCACAATGGGGTGATGGAATGAGACTTTTTCATGTCTACAAAATTTTGAAGCCACAACTTATATTCATTTCATTTAATCTTCCAATTATTTTCTATTTGAAATATAAGATGCAAACCCATAAGCTAAGTCACCTTTTTGTTCTTGGGTTCTTCATCCAACATTGCCAACGTTCTGGCAAATTCTTCATCCTCATGCAGCTGCTTCTCAAGCTACCAAAAGAACCAATAAAAATACTAATTTTATGTTTTAAGTGAAAATCAAAATAATACTACATTAATATGCAACAAAATATTTCCCAAGAAAACTAGAAGACATTTCCCCCCTCAAAAAAAAAAAAGATAAATACAAATCCTTGTACCAAAGGCAGACATCAATTCTTAAGTCTGTTTTATTAATTATGTCAGAACACATAATCCTAATTTGCCGTAACACAATATGTAAATTGAGCATATTAAAAATGAGAAATATTTCTTAAAGAATTATCTGATTATATATTTCCTTAATCATTCTGAAGTAAACATTTAATGTTTTGTTTTCACTTTTACAAATCTTAAACCCTAAAGTAACATCTTAAAGAAATGTCAACCTGAAAAAAATACACAAGAAATAGTATGAAGGAAATAAATCAATGAGTCTTAAAAAGTTAATAATAAGAAATTTTCCTAATTTACACAGTAAGTAGATATAAATGCAAAACAATAGATTTTTTTTTTTTTAAAGAAACTGGGGTTAAATGACTTGCCCAGGATCACACAGCTACTAGGTGTCAAGTGGTTGCTCTGAGGCCGGATTTGAACTCAGGTCCTCCTGACTTCAGGGCCGATGCTCTATCTACTGTGCCACCTAGCTGCCCCAGAATTCTTTCAATCATCAAAAATTTTCAAAATTTGCCTAAAATTTCTAATTTCTGAGTACCCTATATAATGTTTCTGCCCCCATCAGAACACAAAATCTTTGGGGGCAAAGATTATCTTTACTTTTGTTTCTGCACCCCTAGTGCGTGGGATACTGTAAAAAATTAGTAAATATTTTTCATTTCACTCATTCATTCATTCACAGTGCCTGGTCCATAGTAAGCTTAATAAATGCTTGTTGACATTCAAAATTACACGTTAAGTCTTTCATCAATTTTCATAACATGGCAATCCAATACACAGACTACTAAACAAACATCCTAGTTATCATGTTATTACCAATTATTTTCGATTACAACAAAATTTGTTTCATCCTTAAGATGAGTACCTTCAACAGTATGTTAAAATCTTTTCATATCAACCAGTAAATTATTTACTCTAAGACTAGACCTATTCACATATAATCACATGTTGTTTGTATCCCCTACAAATTAACGCTGTTCAATCTCTGCTATATACCAATGTTTTTATTCTTTTCTGATCTACTCTCTACACATCCCCCATATCAGTTATTCCAAACCTCTTCTACACCACCATCTTTCCCATTCCCTCTCACAAAGGAAAAGAAACTGACTCTACTCAATATCAGTTTCCTCCCCTCCCCAATTCCATACTTCAAATCCCTGATTATTATTCCCTAATTCTCTATTCTTTAATCCCAGTCTCAGAGGATGAAGTGGCTCTTCTCCCTAACAGTGTCAACTTTTATTTATGCCTTTGATATCATCTTCTGTCTCTTCTGTGAGCTTGTCCCTTCAACTATCCCCTACCTCCAGGGTTGGGGAACCTGTAGCCTCGAGGCCACATACGACCTTCTAGGTCCTCAAGTGTGGCCCTTTGACTGAATCCAAACTTCACAGAACAAATCCCTTTAATAAAAAGATTTATTCTGTAAAACTTGGACTCAGTCCAAAGGCCACACCCAAGGATCTAGAAGGCCACAAGTGGCCTCGAGGATGCAGGTTTCCCACCCCTAAGGCCTACCTCTTTCATTTTCATTATTTCTTTATACATTGTATCTTTCCCTGATACCTTCAAATATGCCCAGTTTTCCCCTATCCTTAAAAAAAATTTTCACTTGATGCTACCATAGCCTCAAGTTATCATGAGATATAGACAGACTAGACAGATGCTCCCTCTCACAGCTAAATTCCTAGAAAAAGCTCTCTACACCCAATTTTCACATCTCCCACTCACTCTTAACACCTGACAACCTATTTTCTTTTTTTTAAACAATTTTTTAAAAATTTTTAGGCAATTGGGGTTAAGTGACTTGCCCAGGGTCACACAGCTAGTAAGTGTTAAGTGTTTGGTCTGAGGCCCGATTTGAACTCAGGTCCTCCTGACTTCAGGACCGGCACTCCATCAACTGTGCCACCAAGCTGCCCTTGACAACTTATTTTCTAACTCCACCATTCACTGAAAGGTGATTCTTTGTTGTGAAATTGATTGGCATTTCCTCAGTCCTTATCCTTCTTGACTTCTCTGTAGCATTTCACAAGGATGACCACTCCCTCCTTCTGAATACTGGCTCTCTTCCCAGTATTTTCATGACACTGGTTCTCTTCCTACCCACTGGCTCTAAACTTCTCATTATCATTTGCAAATTTACTATATATATATATATTAAACTCTCTATGCATAGAGTATATGAACCAATTTCTGCTGGAAGCCATTCATTTCACTTTTTTATACTAAAAGAAAATCTGCCTTAACTTCAATGTTCTAAGCTTCCCCATAAGGAGTTTTTAAAAAAAAGTTAATCCCTATTAACGTGACAACCCTTTATAGACTTGGAAACAGCTATCAAGTTTGTCCCTAAATGGTCTTCACTAAGCTAAAACATTCCTGATTCCTTTGACTGACAGGCCTCCACCACCATGATGACCTACTTCTAGAATTGCTCCAACTTTTCAATGTCCTTCTTAAAACATTGTGCTAAGAAATAAACATAATACTAGTTATAGTCTAATTGAACTGTCATGGTTTAACAAGACTATTACCACTTTTATCTGGACAACAGACTTCAGAGAACAGAGACTCTAGAAAGTTGGACTTCAGCAGCAAATATTCCAGCTTACATCTGAAAAGAATCCCTATACTAACCTACAAGACAATGGTCAATCAGCTTCTGACTGAAGATCTCCAAGAAGGTAGAACCAATCCATCCTCCTGAAGCAGATCATTCTACCTTTGGACAACTCTAGTTGTCAGGAAGTTTTTCCTTAAAACAAATCTAAACTTGCCTTTTTCTCTACATCTATCTATTGCTCCAATTTTGCCATTTGGCCCAAATAGAACAAAGTTAGTATCCCTTCCACATAAAAGGTCTTCAAATACTTGAAGATAAAGTCCCACCCTAGTCTTATCTTCACCTGGTCCTATTCAGTGTTTATGAAGGTGAGTTCCTGAACCTGAATGCAGATTTTACCTCTATTCCTATTGAATTTCACCTTCTTAAATTCAGCCCAATGTCTAGCCTATCAAGATCTTTTTAGATCCCAACTCTCATCTGCTGCCTTAGTTATCCTTCCCAGTTTAATGTCACCTTCAAATCTGATCAACATGGCAGCTACGTGGTATAATGGATAAATTTAGTGGTGGACTTGGAAAAAGACAGACCTCAGTCCAAATCATGCCCAAGAAAATTAACAGCAGTATGACCCTGGGCAAGTCACTTAACCTCACTTGGACTTAGTTTTCTCATTTGTAAAATGGAAATAGTAATAATTAGTACCCACCTCCTAGGGTTTTTGTGAGGATCAAAAGAATAAGTACATATAAAGCCCTTTAGAAACCATAAAGCACAATAGCAAATGTTTGCTATCAGCTATCTGTGCATTTATCCAAATTAGTGATAAAACTGTTAAAGAGAAAAGAACCAAGCACAGATCTTTAGGGCATTCCACTAGAGACCTCTTGCCAAGTTGATAATTGAACCAATAACAACTTCTCTTTGACTACTTTTAGTAATATGACCTAAGATCAATCATATTAGCTTTTGGGGCAGTTCAATCACATTAATGGCTTATTGAGTTTGCCTTTTCCAGAAGAAGTGTTCACTCTGGTTAATGTCATCCTCAAACTTAATAACTTGTCAGTCATGTGCTCAATCAAGTCAGGTAAAAATGTTGAATACAACATTTTTAGAATGACAGCACTCTAGAGTATGCTACTAGAAGCTGAAAATGAATGATTAATCAGCACTCTGAGTACAGTCATTTAACCATTTTTGAATCCATCTAATAATGTCCTAACATCTGTGTACATGCTGTTACTCTTCCCACCCTTCATTCCTTGAGGAAAGAAAGTGTTAATTATTTTTGTAACACTAAAATACAGCACAGAGCCTTGAACATAGTAAGCATTTAGTAAATATTTGCTGAATGAATGTTTATCTAGCCTAAGATAACATTGGCTTTTTTTTAACTGCTCTATCGTTTACTGGCTCCTTTTAAGCCTGCAGTCCACTAAAATGTCCAAGTCTTTTTGACATATGCATCTAGCCAGTCTTCTCTTCTGCATCTTACTCCAATTCATTGGCAAAATGTTTAATGAAACATGGCCAAAGACAAAGGCCACACACCATGAGAACCCCCACCCCGGTCAAGCAGACATCAGTCCATTAATCACAACTGCAGTGAATTGTTATTAAAACAGTTCAGACCTCACCTTAACCATCTATCTAAATATCTAGTTCATACATCTGCATCAAGATACAGTACTGATTTAATAAAATGGTAATACCTCTGAATTCTCTTCAATTTGCAGTTGCTCAGCAACAGCTTCATCAGCTAATCTGGAATCATTTGTATTCTGTGAAGGCTGTATTTTAAACAGAATCAAGAATTAATAACAGTCTAGTCCTTAAGTTATATCATCAACCACATGCCATAAAATAATCATTCTACAGTACGACAGCTGAAATAATAAGGCAATGATTGATGAGATATTATGTAAAACACTAGACCTGAAAATTATAATCATTACATGATTACTGCATGTCCCTACTGCTTTTTCACTCTTACAAGCTAGAGGATCTGGACACAAGTTATGCCTCTGCCAGGACTAGGCTTCAGAATCTCAGACAAATAATTTTACATCCCCAAGCCTCTGCTTCCTCATGTATAAAAGGAGAATGAGGGTAGTTGTAATACATATTTCATGCGGTGGTTTGTAAGAAAGCACTTTGTAACCTTAAAGCACTATGTAAATGTGAGCTATACTAGGATACCTAACAGAAAGGTATCCTATAGCCAGGTCACTCAAATCTGTCTCAAATCTGTAGATTCAAACAAAATGATCAGTCTAACATTTTACAGCACATATCACCATAGGCGACTTATTGTCATTACAGTGATTATATACTGGTATGTTTCAGAAAAGGGAAAATTTAGATGGCCACAGTCCCAAGTGGAAAAAAAATTGAGCAAACACAAATGGTACTCCAAATGCTTGCATGGCTTAATCATTAAAACGTATATATTTATGATCCGTGGGCAGCAAACTTACTTTTCAGCTTTGTCTGGCTTAGGCTAATAATAATGCAAGTTTGCATTAGCTGAGTACACATCAACTGATGGTAAGAAGCAGCTCAGCAGCACTGAAAAAAAAACCAGGCAGAAACTGAAAATTTACCATAGATTATTCTCAAAATGGATAACCAAAATGGATAAGCCTCTGTTTCTAAAGAGGTCAGCTGGAAAAGAGATTGCTAGTAAATTTTATCTTAATTTCTTTTCCTCATAATTTAAATGAGCCTTTATTTGTACCTAAGAATTTAAGGCATGGTAATTTATATCAATCTTTTTTTAATCTACAGTCAAAGAAACAATCACCACATAATAAAAAATTAATTTGCCCACTTAACAATGTTCTGATTTGTCTTGTTAAAAAAAAAACCATTAGGTAAATGTCTTCAAAATTCCTTACTTAGACAACAGCAAATACTCACCTCTCTTCTTTTGCTTGCAACTAGCTTCTTTTCTGATCTTTGAACACTTCCAGTTCCAAAGTAATCAAGGACTGATGTAGGTGTAAGTTTTATTGGTGACAAAGGCTTATTCTTAATCTGAGGTTTTTTTCCAGTATCTTTCTTCCCATTCGATGCTCTAATATGACTACTTGAAGATATCCCATTTTCTTTTGGTTTAAGGGAAGTCTTCTTATAAGTAAACTCATCTTCTTCATCTTAAATGGAAGATATTAAATTATTTTTGGTACAATATTCTAACAAAATTTCATTGTATAAAATGAAACAAATTTTCATTATATAAAATAAAAGGTGTACAAAGTTCTCAAAAAATTCACAAGTTTTTAGTATCAGTTCACTTTTCTTAAGTCTACGAAAAAAATTCAGATATCTTTCCACATTTTAATGTCAATTTTATCCACTTCTAGCCACCATGTTATGCTGTTTTATTGCAACTAGTAACATATGAGCTTATGCCATCAGAAAAATACAGTTAAGGAGGTAAGTGATTCTCAACCTCCTAGACAACTCAAAACTCTAATGCTTTAGGTACATAATAATATCTGCTTCCGTGATACCATGGAAAGAATCCTGAATCTGAAGTCAAAGAATCCAGGTCTGAACCCAGTTCTGCTAGACTATCTGTGTGACCACTGACAAGTCATTTCACATCAATGGGTCTCAGTTTCTTCATCCATCAAATAAAAGGTCAGGTACCACATGACCACTAAAGATCCATCGGCTCAAAAATTATGATCTTTTCAAGTGCTATGTGGGATGTTTAGTTTTAAATTAAAATTAATATTTAAAAATATATTTAAAGCATTACTTCTTGCTGCAGCAAAAAAAACTGGGAACAAAGTAACTGTCCATCAGTTGGGGAAAAAAAGTGAACAAATTATGGCACATGACTGTAGAAAGAGACAGGGACTGAACCTGTGATTTCACTAACATAGGATTTCCCGAGTGAGGAAATTCCCACCTCCAGTGCAGATCCTGTATCTTCTCTGCAACTTAAGAGTCTTTAAAAGTTGCTTAGAACACTCAGTGTAGGCTCTGGTATGGGTCAAAGGTCATCCTGACTTTTCTCTATACTATACCTGGTAGCCTTCATTAGAATGTAAGGGAATATACCATAAGAAATGAAAGTTATGGATTCAAAGAAACCTGAGAAAGCTTGCAAGAACTCATGCAAAGTAAAGTGAGAAGGATCAAGAGAATTATTTATACAATGACCACAACAAAAAAGCAATTGTGAAAGACTTAAGAATTATGATCAATCACCACTCTAGAAACTGACAATGAAGTGTGTATTCCAATACATGAGGGAAAGGTAATGGACTGTACATGCAGAATGGGACATGCAGATTCAGAATTGACTAATGCAACACAAATTTGTATTGACTACATTTATTTATTATAAGGCAGGATTTTTATTTAGGGGGAGGGAAAGGGGAAAGAGTCTTATTGGCCGGTGGGTAGACAGTATTAGGGATAGCAACAAAAAAAGAAGCAAAGAAAGAGTGCTAATGAAACATAAAAATAAAAGAAGGCAGAAGGAAGGTCAGAAGAGGACCCAGACAAGCAGGGCAATGTTGGTAATACCATGTTAAATTTTATAAATAACATTTTTAAAATGCAACGTTTAGATTCACGGTTAAACATATTTAGTTATCATTTTTCTAGTTTTTTAGTACACAGAAATGCTCATGCTTGTCGATGACACTCTACTTCATAAAAAGCAAACATTTTAAAACAAAGATAAAGAAAAAATGTATTGTTTTGACCTTTCTTCTTGGGAAAACAATAGCAAACAATATTAAAGTGATGATATGAGCATTTGAAAGGAAAGTATAATCACTAAAAGGTTTCAAATCACTGGTAAAAATGCTGAACAGGGCAGAGTCCTGCTACTATGCCACTATGAACCTACTTGCAAGTTGCATAAAGCAATAAGCCCTCTTAATATGTATGGTTGGTCAACTTTCTTTATAAATATTTACTCTCTTTTCATTAATTCTTCTTACTTCTGTACAACATTCACTAGTATCTGAGGACAGTTTGTCTCTAGCTGATGAGCACAACTGATTAAACCACAATGTAAATGAGACCATACTCAAGAGGTGCAAATACTCTTGTGGACCAGTTGACTTCATTTTATAGTTTTAGGGCCTTTCTGTAACTCTCAAGTCATTAAATCATAACATTCCTGCTGTTATAACCATGATCAAAATCCACTCCCTGGAAGAACAAGAGGACTCAGTGCCATCCTAGCATAATACTGAAGTCAAGCCTCGGTATCCTGAAAGGGTTGCTTCTACTATCTCCTGAGAAAGTTGAGAACAAAGGATAATGAAAGGGAAGAAAATTTTCCTGAAGACTCGATATCTGGATGTCCTTCTCTACTTCACCTAGAGAATTAGAATCTAGGTAGGTGGTCTGCAAATCAAGCAGGAAATAGTTGATTATTGGGAGATGGTCAGATGTGAAATGCTGAAAGCCTGAAAACCTATAGGCCTACTAGGTCTGCTGTTGTAGAGACTAAAAAACAATAACATCCCTCATCAGTACCTTTTCTTTCTTTTTCTTTTCTTTTTTTTAGGCAACTGGGGTTAACTCACTTGCCCAGGGTCACAGAGCTAGTAAAGTGTTTGGTCTGAGGCCAGATTTGAACATAGGTCCTCCTGACTTCAGGGCCGGTGCTCTATCCACTGCGCCACCTAGCTGCCCTCCTCATTAGTACCTTTAACAGAAGCAAGAGCCACATATTGCTTAAGTAGGAGATATCAAAATAAAGAAAAATCAGCAAATGCAGCTCTACACTGTGTCAAATTCTGGCCTGATTTTTCATAAATTAGCAACTGAAACTCAGTAATAGTAATGAATTAAATTACATATAGTTTTGCTGATCAAACAAATCTACTCAATGGTTATCCATGTTTAACTATGAAAATATCAGAACTTTAATGATAACCACACAGGCTAGCCTTATTACCCATTACCACTACAAGAACAGTAATTAATTATATTTAATTAATTCAATTCAAGAAGTATTTGTTATATGCCAACTATATACAAAGCATTCTGCTAAGCACTGAAAATACAAAGACAAAATGAAAAACAGACATTGCCCTATTTGGCTCCACTATATAAAACTAGTGAAATGGGACCTCTAATACTATATCTTAAAAATTAAGTTATTTACACCATTTCACATCATTTAAATCCATACATTAAAATTCTGAAATTGTTCATTTCTATCATATTAATGGGAGTATAGATTTAGGACTCTCCAATAACTGCAACCAATCAATCAACTAGCTATTCATTAAGTGTATGCCAGGAACTATGCTAAGCACAATGGTTATAATAATAAGGCAAAAATAGCCCTTGCCCTCAAAGAGCTTACACAGGAGACAACCTGTAAAGAAATATGTAAAAGATACATATAGAATAGAAGATCAGTAACTTTACGGGCAAAGAAAGCACCAGCAGCACCAGCAAGGTCTCTTGGAGAAGGCAGGATATAAGCAGGCTTGAAGACAGGGAAGCTAAGAGAGGCAGAGATCAAAAGGGAGATCATTTCAGGAATTCCAGAAAGCCTATGCAAAGGAACAGAGAGAAAAGATAAGAGTGTCCTGTGTGAGGAACACCAGGTCGGTCAGTGTAGCAAGATTATAGATTTCACGGAGGAGAGTAAAGTTTAAGATTGGTAAAACAGGAAGGAGTCACATTACTAAGAGCCTTAAATGCCCAAAGACGAATTCATATTTGATCCTGGTAGTGACAGGGAGCCTCTGGAGTTTATTGAATAGAGGGATAATATGGAAAGTCACTTTGGTAAGCTGTATGAAGAACAGATCACAGTGCAGAAGAGTTTTGAGGCAGACAGGCCAATTAGGAGGCAACTGTAATAGTCCAAGCAAGAGGTAAAAACCTACACTACGGAGGTGGCTATCTGAGTAGAGAGAAAAAAATACATATACAAGAGGTGTTACAAAGGTAGAAATGAAAAATTTTGACAACAAATTGGATATATGTGGTGAGTATGAGTGAGGAGGAGTCAAGGAACCAATCAATAAACTAAAACTGAAGAAATGAGTAAATCAAAGGAAATGCCAGCAAGAACAAAACATTATTATAGATCTAAAGATATTCTTAAAGGAAAATATAACTTTTTAACAACTGCAGAAACTCAAAAGGGAAAAAATGGATTTTCCAAAGAATTACATTAACAGCCAAAAGAAATAAAGCAAGAGATTAAAAAAATGAAATGAGTTCTGATGGAAAGAATTGTAAGAATAAATAGCTGGGGACAGCTAGGTGGCACAGTGGATAGAACACTGGCCCTGGAGTCAGGAGGACCTGAGTTCAAATCCAGCCTCAGACACATAACATTCACTCTGGGCAAGTCATTTAACCCCAACTGCCTCACCAAAAAAAAAAAAAAAATCTGGGAAGAGAAAGCAATAAACCTTACTCAACAAACTAACTGAAAACAGACTTGGTCAAATAGAAGTAAGTGACTCCATGAGACAGCAATAAATACAAAAACAAAACCAAAAGACCGAAGGAATAGAAGAAAACGAAGGATATTTTCAACAACTGACTTGAAAAGCAGGCAAAAAAGGCTAAGTGAAGAATCACTAAACTCTTTAAAAACAATGAAGGAAAAAAGCCTGAACATTTTATTTTAAGAAATCATAAATGAAAACGATACTGATTCTTTAGAACCAGAAGGGAAAGTATGGACTGAAAGAATCACCAGTCACTTTCTAAAATTTATAGCAGGAACAACCAATAAAATAGAATGGAAGGAAGTAAAACAGCCAAGCTCTTCCCCACAGTCATTGAATAATCATCTAGAAAATGCAATAGACCAAGTCTTAATTGGGAAATTCATAGAAAAAAAATCAGTGAGTCACTTTTACAACTTGAGTTGGCATAGGGAGACAAAAAGGTCTAAAAACACTAGGGACAGGATTTAGCCTAAAGCAGGCTGCACAGCCAGGTGCCTTCCTGTGACTGAGGGCCTGCTGAACTAGAAGAATAATATATACTATAAAACCAATATTGTGAAAAAGTAAACAATTCTGAAAGACTTAAGCACTCTAATCAACATAACGATCAGCCATTATTACAGAGGATTTATGATAAAGAATGCTGCCAACCATGTGATAGGTGATAGACTAATAGGAAACACATTACTGGGTATGAT